TGTTCGCTAGTAGAGGACCCTTCGCTAACTATCCGTCCGGGAAGACACAATCTGCAACCCATTCGAGTCTTAACAATAGCGACGGAAATAGGAGATATGATCTTTCGATGCGTAGGAGAGACTTATTGTATAACTACTAGCCGCTTTGACACGGAGGTATTCGGAGACGAATTTTTTGTCGGAGAAGTCGAATGTCGGCTGCTTCTCTAAAGTCATATCTAGATCAACATAGGATAAGTCTAGGATGAGACTAACAGGCAGCAAAGCGCTATCGGCAAGGACCGTCCACTTAAAGGGCCGTTCAATAGTCTCTGCACCACAGCTCCTCTTCTACCTAACAGCCTAGGAGGACAGGAAACGCACTATCCCTTAATATTTCTCTACCAGTGTGGATAGAATTTTTTTTTTTTTTTGGATTTCTTCTATAGAGAAGTCGTAGCTGACTTCGATGTTCCCTAGTTCCATTACACTAACTAATGCCTAACAGTAGTCCTCTTTCCAGCCGTATTCTTGGCTTTTCTTACCAGGCGGGATAGAAAGAGGACTAAACTTAAAGAATCCTACTAACCCATATTGAGCAACAGTTTGCTTGACGCAACCAAATCATCCATTCCGGTGACTTCGGTAGCAGATGCCCTAACAACTAACATAGAGTTTAGAGCGTCCGGATCGTGACCTTAACTTTGTGTAAAATACGCTGAGGCTAGATTATAAGCTAGTGTCGACACGGGGATCGACTTTTCACGAGCGGTAGCCTAGTGGCCGTTGTAGAATCCGCTGTCAGAGAAGGTATTCCTATATCCGTTAAACAGACGAGTGCTCGCTAGAAGAATACCTTCAGGTAATGTCCAACCCGATTTCAACGAGCGCTCGTCCTTCTGAGCAGCCCGAAGCAAGCCAGGTCTCGACCTTGCCTGTTTAATCTTAATCGTGAATTTGGTCCTATAGGTCCCACTGCCGTTATGTGACATATCTCTCTACTCTGCCCTGAGGCGAACGAAGTGAGAGAAAGAGTTTAATGTTACCTTCATATTTACTTTGTGAGTTTCCTATTAGGCAAATACTCTGTTTTCATTTGAGACTCTTATTTTCACACTCTTCAAGCACTCCACTGACTGCTGTTCAGATTCTAGTATCCCCTTGTATGGTCTACTGCTTCACTACTCGCCGCGCACTGGCATTCTCGGCGCTATTTTACTCATTATGGCGTGGCGGAAACTAATAGCAGAAGCATATTAGACCACAACGCTCATTGAGCACTTAGGGCTTAGTGATCCGCTTACCCTATCAATACATGTATCCATCTACCTAACACATAACCACAGATATATATATTCTTACACTCGAAAAATAACCCTTGATAAGCATTAATTAGCATATACTTACAATACCATACGTACGGGGATGACTCAGAGTGAGGCAGATAGAATGCTGCCACCTATATCTGGCCTTGCTAGTAATGGTGTGAAGGAAAAAAAAAAGCCACTCATTAAAATGAAAAGCAATTATATACTAAGCCATTTTAAGCTAATGCCTATACATTAGGCTAATGCAATACTCATGCAATAAATGCAACGCCATGACTGCGGTGAATGTTGAAGAGCACTTTAGGCTTTGCGAATAAATATCAATAAATATCAATATTGACCACACTGACAAGGATGAAGCGTTACACAGAACATCCTGTTTTTGGCCAGAAGAAAACAAGAAAAGAAATTGATCATCACACTTCATTATGCCAGGCCCAAGAATGATGCCACATCAACACCCAGCCTCGTAAACCTCAACACTTCATTCTTTACCCTCAGCATTCATTCCCATTTGCTGGCAACTGCTCTACATCTCCGTAACTCGGTCAACCCTTACCGAATAGTAGTGGAAAATCGTACCGAGTGATTCGACGTGGTTGTCTTAAGTGTACGTTACGAATTCCCACCCCTTACATGATGTTACAGCGTACTATTGCAAGGCGTTTGAGAACGGATGACTGTGATTCCTAACTACAACTTATTAATGTGAAAATAGGTGCCGAATTCTCTGGAAACTGTGAGACAAATTTAATCACTTCAGGTCCATCTTCCAGCCGCACTCAGCTGAGGTCGCGCCAACCATGACGGACGACATCAAACCAGCAGGTGTCCAATCTGAATACTATCGCTTGACGGATTCACCATGCGCCCCGCCGAAGGAGGCGCTTCCCTGGGAGATTGAGGAACCAGCAAAAACAACGACTTTAACCAATAGCCCTGAAAATGAAGCAGAGTATCCATCTATGTGGAAAATAATTCCCATCACAGCGGGGCTCTGTTGTTGTATTTTCTGTATGGCTCTGGTATGGTGCTATCCATCCCACCAGCTTAATACCACGATCCCGCTAACAGTCATTTTGCAAAGGACAACACAATCATCGCAACGGCTATTCCGAGAATCACTGCCGAGTTTGATTCGCTTAATGACATGGGCTGGTATGGTAGCGCTTACATGTTGACCACATGTGCGGTAACCCTTATTTTCGGCAAGCTTTACACATACTATTCGCTCAAATGGACATTTATGACGGCGCTGGCCTTGTTCGAGCTTGGGTCGCTTGTCTGCGGCGTTACTACATCCTCGACGGGCCTGATAATTGGCCGAGCACTAGCAGGAGTAGGAGCTGGAGGACTGTTTTCGGGCTCTACGCTTGTCATCGTAACCCTTGTACCTTTGCGAAGGCGCGCGATCTTTACCGGGCTTATTGGGATTACATTTGGAATTTCCAGCGTGGCTGGTCCGCTGTAAGGCAAATCATTTCTTATTATGGGCGGTGATCTTCTGATCTCATACTAATTATATCCTATATCACACCAGGATGGGAGGCGCTCTAACAGATCATGTCAGCTGGAGGTGGTGTTTTTATATCAACTTACCATTTGGAGCCCTCACAGCTCTTGTGATTATGTTTTTCTTCCAGGATAAACAAACCAAGAACAAAATCACAAACCGTGAGAAACTACGGAGTTTGGATTTAATTGGCACAGCCATTTTCCTTCCCGCCATCATTTGTATCCTTTTTGCCTTGCAATGGGGGGGTCAAAAATACCCCTGGGCAGATGTGCGGATTATCGTGCTGTTTGTGCTATTTGGGGTGTGCCTTTGCGTCTGGATCTACATTCAGTATCGGAAACAGGACCGAGCGACAGTACCGCCTCGAATCATTAAGAACCGCAACGTTTGGGGTGCAATGGTCTACTCTACAATGATTGGCGGTTCTTTCTTCGTCTTAGTCTACTATGTAAGTGTGCTTTGTTCGAGCCACGTGGTTTATTACTGACTCTATATTGGAACAGCTCCCCCTATGGTTCCAGGCAATTAAAGGGGCCAGTGCTACTAGCTCTGGCGTGAGGAACCTGCCGTTAATTATAGGCGTGACTGTCTTCGCGATGGTTGCAGCTATACTAGTGACGCTGTCCGGATACTACAATCCTTTCATGCTGGCCGCGTCCGTAATCTTCAGCGTCGGCAATGGCCTCCTCACAACACTAGAGCCTGACTCAGGTCCCGCCAAGTGGATAGGCTACCAAGCGATGGCTGGTATTGGGGCAGGCCTGGGTATGCAGCTGCCCAATATCGTTGTGCAAGCAGCCCTCGATGATGCTGATGTCCCCGTTGCGACTGCGCTGGTCGTATTTTGCCAATCGCTGTCGGGTGCGATGTTTGTTTCCATTGCTCAAAATGTATTCCAGAATCGTCTGATTGCAAATGTCCGGAAGATGGCACCAATGCTCGATCCATCTCTAGTGACCCAAGCTGGAGCAACAAAGCTGCGGGAAGTCTTTCCTGACGACCTCGATGTGGTTCTACAAGCGTACAACGGTGCTGTCACCCAGACGTTCTACATCGCAGTTGCAACGAGTGTTCTTTCGATATTTGGGGCTCTGTGTCTACAATGGATTTCTGTTAAAAAGAAGCGGGTGACGACGGCTCTTTGAGGAGCGGAAGGTGGTTGGATGAATGTTTGTAGAAGATAGTACATCTTCGATGATGTTGGCTTATAGGTCGACAGAAAGATAGGGTTATATGAGCTTACTATGCACTCTAGTTCAGAATCCCCCGACAATTTCTGCGTTGATATATTATTATTCCGGGTTCTTCTCAAGGGACGAAGGGTCCTTGATTTCCTAATTTACCCGTTCATTTTGTTGTAGAATTTTGTTGCTGTCCCGTAAGAGCCTTCTGAGGAAGAGGAATTAATTGAAGGTTGAAATCTGTCTTGGCCTAACATATTATGCATTTCTCTATCGTTCGATTGGGTGATGGAAATGTGGTCGCCCCTCTCCATCGAGGAATATGTCGGTTGTTTCCTGTACACTTCCCTTGCCGTTTAAGTCGCTCGCTGGAGGCTGATTACTCCTTTTAAGCTTTGCTGGTGGGAATAGACAAGCATCTCCCCAAGGTGTCGATTATCTTACCGGAAATAGCGTGCTGTGCGCTGGTGGTTGCACATTATCCTTGTTCTTATATAATATATATTTCTACAGAAAGTATCTGCTTCCATTTGTGTGTGCATGTAATACTCTGTTCATCAGTCACAACGTGGAGGAATCTGTTATCACATCTGGCCTCCTAATGGCCATAACTATAGCGGCATTCAACATCCTACAGGTTTTTCCTAATACTTCATTTCCTAGATATCAGGTACTTGCCCCTGTTAGTAGGATCTATATCCACACTGTATAGGGAGCATATACATACTAATGACGGATATGCAAAGGTTTCGCTGGGGTTTTGCAAGCAGATCTATGACTTTGAGAACTTCACGGACTGTGATAACTCATTCCACGTTATACTTGAATAATGTTAAACTAGCATTTCCAAAGCGCTTCACAATTCTAATCTGGATACTGCAAAGCGGCCTTCGGCTTTTCAAGAGCCAGACGAGTGTGAGAATGTACACTTGCGAGAGGCATATGAAGAGACACAAGCAGACACGTACAAAAAGCGCTAAAATGGAATCGACACTTTTAGATAGCATTATCCATGATCCAGTTCTTGAAGTAGGTCAGGTTGGTATGCACATCGGGAACGGCTTTCTTCAGATTCGTGTCATAGATACTGAAGCTGATGAGCCCCACGACGCTGCCATCGAGGACGTTCACAACCGGTCCTCCCTTGTCGCCTTCCCAGGCAGCTTTCTCCGTTGGCGGCCAATCACAAACCATCCGGTTCGAGATGGCGTGTATATTTTTCCACTCGTCAGCGCACCACTCGGCAGTGATTCCCACGGCGGGCAGCTGTTGCAGCTTCTTAGGGAATTCTGTGTCGCTGTAGTTGGTCAGACCCCAGCCATACATGGTCACACCGGAACCAATAGCAGCAGAGAAGTCACCGATGACCGCGAGCGGGACGTTATCAGGCGCGGCCTCGCGCAGGCTTAGAAGGGCCAAATCATAGTCCCGAGTCTTGGTGCTGTATTGAGGATGCTGGATGATCTCGTCCAAGTTCACCACGGTTCCACTGGTGGTGCGGTCGCTACTACCAACCCGAGCTTTCAGGGAGCTACTGGTTTCATTCTGGACACAGGAGGCCGCCGTCAGAATGGTTTGGGGGGTAATGAGGACACCGCCGCATTTATGAAAATCGCCGTCCGAAGACAGAAGCGCTGCAGCATAGGGTGCTGCGTTGGTAGGAGCCTCAATGCCTCCGTCTAAGGCATGAATGGGCTTTGCAATAGAAAGCAAGAGGCAGAGAAGGGAAGAGCCGTAGGTGATCGAGTTCAACATTATGAAAGGAGAGCGGACAGAGCAGGTTGACAGCTCAATGGACAGCAGCAGAGATATTTGTGTGGTGGTGGAGCAAGAAAAACCAGCCTCGGAGGGGAATGGTACTTGACTTATATAGATTCTCTACACGCAGCCTGGAATGTTTGTTAGGGAAATTATTGACGGATGGAGTGGCAGGAATAGCCATCTGGGGATCCGTAATAGCCCCTTTTTGCTATTATTATAGCGTTCCTTTTAGCCGGTTCAGTTTTGTATAAGAAGCAACATATGGTAAAACAAAGGCAGTATGCAATATGCGGGTGGCTAGGAGTACATAGATCACGCTTCAGCTGCTATTACGTACAGAGTCTCACCAGGAACATGCAGACAAGGGTCGTCGCCTGCATTTCTAGATCGCCTGCAGTTATATATTGAACTGGCATCCACAAGTCTTGGGACCGAACCAATCATTTTTGCATTACATCGCATTGCATTGCTTTCTAACCGCATTTCATTTACACTTCCTTCGCAGTGCTTTTGTCCCTGCCAATTTTATGCTACGACAGCTTCGCTGATCCAGCTCAGCTATGTTCTCAGTGCCTCCTCACCGGTTCCATATGCAGGGAATAACCCCTTCCCTCAAGAGGCAGGCACCTGCATATTTCATGCACTGTCGGAAGCATAACCAAAGGCCTGGCCCGGTCCCTCCGTACGCTCTTTCGCGTGTGCATCCTCGAGGCATATTTGCAGGTCCTTAGAAATGTGACAATCGCTAGTCCATAAAAACGAAGATTGTGGCGTTTTTGCCCAATTGAGTTTGTGAGACATTAGTCTAGTCCAATGATCATAATTAGGCCATGAACCACGGCTACTTCAACAATCGAGTCAACTCTGGGAGCCTCAAACCATAAGTATAAGCAGTGTATGAGTAGATGTTCTCTAAGATAACAATTACCTTGTTCCATTTTATATACTACTCTGCGTCATTAGCTGGGGTATATGTTCCTACTACTTTGCAGCGGTGTCATATCAATGTCAGTCAAGGAAATATAGAATGTGAATGAACTTCTTTATGCTATTGAGACCGCGTGGGTTCCGCGCTGCGTTAAATGAAACGTCTTTGATACCTGCAAAGAAATCATAGCTCGCACAACAAACAGACGTCCTACAATGTAATATCGAATAATTTTGCCGCTGGGTAGGCGGCAAACTTCTCGATAATAGCACATATGTCCTTGGACAGGTTCGTAGCCTGTTCTTGACGCAGTACGCGAGAGCTGGCACAGATCTGAACCTCTAATCGATCCGCATGTGGCTCAGTAAAAATCCAGACTTCGTCTAACGGATCGAAGCGAGCGAATCTGGAAAACTGGACATCAAGGGGACCGTCGTCTTCCCCGTCTCCGTCAACGACAGCTCCCTGTAAGGGAAGGCTATAACTCAAATCGATATTCTGATGCTGTACAATGAAGCTCAGTGGCGTCTCTGCAGGCCAGTTTGTACTGTGCTGGAAAATCTCGCGGAGCTCGACATGCTCATGGGAGAGAGACCGAGTATATTGAGTTTGCGCATGATTTAGAAGATCCATGACAGTCCACTCGGCCGGGTCTTCAGGAAAGGTGACTCGTAGAGGGATAAAGTTGAGACAGCACCCTAGGAGTGATTCAATGTTATCTAGGGGTAGGTTTCGGCCGTTGACTGTGTGTCCAAAAACTACATCTCTTTGACCGAGATGACGGGAAAGAAAGAAAGCACTTGCTGCTTTTACTAGAGTGGCCATAGTAACCCCCAAAGGCAAGGAGGGAGGCGGGGAGATTCCCTTGAACGTCCAGAGGGTCTGATCAGACTGCGTTGCGACGGCCGGCTCTGTACAGAGAGTGCGTGGACGGGGTGCAAATGGAATGGCCATCTTGGCACCGTCGAGATACTCTCGCCAAAACTGGAACGCCGGATCCTGTTTGATATCCGCTGCCGCGGACGAAACCCTGTGGTATAGGTATTGAGCAAAGTCGGAGGTGGGCGGCAGGGGTGTTTGATTGTAGATGGCAGCGAAATCGCTGAATAGCCGCGGAATGGAGACTCCATCCCACTGCGCATGTGAAATCTGGATCGTGAGAACGACATGCTGCTCCCCCGGACGAGAGGCAAGAGTAAACCTCACCGGCAGACTGCCCCCCATGACGTCCAGTGTGGGCCAGTCCGTGCGATCCCACAGCGATTTACAGACTTCCAAGGGCTCCTCTTCCGGCCAACACTGGATCTCACGTATTTTGGCATCGAAGTCTGCCAGCACGAGTTGAACTGGACACCCTTCATGTTCCACGAAGCTGGTGCGGAGGATGCTGTATCGCTCTATCAGTGTTTGACACGCGGCGCGAAGACGATCCATACTGAGTGAGCGCCCTTTGATCGTCCAGTTGTACGAATGCAATGTTTTTCTCTGGATGAAGAAGTGCTGAGCCTGCGTAATGGGGAGCAAATCTTCCAGCGTGCTTTTCATGGGAATAATGTTCTTTGCACATAAGTGCGCATGCAGCGCCTTGGGGTCCTCGATGGGACTTAAGGAGAATGGTTGCCACGATTTGTCCTCATCGGTGTCTTTGGGGACTGCCACTCTGGCCAACTCTGATAGAGTGGGATGGGCAAAGATGTCGGCAACGCCGAAGCTCATGCCTGCAGCCCGGCCGAGTGCAGCAGCCCTCATTGCATCGATGGAGTGTCCGCCACGGAAGAAGAAGTTATCACTTGCGCTAATGGTCTGGATAGGAAGATCCAGAACGGTTGCCCAGATGTTTCTCAGAGCACGCTCGGCGTCGCTGGAGAGAGGGTTCTCGGCAGAGGACGGCGAGGAGGAGGCCCGATAGCTCTGTAACTTGTCCAACGACATGGATCTTACGATATTGCGCAGGCAGTTCCGATCCACCTTTCCTGAATGCGTTCGAGGCATGTGCAAAACAGGGAGGAAAATGGCGGGCACCATGAAATCAGGGACCGTTTGGCGTAGTCGGATCTCCACGGCGGCCACTCGTTCTGCGAAACTATCGCTGGGAGCTCCCAAGGTATGAGACTCGTGGGTTTTGCATTTGTCTTCTTGGTCAAATTCTTCCTGCCAAAGAACCATGGCCACGAGCTGAGATTTGGTGCTTCCGGCGGGCACAATCATCTCCGCCACGACATCGCGAGCAACGCCATCGAAGCACCGATGTACGTGGACCTCGACCTCAGCCAGCTCCAACCGTTGTCCTCGCAATTTGACTTGGCGATCTTTGCGGCCGATGATAATCAGAGACCCGTCGGTATTTGAACGGACCAAATCCCCGGTCTTGTAGAGACGGGGACAATTCGCCTGAAGGGGTCGCAGTGCCCGCAGCCAGGCCGGGGGCTTGATAAATGCCTGTGCGGTTCTTTCGGGCTGGTTGATGTACCCACGGCCAACAATTGGACCTTCAATCAGCAACTCACCAATGGCTCCTTGGGGAACCAGCTTTTCGTGATCGTCGCTATCGACCACCCACAAGACGCATCCTATGGGATGTCCAACATTGCGCGGGTCGCTCGTGGCGCAAATCGACGATTGGACGACAGCCAAGGCAGAACACTCCGCAGGCCCATAGCCATTGATCAACCGGACATGAGGCGCCCAGGAAGAGACATCCGTCTCCGTCATACACTCGCCTGCCAGCATGATGCTATCGATCGTGGGCAGCTCCTCGGGACGGAAGAGACGGGCCACCGAGGGGACTAGCATTGCAAAGTTAGCTTTGAGAGTGCAGGCGACATCGCTGAAGCTATTTTTGCGCTGCTGGTCGGAGATCACGCAAATACAGGCCCCGGCCATGAGAACGCTCAACTGTTCAAGGATACTCATATCGAATGCGTAGGAGGAGAATTGTGTCACTCGGGAATGCCGAGTGAGCTTCCAGGCCGCGATATGATCTCGGGCGTCCGTGCAGTAAGAGCTATGATCGATGACAAGCCCCTTGGGTTTGCCTGTGGAGCCCGAAGTAAAGACCACATACAAGGCATGGTCTGGTTGCACAACTGGAAGCGCGATGCTACTGGCGTCACGATCGCTCTGGCCATCTAGCTCCCAGGCACAGTGGTCCGGTCCCACGAGCACCACAGTGGTTGCGAGCTCATTGCTGATGGAGGCGTGCGTCGAGGAGGTGACCACAATTCGGGCCTGGACCTCGGCGCAGATCTCTACTCTTCGCTGTTGGGGATATAAGGTATCGAGCAATAGCAATGTGCCACCAGCCTTTAATACCCCCAACATCGCTACAGGCGTCCAGCGGGACTTTTCCAAACAAATAGGAACCACCTCGTTAGGAGCTACGCCACCACACTTGACGATGAGATGCTGCGCCAATCGCGACGAGAGAACATCCAGCTCTCGGTAAGTAAACGATCCGTCTGTGTCACATACGGCCTCACTGTCCGGATACTCGTTGCAGCGCTCGCGGATGATCTGATGGACGGAAGATTCCACGCGAGCAGGCAGACTCTGGTTTCGGGCTAAGACCAGGTTAAAATCGTGTTCGCTGAAGATGTCGACTGCGGTAATTGCAGTATCGTTGTCGGCCGTGAGGATGGAGCGGATTGCCTTCTCGAACGTCGAAATCACGCTGCAGGCCTGCAGTTGCGATAAAACGCATGTTTTGAATCGAAGGTTGAGAGTGGTGTTGTCGCTGCCAGGAACAACAGATATAATCAGATCATCTTCAGCTCCATCCTCCATGGCAAGCGTGGTGAATTCCAGCTCCCTGTCTTCCTTCTGCAAGAGCTGGCCACTCTGCACCCCGACAGAGGTATTAAAGAGCGCTCCATCCGTAACACCGGCCAGCCGATGAGCGTCTGACAGCGGAAAGCACTGATGCCTAAGACTCTCCAAGTACTCCTCTTGCAGCTGGTATATGCTATCCCGGACCATCAAGTCCCCGGTCAAGGTGACCCGGCAGGTGAGAGGATTTAAGATGGCGCCTACAGCGTCCTCGATGCCATCAATGGGGAGATCGCGGCCGGACTTGACATAGCCGAAGCAGACGTGGTCAGAATTGGTGAAGCTGCGGAGCACCAGGGCCCAGGCAAGAGCCGCCAGGTTCCACATTGTGACATTGTGGCTTCGGCAAAACTCATCCACGGTGGCTTTTCCCAGGCTACTGTGCTGTAACGTGCGGGATACGCTGCCCCATTCCTCGTCGTGGCCGCAGTCCTCTCCGTTAATGCTCGGGAACAGACACGGCTCAACGCCTTGTAGATATTTTTGCCAGTAGCGGGAGGCAGCCTCGCGATCTTGCCGCTCGATATAACACACGTAATTACTAAACAGTGGCCCTCTCCCCGGGAAAAGTTTCCCCTCATACGCCAGGCACAGATCGCGCTCAATGATCTGCATGGTCGTTCGGTCCATAATGGCGTGGCTCATATCGAGGCGGAGCAGGATTTCTTCGTGTCTGTCATCCTCCCACTGGCACAGATTCATTCGGTGCATTAACTGCCCTTTGGGCCAACCGTCTGACAGGGCAGCTGGAAGAAGAGGACCGGATGCCGATAGCGTGGTGTGTGTGACCACAGATTCCGGTGGGACATGTCGCAACACGACTTGCTCCATGTACGAATCTGCGCGTGGGCTATCGACAAATACTGTGCGCAGGGCGGCATGTCGTTGGATGACCTGGCAGCAAGCTGCGTACAGACGTTGCAGGTTCGGTGCCTGACGCTGTCCATCTATGGAGCTTTGGATCTTCCACGTCACACTGGCATTATAGCTGTGGGCGATTTTGGCCTGGGCGATGAGCATCCCGCGCTGACTGGGAGAGCATGGATAAATCTCCTCAACGTTGTCCATTGAAATCCCCAGAGCCGGTAGTGTTGTAAGCACAAGTTCCTGTAGCTGCGGGTACGACAACGATGGCAACAAAGGGAAATCGGACAATGTATAGCGAGTGTGGTGCTTCATGTGGCTTGCAGCCCGGAGTTGTGATTCTGCAGCCTCCAGTGTTCTCTGATACGTTTTAACCCACTCGTCAATCAGATCTGCATGTCGGATCTGGCGGGGGTAAACCAATTGAACCCGCAGACAACCGTTTCGCACGGATGCGCCGACTTCGAAGATGGCAAACCGCTGGATATCGTCGCCCGCGTCTAACGCGCCCTGTGCTTCATGCGATTCCGTATTGAACAGCGAGTTGGCATGCTCTAATTGCTGGAACTCGCCGGCATAGTTCAAAATGAGCTCCATCGGGTGTTCCTGCCGGAAGGCTCGCTGACCGTCCGTGTTAAGGTAGCGAGAGGTAAAGTATGCCCACCCCTTGTTCGGCACAGCTCGACGTGCATCTTTGACCCGACGCAAGATGTGGGCGAAATTGTGCCGATCCTGCTGCTCCAGGTTGGCCGCCACCACCACAGGCCAGACGGTTGTGAACCAACCTACGGTCTGTGCGAGATTGATAACCGGATCCCACGGTTCTCTGCCGTGGCTTTCATTGAAGATTATGGGTGCATCGCGGGAAGGGAAAGCTTTTAGGAAGGAGTATAGAAGAGCAGCATGCAGGATCTCGACCGGTTGGCAATCAAAGGCGACCTGGGCTCCTCTGAACAGCATTCGTGTGCTTTTCTCATCGATGGTAAAGCTCTGCAACTGCGTATCCCCCATGCGGTTGGGCTGGCCGGGCGAATTGAACCAAAACGCCCTGCTGTCCTTATGGTAACTTTCTGGCAGGGTCAAGGAAAGAGCGACCTGCGGGAAGAGGGATCGTTGTGCATATTGGGCTTGGCATCGACACCATGTCTGAAATGAGATGGAGTCGGTCTTGCCTGGCAGAGTCTCCCCGGCGAGCAACGCATTGAGGTCAGCTAGAATGATGCGCCACGAGACAAGGTCAACCACCAGATGGTGAATCGCCAGGAAGAGGTGCTGCGAGCCATCCTCCGTAATGTCGATTAAATTAACCACGGTCAGAGGGCCCTTCTCCATGTTGATCGACTGCGTGCTGGCCGCTGTGACAGCGCTCAACTCGGAACGGGATTTTAATCGGTGGGCAGTGCAGTGGCAGTATGTCCACTGTCCATTGTCGCCTGGGGCAGTCGGGAGAAGGGATTGCATCCACCGGCCATCATCAGGCAGGCGTGCAAATTGTGCTCGTAGCATGGGATGTCTGGACAGTAGAACGCCCACGGCGGCATGCAATGTATTCAGTGAAATTGACTTACTGAGACGGAGCAAAAATGTCTGATTGAAGCGGTACCCGCTGCCGTTCTCAGATTGATGGTCCAAGAACATCTGTTGAATGGGAGATAGACCAAACCAGGTATTCAGTTCCTCGTCCTCGTTCTGATACTGCTCCCCACTAGAGACGTTCGACGAGGCAGTGTATAGCTCGGAGTGGGCCGTGATCTGGGCAATCGTTTTGTGTCTCATTATTTGGTCGAGGGTTACTCGAAAGCCCTTGGACCGTGCTTGTGCCACAATCTGCATTGCAGTAATGGAGTCACCCCCGAGATGATAGAAATTATCATCCACTCCAATGTCCTCGGAAGGCCGGTTCAACACATGTGCCCAAACATCGTGCAACTTCAGCTCTGCGTCGGAGGTGGGAGACCTTGCCGACCGGTTCACTGAATTCTCACGATACAACGCCAGCTGTTCCGGTGAGCACCCCTCAGCGAGATCACGGAGCCGGCGTCGGTCTAGCTTGCCGGATGCACTTTGAGGTAGGTAGCGAAGAGGTAAGAAAATCTCGGGAACCATGAACAGGGGAATCCTATCCTGCAATCGACCACGTGCAACTGCTAATTGCTCCCTGAATGAGGGCACGAGAGAGTTGGCGACAAAGAGAGCATCGTCGCTGACCCCGTTGGTGTGATCGTCAGCCACTTCGGTCATCACCACGAAAGCAACAAGGCTTTGGGTGTTGGACGAAGAGGCCATTGTAAAAGTGATCATCTCGACGACAACCTGGTCAATCTCTGGCCATGATTGCTGGACATGTTTCTCAACCTCCCCCAGTTCGATGCGCTGCCCACGCAGCTTCACCTGGGCGTCCCGACGGCCCACGTACTGCAGTGACCCGTCATTGTCGTAACGCACGAGATCTCCGGTTTTATACAACCGACCATACGGCACTTCGGGATGCAGCATGCGCATCCAGGAGGGTGGAGAGAAAATGAACACTGCATCATTTTGAACTGGATCGCCCAAATAGCCGCGGGCGACAGTGGGGCCTTCCACGAGGAGCTCGCCCACTGCGCCGATGGGAAGTAAAATGTCATGGTTATCGGGGTGGACCACATAGCAGCAGATGCCAGTGAGTGGAAACCCGATGTTCTGAGGGTTCGAGCCCGTGGTGATACATGGCTGAATGGTTGTGGATACCGCACACTCGGCTGGTCCATAACCATTCATCACTCGACACCGGGCGTTTCCGTTGTTGTTACCAGCCCAGTCGGCCACGTCGGAGGGAGTCAGGGGTTCTCCCACGCTCACAATAATCTCGCTAAAGCCCGGGTCACTTCGCAGGATATGCCGCGCGAGAGACGGAGTAAGATGGGCATGGGTCAGGAGGAACTTCCGCGCTGCAGCACCCAACTCGTTGCGGGCTTCGAAAGTTGAGGGCACACACAGGCAAGCCCCGGCCATCAGCGTGCTCAGAGTCTCCATAATGCTGCCGTCAAAAGAATAGCCGGCGAACTGCAACAGACGGGACTCACGAGTAACGTGCGTGGCAGCATTGAGAGCCAGTGCACTGGAGCTGAATGACCGGTGCTCGATCATGACTCCCTTAGGAGTGCCGGTCGAGCCGGAAGTAAAGGCGACGTATAATGCGGATGTTTCCTGAGCAGCAATGGTGGGCGCGCATGTAGCATCAGAGGGCCAGTGGTCCGACTGATCCTGGTCGACGACCACAGCCACAGGGACCAAGTTCTGGGCCAATTCGAGATTGGCTGGAGATGTCACTATGAAATGAGGTTTAACCTGGCGACAAATGCCTTCCAGGCGTGTCCGGGGCTGGGATGGGTCCAGCAGCACAAAAGCGCCCCCTGCCTTGATGATTCCCATGATAGCCACGGTTGTCCAAAGGGACTTCTCCATGCAGATGGGCACTATCACCTCGGCTTCCACCGCGCACGCATTGATGAACTGTGCCGCCAAGCGAGTTGAAAGTCGGTCCAGCTCGGCATATGTGAGCTTACCATCCCAAGCCCAGACGGCACAGGCCGTGGGTTGTTCAACGCACCGCTGTTGGATGATATGGTGTACACATTCATAGCTGCCTCGGAGAGAAGATATCGGCCCACTCCACTGGCGCAATTGTTCCAGGTCCATCGGACTGATGAATGGCACCTCCTCCAAGGGCCGCAAGGGCTCTGTGAGGATAAACTGTAAGGTCTGTTCAAAGTGCCGGAGAATCCGCTCCACCGCGGGCACTGAAGTAACGACAGGATCAAATTCCATAGTGACATCCACCTGCCGCGACTCTGTCAGGCTGCATATGACTGAGAGAGGCCAACTGGCAAAACCACCGGCCACCGCGGACCCGGCTTCCAGGGTGGTCAGCAGTGGACGATGCTCGTCAGCCCACGGCGGCTGGACAATGAGTTGACTTTGGAAGCTGCAGCCATCGGCCGCCTCCCTGCTGACCTTGCGGATCCGCTGAAGACCGAACTGCTCAAAGGGAACCATCTCGCTGGACTGGGTCTGGACGGCCTTCAGCGCCGCTAGGATGGTGTCCTCGGGACGGAACCGCACGCGAAGGGGCACGGTTGCGACAATGGGAGCCACAATTTTCTCGATTTCAGCAACGGGCGCCGCTCGGCCAGACACTGTTACTCCAAACACGACATCTGGCGAACTGGTATAGTGGCTGATCAACACAGCCCATGCCAGCCGGATAACATTGGAGATCGTGTATCCACCTGGAGCATCACGCTGGCAGAGAATTGGGAGATGGCGGCTTGCAGTGGGCACCGACGTGTATCCGGGAGATGGGAGTGCAGGGAACACCTCCGCCTCTAGACCTTCGAACTGCGACTGCCAGTACTCTGTTCCGCTGGGGTTGGCGAGCTGGCCAGAGAGATATTGGATGAAAGGGGCCATCGAGTTAGGCACGAGACGCTCGCCAGCGTAGGCTTTCTCCACCAGATCCATCATCAGCCCTGAGGCCCAACGGTCACAGATGGAATGATGCATCATCACCACAAAGTACATCGCCGACGGATCGCTCTGGAAGGAGGATGATTCTGATCCGGCGAGGATTGAGGCATGCACCAGAGGGACCCCAACCAAGAGGGCGTCCGTCGTGCGCCGCTTCATGTACATGTCCCAGTCTACCTCCACATCCGGGTTCGCGTCATCCCATTGGAAGCTCTCCCGCAGAACGACCTGAAACATCCTACTGCCATCCAGTTCGGTCACTATTCTCGTCCGCAGGATTGGGCTGGCCTGAACAACCGCCTCCCACGCATGGCGTAAGACAGCAATGTCGACATGCGGCTGCAACTTGTGAATAAAGCGTGCTATATATGCACCAGGCTTGGATGCAGACAAGGCCAGCATCCCTTCCTGGAGCGGCGTGCAGGGATAGATATCCTCAATCTCGCCTTCCTCCACTCCGCACACAGAGGCAGCGGTCGAGATCAGTACTGGCTTGGAATGGGCATCAAGCAAGAAGAACGGCTCGTTGGAGTCAATTTCATCCGTCGAGGTATGACCCAACTGGGCCACTATACGGGCTAATTCGCCCAGACGGGAAGCCGCAAAGATATGCGCCGCCGTCAGCTCGACGCCAGCTGCTCTGGCCCGACCAGCCAGCTTCATCGCCATCACCGAGTCTCCCCCGAGGGTGAAGAAATCATGCTCCATGCCGACTTGTGCCGGGGGAAGATTGAGCAGCTCGGTGATGAGCTGGTGGATGAGCACTTCATGAGATGTCTGCGGGGGCTCCGAGGCGGCGATCTCCACGCCAGTCCATCTCAGCAACTCCTCATGTCGCAGTTGCTCTGCCTCTTGTCTAAGTCGTCGTCGATCAATCTTGCCCGTGACAGTCAGCGGCATGGACTGGATTTGCAAAAATAAGCGCGGAACCATGACATCCGGCAATTTTTCCTCTAGTGTCTTGATCACCCGCTGAACTGTGGCCACGAACTCTTGGTCTGGCAGGGCAAAAAAAGCGTTGCCGATGCCAGATGTGGTTGGAGATGTGGGTAATGAGGGCGCCGGAACGAAAGCAACGAGGCTGGCAACCCCGTCCCCATCGGCAGGCACAATAGCATCAATCACGGCCTTTCGGAAAAGTGTCGATGACTGAGCCATATGGAACTCAGGCTCCCCAAGGTCAATACGTTGCCCACGCACCTTGACCTGTCGATCCTGCCGACTGACATATCTGAGCAGGCCGTTGGAATCGTAGTAAGCCAGATCCCCAGTCTTGTAGCAGCGGACGCCCCCTGAAACATTGCACAATTTCCTCTCCCCTCCTAGTGGTCCCTGTCGTCTCCAGGTAGGCGCCTCGAGGAAGCTCAGCGCCGTCTTATCCGGACTATGCAAATATCCCTGGGCGAGACTAGGGCCTTCGACGAACAGTTCCGCCACCGCACCGATTTGGGCGATTCTCTGCGGGTTGCCCGGCTCAATCAACCAGCAACGGGCGTTGGCGGGAGTCCCAATGATGCCAATATCTGCGATAGACTGAATCTGTGGCGATACGCAACATACCCCGGCCCATTCGGTGAATCCATAGGCTTGAAACAGGCGCGTGCGCTTGGCCCATAGCGAGATCTGGGCCTTCTTCAACGGCTCCCCGGCGACTAAGATGCATCGCAGGCCGGGAACTGCGTCTGGACCGATGGTTCCCAAAACAGTGGGAGTTACAAATGCCCAATTGATGGCCATTTCCTCCATGGCATCCGCCAGACGGCTCACTCGGTCGGAATCCGAGGGCATACACACAGTCCCGCCCGCGGCGAGCGTGCACCAGATTTCGATCAAAGAAACCCCAAAACTAAATGACGCGAACTGCAGCACCCGGCTCGTAGAGTCCAGGTGAAGGGCCTTACAGTGGGTTGCCACGCTCGCCAGCGCTGCATGATCCACAAGACATCCCTTTGGTTCGCCCGTACTGCCAGACGTGAAGAAGCAATATGACGGCGCGGTTGCATCGATTGGCCAGCCGCTCTCGCCAACCTCATCCTGCTCATTCTTGGGGAGCAGGAGCATAGCTTGTGCATCCACCGCTAACGTGGGTGTAATAACCTCATCCATCAGCGCTTGATTCTCGGGCGAGGTGAGTCCCAAGGGAGGGCCATTGAGCTGCTTCACAATTGATCTCAGGCGAATCAAGGGCTGTGATGCGTCCAACGTCACAAATGCTGCCCCAGCTTTGTTGACAGCAAGCATGGCCACCACGGCCCATAAGGATTTGTTGAAGCACACGGGGATAAATGTGCCTGGCTGGACCCCTATTGTCTGGAGATGCCGTGCTAATCGGGATGAAACGGCATCCAATTCGGCGTACGTGAGTGTGCCATTTGATGCCAATAAAGCGGGATGGTCGGCCTGCGCCTTGGAGAGATTGTGGATGATTTGGTGGATGGTAGGAACCGATGGCTGGATCAATACTTGGCTATTCCATTCCCTGATCGTTTTCAGCTGCACGGTGCTGGTGATGGCCAATTGAGAAAGGCTCTTCGTATTCGCCTTTATCGCCACTGTCATCACGGCTTCAGCCAAAAAGGGTGCCATATGCTCCGCCTGTCCACTCGACAGGACTGCTGTTTTGTACACGAGAAACCATTCGGATTTCTCTAGATCAAGAGCCAGCATTATAGCACATTGCTACACATGAGAAGGGTTAGCTATGTGTTTTCTAAAAAGGAGACGTGTTAGAAAAGGCGCAAATGAGACCTACCTCTTGTTCTACTTCTTCTATTTCTTTCTCTTCCTCTTCCTTGGATCCCTCGTCGTCTATTTGGTGCGATATGCGGGCAAAAAATTGTTCTGCTATCTTCTTTTCGCCCATATCATTCACTGCCTCCTCATCTTGACCGTGATAGAGGGCAACCCCTGTATTGAAATATGGATAGTAACTCAGGTTCACGTTGGAAACCGACCATCTCTCGATATGGAATAAATCAGAGGCCGCCCCAGTCCGACTTCGCGCAGAAGCAAACAGTTTCATGTATTGCTTCTCTGCGCTCCTGGCTGTGAAAGGGCCAGTGGTCTGGTGCACACCGATCTGGACTGTGTCGACTTCGGCATATTCCCACAGGATCAGAGCCCACACAGTAGCTAGAAAGCACAGGGGATCTTTCTGCTCCGCTTTCAGGCTCGAGTTGGGCTCCTGGCCCTGATTCGGACACGAGGGAGGGCAGGACGAGGATGAGAGGATTCCAGCTGCTTCCAGGGTGCAGGTACATAGTTTGGTCCGCCCCCAGTGTGTCTTATCGTTGTCGGCAGAGGTGTTGCCATCGTTGCGGATTGGGAAGAGGCATTTTTCAGTGGGGAGATCACTTCCTCCATTGGGATGTTGGATTGTCATCTTTTGTCCGTTCCTTGATGTGAGTGGGTGTGTAATAATATGCTATGCGAGAAATACTCTCGTGTAACGTGGCACTCGGAAGAATATAAACAGAGCTTCCTCCTTTTGAATGCAGGCAATCGATGTCCCGCACGATCATCTGCAGTGTTCATGTTTTGCTAAAGAGAAACACTCGCATACCTTTTCTCTTACTGTCCATTATTGATGTTACAATGCATCCATTCCTCCAATTTCCACAGTATACATGATACCATAGAGCAACTGCAAGGGGTTTGAGAATAGCCATTGCGTATCTGCTAGTAATCTCGGTTCGCTGTAGCCGGCCAAATATTGCATACATTCTTCATCAAGCCACACCAAGGGGGCTGAGATTAGCCTGAAGGCTGGTCTAGAACCTCTAGATTTGATCTAAATCGTCCGTTGATGTCTTAGAACTGTCTGATCTACAAGCATGGGGCTCTAGCAATTGAGTGTTCTCATGCAATGCTTTCACCCACATGTATGTCGCCTCCTGCATGTAAATATTCATCTCCTGCATGTACTGTTCCTGCATGGACTGTTAGTATGAGATGCATGAATATAAAGAAAATCATTCACGTAATATAGGTAGCATAATATTCCGTCATTTACGTAATATAGATAGCATAATGTTCCGTATATCTGAAAAGATTACATTCTACACAAGGATGGCCGTTCAGTACTGTGCATACGCATATTACTGCAGCAAGGAGCGTGTATAATTTTCCTGACTCAACAACTGACTGGATTTCTCCAGAAGTCTTCTTGATCAGTTGATCATTCATTTCCCTCTGCCACGTTTTTTCTTTTCTTTTCTTTTGGTTGTTGTTTCCCCTTTTTATCTTTTCTGTCCTTTGCCCGGGAAAAAGACGAACAAGATGACAAAAGAACTTCACCACACGGTATCTGCGCCTGATTCAACTGGGATCAAGGTTATTATTGTTGGACTCGGCCTCGCAGGCCTTACCGCAGCAATTGAATGTCATCGAAAGGGTCATTCAGTGATTGTCCTCGAAAAGGTGTCCGAGCTACAACATGATGGTATGTTATTCCGCGCCCTCATACCACAGTACCCTCGACAGGTGATTTGCATTCTTCCTGAGCTAATCCGTTGGAGAGAATAGCCGGCGATGGAATTATGATCGCCCCCAACGCAAGCCGTGTCATCCGCCAATGGGGTGATGAACTCCTCACAGAGATTGCCCTGAATTGCTGCGACGCCACGCATGTCGATATGATGGATCATTGCGATAAGCTCATTGTCCGACAAGAACTTCCCGGAAAGGGGGAGGGTCTTGTAACCAATCGCGGCAAACTGGTGTGTCTCCTATATGAGCTCGCGAAGAACCGGTTGGGGATTGACATTCGACTGGGCTCTCGGGTGACTGAGTACTGGGAAAGCGATGATGGACACGCCGGTGTAGTCGTTGATGGTCGAGAAAGAATTAGCGGAGACTGTGTGGTGTGCGCGGATGGAGTTCATGGGATGGCCAGGAAGTATGTCACCAAAGAGGATATACCTCGGCGGGAAACTGGTTGGGCAACTTTTAGAGCTCATATTGAGGCCGACACATTTGCGGATGATCAGGAGGCAAAGTGGGTTCTGGCCGGGACTGACTTGGTGGACCGGACCTATGCGTGGTTCGGGGACGGCGTGAATGTGGCCATGATGACCCTGAAAAGGGGAAAAGAAGTGGTGTGGATGACAACGCACAAGGTAGGCATTTCACTTTCGTTTCTTGTCCCTTTCCTATATTGCGTTTCTGTCCACTCACTCTGGTCTTCAGGATTGCTACGGTGCACGTGAGACATGGCACGGTGGAGGTCAAGCCAAGATCGACGACGCACTGGCGACTATCAGTCAGTGGCCTGGCAGGCACAGAATTGAAGCCGTTATTCGACATACCAAACCCAGCAAGTTGGTGAACCATCCACTCATCTATCGTCCTCCACTCCGCACATGGATTTCCGAGGGCGGACGGATCATCCTCATTGGTGATGCCGCCCACCCCTACTACCCTGTCGTAGGCCAGGGCGGGAGCCAAGGGATTGAAGATGGCGCAGTTCTCGCCATTGCACTCTCGCTGGCAGGCAAAGACCGCGTTTCCCTCGCGCTGCAGGTGGTCGAGAAGATCCGATACCCGCGGGCAACCGTCATCCAGCTGGGAAGTTCGACCTTTCAGGCGACTGTGCTCCGGCCGGACTGGGAAAAAGAAGCGAGCAAGCAGGATGAGTTCCGGTTCCCCAACCCGGACTGGATCTTTAGTCATGATTGTCAGGACTATACGTATCGGGAGTTTGAATCTGTAGTACAGGCAATTCGAGATGGGAGGGAATATGTGCCTACCAATATCCCTATCGATGGGGTGTATCGGGTCGAGAATACATACAAGCCAGAGTGATTCTCACTTTTTCCCTACTGCTCTTTGATCGCTATTACCCACTATGCTAGCAAGGCCATTGTGGCCGAATGCAATAAGAGACCGCCGATTCATGTGGTATTCTTCTCCATCAGTATAGGCAGAAATGTGCTACCTTCAGGCAGTAATAGTTACGGAGGCAATAAACACACTGGACACAGCGCGGTGACTTGCTGCAAGAGCACTGCAGTCCTTCCGAACGAGCTGTCTCACGTAAAATATTGGTAATTTGGAGTAGAGCAAGGGCCCGCGAGACAAAGCACGCGACCTTTTCAAGTAAGACACTTATTCTGCATAAATATTGATTCCACTGCATGTAGAGTAGTATTGAGCAGTAAGCAAGGAGACATTCTTCCGAAAGGATCCATACTGGATGACAAAAGGAAATGAGAAAAAAGAAATGAAAACGAAATGAAAAAGAAATGAGGAAAAGAAATGAGTACCAATGGGTCTCTGATGTGTACGGTTGAACAAATTACATATACCTTCCCTGGCATCTGAAGAGATCACATCTTCCAAAAGCAACAGCCAAAAGTGAAAAGAAAAAGCATTCATCATTTCATGATGCGATCGTTGTCTTTGATCTCCATCCTCGCGGCATTACCGATACTGGTCGCATCAACACCAGCACCTGCCAGCCAAGATGAAGGCCCTGTTGATTTCAACGCCATTTTCAAGCCAGTCTTGTCTTCTGGCGCCCGTCTATACCTCCCCAATGACCCGGAATATTTTAAAGTGAATGAAAGATGGTCTAACTTGCAAGACCCGAGTTATGTTGCTGCCATTCAACCGGCCACCGAAGAAGATGTGAAAAACATTGTATGTCCATACCCGGGATATCTTCCTCTAGCCTACTGCAGCAAACCTCAATACATACCCATTTACACACATGGATTGATCTCATTGTCTTGTCGGTGCTAATGCGTTTCTTGCTTTGCTCAGGTCAAAGCTGCCACTGAGCATGATATTCCCTTTCTGGCCACCGGATCAGGACACAGTGTCAAAACCGGCTATACTTCCGTCAAGGGAGCGGTGAATATCGACCTCAAACTACTGAAAAACATCTTCTTGGATTTTGAGAACGACGCCGTGACTATCGGACCGGGAGTTGTGAACAGCCAGGTGTATGATGTGCTATATGACGTGAAAAAGGAACTTCGTAAACAACCCCCCTACCCCACCGAATCAGGAATCAAACAAGTCCATGCTGTTAACGCATCTTAGCCCTCAGCACCGATCGCTGCATCAGCACGCTCGGCACGATGATCGGAGGCGGTCTAGGAACCCTTTATAGTGTTCGTGGTATCCTGGCCGACTCTCTGATCTCGGCCCATGTTGTCACTGCCACAGGGGACTTAGTCACGGCCTCACAAACCGAGAATGCGGATCTCTTCTGGGCGATTCGTGGTGCCGGTCATAACTTTGGTATCATCACCTCCGCCACGTTCAAGATGTACGACCAGACCAATGGTGGCAACAGCGTGTTTGGTGATTTCCTGATCCCTAACTCCCGGAATGCGTCCGCATTTGAGTTGTTGAAGTCAGTGGATGAGGATCTTGAGCCGGGTGTCTTTTGGGGAATTCTTGGTGGTTTCAACCATACAACCAAAGAGGTAAATCAACCCAGTCCCCTTCAAAAGAAATTACAAGTAAAGAGAAGAAGGCTTACTGGGAGAAAATGTAGGCTGAGCTTCATGTTCGTCTGTTGATATTCGGAGACGATGCAGATGCTGCCCCCCATCTGGCCAAAGTGGAAGCCCTCAACCCAACCGTCACCTCATGGGCCAACACCACTTGGAATACCTACGGCGAAGAAACAGCCATCATGTGCAACACGGGCTGGAATGCGAACATGTACTCAATGGGTCTGAAGCGTACTGACGTGGACACAATGGTTGCGGCGTTCACGAATTGGAGCTCCTTCTCTGCCGAGAATGAGTGGTTCAATGGGTTGCTAATGATCGAGAGACATTCCGAGGCTACGGTGATGGCGGTTCCTGAAGAGGAGCGAGGAGTGTTTCCATGGAGAGATACCAAAATCCAGATGTATGTGCTTCCGTCGCAAAAGGGAACCCGAAAAGGGGAGAATCCAAGATTCCAGCTAACCATGGTGTTTCCGCCTTGTATTAGGGTATTCGTCAACTACATCACTGACCCGAAATACCATGATACATTGGATGACTTCATCCAACCATCTCGCGCAGAAATCCAGGGTGTGATGGGCTTTGAAAATCACCACAGCTATGTGAACGAGGCATACGGCGATGAAGGTCCGAGTGTCTGGTACGGAGAACATAACTTACCCAGGCTGGTGGCGGCGAAGCAGAAGTGGGATCCGAAGAATCATTTTGGACCGGGAATGCCAGTTCCATTGAGTCTCTAAGGGCCTTTCTTAGGGGGCATGATAATGACAGGGAGAGATGGGGTCGGACGATCTATAGATAGGAATTGCATATGTTGTAGATTAACTAGGGAGCCGGGATTTTCCCGTGACATTTTTCTTGCCCCATGTATCTGATTCTTTTAGAAATATATCTACAATGACAATTCCGAGGCAAATAAACAGCCCTGATACAACTTTTCCCAGTTCATTATTCATCCGACAGACTCATGGCGGGAAACTCCAATCCCATTTCCCGGTGAGGATTAAGAGAGTCAATCCCCGCGGAAATATGGTCTCCAGTGACTGGCTTGCGCGTGAAGAAGATCAGCATGTCCCGGGTAGCCTCCCTGGATGCGTTGACCGCATAGACTGGAGATATGCTGTGTTTACGCTCATTATCGACAATTAACAGGGTGTCCAGGAAATGGCGATGCTGTGCTCGTGCCCGGATCATCTCCGGCGCGGTTTCTTGAAGTCGGATGCCAGTTTTCTCCTTGACATCATGCAAGAAAGTCACTGCACTATCCGGCGTCATGTTGGTACTTCGCAGATAGGTTGTCATGGTATGGTCGACCCCATCCGTGTGCACGCCTTCCAGCGCGGGCTCTCCCAGCATTTCCGGCGTCGTGACGGTACGCAGAGCAAAGAGCGTACACACCCATTTGTTGCTATGATAGTCAAGCTTCGGACGTTCCTTCACCGTCATCCCATGGAACATGAGCCCTTTAAATACCATGAGCGCTTGGAAGGCCGTGTTGAGCTGCAGGTCGTTGTCTACCTCATCGAAAACACGAACGGTGTCCGAGTCATGCCGTTTAAAGTCCTCTCCCACTGACAGTGCGAATGGCTGAAACTCGAGTCGCCGCACGGACTTGGTATCCCAGTCGAAGCAGAACCTTCCGTTACGGGACTTGCGGAAAGGCAATGTCGGATCACCGACGAGACTGTTGTTCACGGCCTGAAGTCTGGGGAAGTCTTCATCTCTGGCCCCCAGCGCCTTCAGGATAGGCACCATCTCCTCGCCATCCACGAAAACTGTCCGCTTCTCCATGTACTTGCGGCGTAGTTGGCAGATCCTGGAGATGGCCTCATAAAACTCGGGTGTACACGACTGCCTCTTAATGTTCAGTGGGGGTGGACGAGCTTTCACAGCCATGTCTCTGGTCTCATTCATGGCGGTACTTGCGTTTCCCAGTCCCCGGTACCATCGCTGATGAAGACCATAGCCACTTGGGGTGCGCCGGAGACGTAAGATAGGAGCTGCCGTACCCCATATCTGCTTGATGGGGGAGATAGCTTCCATAATCGCTCGCTGTGGCAGGGTTGAATCGTTGGAAGAAGATCACAGAAGATGGCACGGAAGGAATGGAAGAAGTAGGTCAAGGGCGCCCAGGATGGTGAATCGTTAGCTGCAAAGAATACAGGAATCGGCGAACGGTTCAATAACACTGGCCATACTAAATTGATCGTTATATAGTGCCTTATGTGTTGCTTCTTGATATCACTCAGCCTGAAGGAGGCACCAATGTCTTCCGTGTTGCGGTGTGCCACGTAAGTCTCCTCTGCTTTGGATGGCTTACTATCGCCAGTCAATGACGGGGGTGTCATTTACTGTAGATGAATTACTATCCACTCCAGGGCTACTTAAATTGCTGACACACTGCCCCTTTATTCCCCTTATCTGAGGTAAGCTCGTAAGCCATGAGAAATTTCTTTATTGGCGCTCAAGGGATCAGATCATAGACCATGTTGACCTTCTATAACTAGTTAATTCTTAACCTGCTGGATTCCCCCTCCCAGCAAAATCAGATTTCACAACTCTTTTCATGGTACGCACATTGCTGAACTCATGGAACCAATGAAGAAAACAACACCGACACATCTCAAAATGGAAGACAAACGGCCGAAGGTTTACTTATTTATATTTCATGCTTACCTTACAGGAACGTGCTGAGAATGCAGAGCAGCTGTTCCTTTGGTATACGACCGGCGAAATGCAACAGGACAATGGCTGCAAGCGCTGTGTCTGATCGATCCCTTTGCCAGGCAGCCCTGTTCTCGGCGGCCAAGCCCATCATCAGAGCCCATCGGGTTGGTAACTATGAGTTTCAGTCTGTTGCCGTTGGAGACAATGGAGACAATTGTTGGAGCGGACCGTCTTCTCACCTCATTTTGAATGATCCGCTTTATAGCATTAGGGCTACCTATCTTGCTAGTCGTATGCTGCGCCTGCGCTAAGGGAATGATGCAGTCATTCAGATTGTTTCGCGCGCCATCGCCCTCAGATAATAAGATTGTCTCCGTCGTCTTCAAGATTTCTTCATGAAACATTCGCCGCTCCCATGAGTCCCATTGGTCTGCGGCATAACATATATCTGCGATAACTTTGGGAAGCCGTCGAGTGCGGCTTAGACGTTGTTCGTACGATAGCGGTGATGATTCCGCAAAAGTCCCATTGTAATAGGCCGTGACCAGCACGTCAAAGTTGTCGAATCCATTATGCATGACACATTCCATCACACATTCAAGGCGGTCGTTTAGCGACGTATGGTCTGTGGACATCGCCACCGAGTTGGGTGTGTTGTGCGGTGAGTCTGAGGTGCGGGTGGGATTAGAGACGCTTCCCACCGACGGAATTCTGCTCATCGGTTGATACGGAGGCTCTGGTTCCCAGGTGTTACCCAACGTGTCCAACAACCTGTCTATGCTACGCCGGCTTTCTGTCATCAAGATGGTGGCGCTGTTGGATTGCTCTGCTAACACTGCTGCTCTGTTACTGCGCGGTCCTATCCCACCGGAGCAAGGTTTCGGGCCACCTACCTGGGCTTGCGTTGGGGCCACCAGAGACATTCCCGAGAAAACTTGCATTGTCTTGCCAGATGGTTGGATCCAGTGGGTGTTGGGCGGAACCGTTATAATCCAGGAGGAGCTTTGCATTCCCTATCCTAGTCTCGCCTGTCTCTTGCACATTCTGCGGACAGTGTACTTGTAGTGGCAGCCTCTGTTTCTGGAAGGAGCCCCCTTGTGGAACCAGACCTAAGGCAGCTGACCTATCCAGGTCTAGGGGTGATTTTGGAGATATCGCGCACAGTTCCGCTGTCACTGTGCGGCTTTGACTGGCACCCAGCTTGTCGTGATCGTCGGTCCGCTGCAGCCGACTTTGCTCGTGGTCTTCGACTCGTGCCTGGAGATCCGCCAGACGAGCTTTGACGCGTTGCCCTAGTGCCCATTAGCTCGCTGTTTTGGTTCTCTGCCGTGGGTAGGGTAGACAGGGGTATGCTACGGTAGATCCGCTGAGCCACTCGATTCTGAATCCGTTTCTTTTCTTTTCGGTCCTTGACCGCCATCGAGCTGTCCACAACGCCCAGTTCGTTGGCTTTGGGGAGGGAATACGGTGCTGGTAACATCGTCGTCATCGGGGATTTGGGATCCGCACAGAATGCCATTTCCCTTACGATAACATGAGCACTGACTGGGATTCAAATTCTAAGGCTAGTAGTGTGTCTTCTTTCCTTTCGTTGCATGTGTCCATTGCACACGCTGATTACTAAAACTTATGACAAGCATTGCAGCTCAGAGATCGAACTTCTGCAGGAGAGAGGTCTAGTCCCCAGATGCAGGCCATAGTAGTCCCCTAACGATGCCAAAGGCAGGCAGGGAGCTTTTCGTCACACCGCCACTTTCCAGTAATTTCCCAAAGGGTGAGCATTATTGTGAATTATCGAGAACATTGTTGCCGACACAATGTCTTTGTTCACACCGCCAATTGCCAAGATGTATACAGTATACGTATGACCTGCATGACATCTACGGCTATAGTTGCCGGAGGCAGATTAGATCCCGTATTAGACCTGGATACATATGACATATCTACGATGGTAAATATGGAGAGTGAAGGACAAAAAGGCAACAAAGTCCACTTCCATCTGGACCACGTATAGCCAACGCATTCCTGTACGTTACTGCAGAGAATAATAACAACAATCATGAATTTTCAACGGCCTTGCTTCCCCCACTGGTACAGCAGCATTATCTTCCTTGCTTGCTATAATACGCAGCTGACACGCCACATCGAATTCTTGCACCGTGCAATCTAGTGCAAAGACCATCTGTTTCTTCCAGACGTTCATTCCGTATCGTCCCGATAAAATCTGAAATCATGTCTCAGTTATCTGCATACCGCCTGCTCAGCTTCGATGTCTACGGCACCCTAGTCGACTGGGAAGAAGGCATCTGCGCCGCCCTCCAAGTGACATTAGATCGCTACAGCGTCCAGTTCAAACGCGATCATCTGCTTAAGCTTTTCGAAGATCTCGAACACGAACATGAAGCCAAGGCCCCCGGCATGCTATACAGTGAACTGTTGGCCGCCGTGCATCCGGCGCTGATCGAGAAGTTGGGTCTTCCTTCGCCCACTGCAGGAGAGAACAAGCGCTTCGGCGAAGCCGTGGCACACTGGCCGGTCTTCCCTGATACGTTGGATGCATTGAAGCGGCTCTCCAAGCATTACAAACTTGTAGTGGTGTCCAATGTGGATAGGGAGTCATTTGCCAAAACCAATGCGGGTAGTCTGCAGGGTTTTCCATTTGATTTGGTGTTGACTGCACAAGATATTGGGTCGTATAAGCCGGATTTACGCAATTTCCAGTACCTGTTGAAAGCCGTGAAGGAGAAGCTGGAAGTGGAGTCGGATCAGGTCCTGCACACCGCGCAGAGTCAATTTCACGATCACCAACCCGCGCAAAAGATGGGTATTAAGTCGGTGTGGATTGCGCGCTCCGGAGCGGTCATTGGCAATGTGGATGAGGCTGTGTATGACTGGCGATTTGACACTCTGGGGGAAATGGCGGATGCGGTGGACGCAGAGAACGCGGATAGTAGCGTTGGCTAGAGTACAGATTGGCATATGCGAGGTTCAGGATTAGTTCATTGCATTTGATTATTTATGACAGCTAGTTTAGATATCAAACGGCTGCTGGCCCGGTTTTTTGGGATTTGATACGAAGTCCTGGTCCAAACCGTTCATAATCGCATCACCCGCCATAGCAATCTCATACTCAATGTCTGGCTGCGCCTCTGCATACAACCAGTCCTTCTGGCCCGCCATGTCAAAGTTGAACTGGGCCAGCTGATTGGGGATGATATGCTTCTTCAGTGCCGGGTTCCCTGCACAGGCTGCTTCTACCTGCAACTGGATCTGACAACTGCGGTCGAGCAGCGTGAAGAGAAACGAGGCCTCGTCCACGGTCGAGCCAACACTCAAGAGGCCATGGTTTAGCAGTACCGCGGCCTTACCCTTACTGCCCAGTGCCTTTGCAATCTGCTGCCCTTCCTGCTGGGCCGTGACGATTCCCCCGTACTCCTGACTCACGGCTAGCACCCCGTACAGGTCACACACGTCCTGTGTAATCATATCCAGGGGCTGGCCAAAGGTCGCCCACGCCCGCCCGGCAATGGTATGCGCATGGCAAATTGAGTGAATGTCAGTGCGTGCTTGGTGAATCTCTGAGTGAATGAAGAAGCCAGGAGTATTGACGGGTCGATTCTGACAGCCAGATGAGAACATGGCCGGGAAGGATGATTGGAAACAAGGGGCGTCGGAGAACATACTCGGTTTCCGCCGACCACGGCTCCTGTCTTGATATCTAGACACAGCATATCGCCCGCGGTTAACAGGCCAAAGTGCTTCCCAATTGGGTTCATCCAAATATATTCCGCGTGCTCTGGGTCGCGTACACTTATATGACCGGAGATCCCTTCGGTAAATCCAACGCGCGCCCAGTTGCGGAACACCGCTGCCATATGCACCAAAATATGCTTGCGGTGCTCAGCAAAGGAGTCAAACCGTGGTATGCCTAACCAGTTGCAGGGCCATTGTCAAATCCATGTACGGAATGGAGGTGATAGGGCAGTACCTGTTAGAGGGTTTGGGCCATGGCTCAAGTTGTGCAGCTGGCATTCCGACTCCAGATCGGACGACGCGTCTGGCGCGTCCCGGGCCATAGATACAGCGGTGACGGTCATAGTTTCTGCCGTCGTGGTAGCTCGCACAAGCTGTTGAACCGGTTGGAAGAAAATAATTGATGGGATGGAGGAAAGCGCGGTTTAGTTCACCGTGATGGTGGATTGGACCCTTCCAAGGTTATCAACATAATTGTGAACTGACGTAAGAATCTAACGACGCTCCAGAAGGGAGAGTAAGCCAGATAGTAATTCAGGGACGTAAGAGTAAGCTACGAAAATCCGGACTCCAATACAGGTGGGAGAGCATGCTGTAAGGCCCTCTGAGGTGATGCGATGCAGGGCAGCTCATCTATAAAAAATCTTGGATACAAAAGAGAAAAACTCATATTATACATTTATCTAACTAACAGACATGCAAAATAACCAGATGTGCAAGCTTTACGCTTCCACTATGTTGCTCCAAGCTTGTACGCTCGTGGTACAGTACTAGAGCCAGACAGCAGTATTGAGTCTATGCTTCAGACGAGCAGCGCCACACACTTATGTACTGCACCGTTTTCTCATAACACATCTGATCTTCCAATCTGATCACAGCTATTGTGGTATATCACACTCTGCATGGAGATCGGTCCTACAGCTTCCAGACCATTCTCAGCTGTAATAATCTCTTCCGATCTCACATTTTTATTTCCAGAAAGAAAAGATGCATGCTTGAACCAGCAGACCACGAAGACCATGTCCCAATGCAGCAGCTCATAGTTACTTACATACCATGTCGAATTGCGCCAAGTGCATTGCTGCTACCTCTGACTGCTTGCTGTAAGCGCAATGCAAGAACAATTACAAGATGGTCACACCGCCATATCAGCCATTCCCATACATCTTCCCACAAACACATTCATATCGATCACTAGGCTGTAGGTACAAGTATGCTGATGCTACACAGTGAAGGGCATGTGTCCCTGTAGGTCCACGGAGGAGAGAAAATAATTACGTCTTGGCCATCTAATTTCTCCCAACTCCTTACAAAACTGTAATAAAACGCCTTTTTTTCTCTTATCCTTTTTGCTTTTTCTGTTTCTTCTTTAGTCCCCAACATTCTTCACTAGAAGACCTCAAATAGACACCGCAATGACGAAAGAAACGCCCACCGGTATCACTGTGATCATTGTCGGCCTAGGAATCGCCGGACTCACTGCCGCGATCGAGTGTCATCGACAAGGCCATAAGGTGATTGGATTAGAGAAGAAAAGCACGGTGTATCAACTTGGTCAGTCCTGCCTGGTTTATGAACCCCTACTCTGATAACCATCAGGGAATCACCTCGCTGAACGTCACGGCTGGAGTTGTCTAGGTGATATCATTGGCCTCAGTGAAAATGGTCTCAATGTCTTTTCGCACTGGCCCACCACCAATGGCTCCTCTATCGCCTCAACCCTGGCATCGCTCGGTAGCGAACTGGCTTCCGTGGATATTTTCAGTGATGCTGGGGAATTGAAATACACCATCCCATTCGGCGCCGATAGTCCAGTGGCGGGACAGTTTCTGCGTCGGTCGGACCTGGTCCAGGTGCTGTATCAGTATGCAACAACCGACCTCGGGTTGGACCTGAGGTATGGGGTGATGGTAGAGGAATATTGGGAGACAGCAACCATGGCGGGCGTCCTTCTTCAGGGTGGAGAGAGAATTAGCGGGCAGTGCGTGATTGGGGCAGACGGGGCACATAGTAAAGCACGCGCCATCATCACCGGCGAAACCCCGGCAGAGAGCGCCGCCGCTGTTGTGGAAACCGGGGGGGCAATGTTTCGATCGACGTTTGATGCGAGTGCGGTCGCTACCGATCCTGATGCGCAGTGGGTATTGCAGGGCGCGTCGACACATGACCGCCATGAGATCTATTTTGGAAAGGATGTGACGATTCTCATGGGGACCATTGGACAGGGGAAATATGTGTGGTGGAATTGTTCACACAGGGCAAGTCACCCCAATTCTGATATGTCCGTACGAATAGATATCTGATAACCGTCGATTCGGCCGTAGGATCTGACCAAAGCCACCACCAACTGGGTCCAAACAGCATCCCCCACTCCGGTCCTGAGATACATCCAAGACTGGGGCGTCGCTAAAAGACTCTCTGCCGTGATCGGGAAGACACCGCAGGGCACCTGTTTCAATCATTCGTTGATCACCAGGAAGCCGTTACGGACCTGGGTGTCGCGCCAGGCCCGAATGATTGTGATCGGAGACGCAGCGCATCAATTTCTGCCACATACTGGGCAGGGGGCCAACCAGGCTATTGAGGACGCCGCCGTATTGGCGATTTGCTTGCGGCTGGCATCGCTTTCGAATGATCCGAGTGGCTGCGAGGAAGATGGTGTTCCGCTGGCGTTGCGTGTGATGGAGAAGCTCAGGCAAGATTTAGATCAACCGTCCTTGTTGGAGCGGATTCTGACCTCAACTTCCAGGCATAAACGGGTTTCGCTGGTCCAACAAGGTTCCATCGAAGCCCAGGAAGTCACTCTCGAAGCGGATCTGGACCATGGCACTTCTGCCGATCGTTTTAACGCGATCTCTCGTCCAGCTTGGATCCATTGCCACGATTGCATCAGTCACACCCATCAGGAATTCCATCGAGCAGCAGAGGTGCTGACAAAGGGAGATGGAAATAGCAACGCATATATTCCCACGAATGCCCCTGTAGATGGGGGGTTCCACGCCGAGGATGATTATATCTTGCTTGGGAAGGGGGGTGGACAGGGAGACGTGAAGCAGGAGATAGTATGAATACAATATATTAGGGAATGGAGCAAACGCGTCCAGTGGCCTTCTCAAGGCCCGTAACATCACCGAGGTGGAGGTCCCCTACATATAAAGAACTGGAAAAGAAAGTAATACATCTGCCGGCGTTCCGACCAGTGGTAAAATTACCTATATTAGAGGCTAGAAGCATGGCCCTCAATAGATGGCGAGGGGTAGACTATGTTGTGGCTACCATACATGGCTGAGTGATTAACATGAAGAATCCAGGGAATACTGCTCGTTATATTGCAGCCTGAGTGGATATAGTTAGTATATGGAGTTGCCCGTTACATATCAGGAGTACCGTGTTGATCAAAACCGTAGATAGCGGCCGTGATACGTGAAGCTGAATTCGTCTGGGAATATATCATCGTCATAGATAATTATTATGGTTTCCGCCTATTTGAACCTATAATTACGGAAGAGAGAGAAGAAGAGGGGAGCACTCCAAAATCATAATTTTGTTTCATAAAGCATGTTGGACTATCATTCACGGCAAGACTTACCACTTGATCTCGGATATCAATGCTCCAGGCATCGAAATGAATTGACTGAGAGTCGTCGCCAACTTGTCTACCAGCATATCTGCAATCTCTTGCGACAACCGAATCTCCGGCCCAAGGATGGCCACATGCAACGTATCTTTCGCAGGAACCAATTGCACTTGGACATCTTCCAGGCGTCCATGAAACGCCCAATTATGCGCGCACGCCTGTCCATCAACCACCACCGGGGGAATCGCCTCGGTATTTTCCAACACTAGGACATGGCTAAACCGAGTCGTCTGTACCGGCCAGGAGGGAACACAGTGCGGAACAATATCTGATAATTCGCATGTTTCATACGGCATCCGAGTAACATATTGCGCTTGAGAGTGCGAGAGAAGATCCTGGACGGTGGCTTCATCGTGATGTGGAATGGTAATACGCATCGGAGTCTCCGCTGCGGTACATCCGGTGATACTCTCTATGCCCTGCACGAGCGGCAGCGTGCGACCTTCGACGAATTCGCCAAACACTACGTCGTCTTGCCCGGTATAACGCCAGAGCACAAATGCCCAGGCGGCTCGAAACACAGAAGCCAGAGTAATTCCGAGCGGAGGGATGGGGTTCGGCAGAATCGGGCGCATAACATACACCATGCCAATATGGTCAGGGGACAGACTAGCGGAGGAAGCGTTCGTAAATTTCGGTTGACTCATCTGGGACCCGTGCATAAATTTGGTCCAAAAGTCCATCGCTGGCGGCGACACGTTCTGATTTACACGGCAGGGCATGTAATCTGAGAATTGCCGCTCGCATTGGGATAGTTGGCGGCCCTCAAAGGCGGTCATGAAGTCTTTAAATATCACATCCAGCGTCATGGCATCAAACTGCGCGTGGGTAGTCCGGATGATAAGCAGACTGCTGCCGTCTCGTTCGTGGACGATTCTCGTGAGCTTCCACCAGCGGTTGCCATTGAGAACAGGCTCGGCATCGCTGTCGCAAAAGCTCGCTGCAACCTCCTGCACTGGTTTGTCGTCGCAATATTGGATGGGAATTTTGGTGGCGGGCTGGCGAAGGAAGGCTTGGTAGACACAGTCATTATGGCCAACATACACGGACCGGAGGGAGATGTGTTTCTTTTGGACAGCCTCCCATGCAGCCTCCAGCCGCGAATGATCTAGACCGGAAACCTCCAGAGTGATATGCATGCATTTCAATTGGGCGGACTTTTGCTGGAACGCAGTGGTGGGAAGAAAACCTCCTTCCAATTCATTCGCTTGCAGTTGAGCCTTGGCTAAGAGGTGAGCGGTCAGAGTCGAGTCCAGCTGGAATGATACCGACGATGGAGTGTTTGACAGGGGTTGTTGGACAGACTCCTCCAACATGCTTGCCATCGACTGGATGGTTGGATGCTTGAACACCACGGCGGAAGATAAGCCGGCAAATCCCATTTTGCGCGCGCTCCCAGCAAGACGAATGGCGTCTAGTGAGCTGCCGCCCAGGCTGAAGAAATTGTCCTGAGTGCCGATCTGGTCAACGGGGATGTTGAGGCTGGATGCCCATAGGTACACGAGGGATTCTTCGAGCTTGGTCGATGGTTGGCCTTGACAGGCCGCGAGCATACTGCTGTATTTCCTTCTCTCCATCGTCGAAAGATTGGCGGCGGACATCCGAATGGAGCGACGGTCAGTCTTCCCAGACGGCATTATAACCAAGTGGGAGAGCAGCAGAAAGTCTAACGGGACCATGTACACGGGCAATGCCTCCCGTAAGGCTGCCTGTGCCTTCCGCGCTTCCGCCACAAATTGCTCGTCTGGCACCAGGAAGGGGTTGTCATCGGCGATCATGCCGGTCATGTCTTGGGAGCGACTCACAAACGCAATCAAATTGGGCTCCCGATTCTCAGCCGTCACCAACTCGACGATCACCGCGTGTGGAGGCGGGAAGTACTGTCGCAGTTGATGCTCAATCTCGCCTAACTCCAGCCGCTGCCCGTGGAGCTTGACCTGGGAGTCCTTGCGGCCCAGGAAATGCATGGATCCGTCCGCAGTATCGAACCGGACAAGGTCGCCGGTTTTGTACAGCGATCCATAGGATTCACGGTCAAACTTCCTGACCCACGCCGTTGCATCGATGAAAGTCGACCGGCTTTTCTCACGAGATCCAAAATACCCTCGCCCAACGGTGTGACCCTGAATGATCAGCTCACCGACTTCTCCAACCTCCAGTAGCCGCTCATGGTTGTCCGGGTCCACGATCCATGGAATAACACCGGTCGAGTATCCCACATTGTTCGGGCAGGCCTCGTCCATGGCCGAGTTGAGAATGTTAATGCACCCGGCTTCTGCGGGGCTGTAGCCATTGTGCAGGTGGACGTAGGGAGACCACCGACGTACATCTTCACTCAGCACGGGTTCCCCTGCCAGCATCACGGCCTGCAGGATTGGCAGATCTTTTGGCTCCAACAACCGACTCACGGAGGGGGTCAACATGGCGAGGGTAATCTGATATTGGTGGAGGGCCCGAGTGAGGTCGCCCTTCCTCTCATCCTCGGAAGGGATACAAATACAAGCACCGAAGATAAATGGAATCAGATGCTCAAATGTCGCCAGGTCGAAGGAATTGGACGAAAATTGGAGCGTTCGGGAATTCTCATTCAACCCCAGGGATTGGCCACACGCCAGTGCGCAGGTAACCAGCGCGCGATGCTCCATGAGGAAGCCCTTGGGTGTGCCTGTGGAGCCTGATGTGAAGACACTGTATAGCGCGTTTTCGGGCAGATTAAATGGTCCCTCAAGAGACTCGACAGATGGTGGAATGTGTTGATCGTCCACTATGATCGAGTGCGAGCAAATTTCTGCCGCAATGCCAGCCATTGTGGCCGAAGAGATGATCATTTGCGCCCCCGACTCTGCAAAGATGGCTTGCAAGCGACCCACGGGCAGACTGGGATCCCACAGCAGAAATGCTCCGCCCGCCTGGAGGACGGCATGCATGGCAACGGTGATGAACTTAGACTTCTCAAACAGCAGAGCTACCAGGACCTCGGGCTTCACACCCCGCCGGCGGAGTTCGTGGGCCACGGCTGTTGAACGCTCCTCCAGCTCGCGATACGTGTACGTGCCATCCCAGGCACAAACAGCAGCGGCATCCGGACGTTTGAGAACGTGGGTATGAAATATCTCATTTACCGTGGCATCTACTGGATAAGATGTCGCGTTCTTCCAGCTGTGCTCGGGAATGTATCGCTCGGGGAAATCGTCTTCTCCCGGAATCTCCTCCGCGGTGTTGATGACCAGCGCACCGGGCTTCTCAGCGTGGATCGGAGTCGGAAATGACTTGAGCATATTTCCTGTTTTTCTCGGGTTGATTGATAATGATCAAAAATAGGAGTCAAGCAGAGCTGGAATCTTTCCCACTGGTTTTACCCCAAAAAGGACGGAAGACTTTAATTCAGAAGGCCTCGATCTTTGGTCCTCTCTCCCATTCATGTTATTGGGCAGAAACCATAGCAGTATTTATGCAAGGGGGACTTTTATCGGCTCTTACCTAAGACCCCAGCGTAGTAAGTTTCTCACCGATGCTCTGCAGATTTAAATGTGGCTTACGCCTTGGTGCATGCATGTTATGTAGACAAGCACTGTACCAATGCTGCTATTATCTTGCATTTAGTTGGTGCATCACTTCATATTACTTACTATCACCTGCAGGGAAGCTGTTGTGTAATACGCATATCCGTAATTGGAATTGATTGAACCTTACGGGCTTCGTGATCAAAGCATCCATATGGCATAAGCATGTTAATATCACGAGGAATATCCAAATCCGTAATTTGGGGGTTATAATTACGAAACAGAGTCTAAACAAGTCATGTTACACATAATATACGGATAGCAAATATTACCTCTCCCATTGTTAGCACAGCCACAGCGCTGGTAAGCTTAGCCACCACTCGAGGATTGCCATCCTCGTCTGTAATGGGAAACCTTGTACCGACTTCAGCTCGAGAAATCGGAGACGGAGATATCGGCAGGTCTGAGAGGGCTTAAGCTTTTATCATGATGTTGACACATGAAAATGTCGAGTAGATTATCAATAGTTAGGCAAATTTTCCTCTCGCACGTCCAGCGAAGACGAAGAATAAGCTTAGGCGTGATCTGTGGCTTGACCCACTACTGCCTACCCGATGGCTGCCACTTAGCTCCCCGATTAGAAGGCTGCGTGTCAACACCGTTTTGCCGGGGGCAGTATATAAGGTGACACGTCACTCAATCTCGGCCACTTTGCTCGCCTCAACAATTGATACTTGTCACTGGAGTATAGGGCGTGCAATCTAGATAGAAAGGTTGACCGAGCTGCAACGAAGTTTAGCACGGGTTCTCAAAACATTAGTGGAGAACAACCCTCACCACTCCATCGCAAAAAGGATAGATATAAATGCACTGCCAACATTCGTTGCGGAACTCGTTGACCACCACAGGGGAATGCTGCTTTTAGGGTGAGTTTGTCTCGTCTCAATATATGGAGCCTGTTCGGATATTGCAGTAGTTTCCTTCCAAAAGGACAGACAGGAAGCTAGATGCGACAAACGTAGAAGAACGGCATTTCCAAGGACACAGAAGGGGAAGGTTTGAATGGCGAAAGGTGCTTTGAAAGCTTTCCACAAGCTGTAGATGCTCCACAGACCCAGCCAAGTCCCTTGCCTCGAATCTATTCACTCTTGCCGCCCGTCGACAGTACCGGCGATGCGAGTTGTTCGAACGAATTTGAGACAAGAGATCACCATCTCACCTTGCAGACTGATGCTCACTACACCTTTCCGATCTTCGGTAGGTTCAATTGGGATTTTCTCGTCTTTCTTTTTCCTTTCATTTTTTTATGGGCGGGAGGAGGGGGGTTGTTTCAAGCTAGAGTGAAGTTGTTGGATTTCGAATTTTGGGTGTCGGGGACAGGGTTTACGGGACGGGCCGGCGGGACGATCCACGAGGGACCAACGACGGGCGGTATAATTTCACTGGAACCCCCAGTGGAATTGACAACAGAGTATATATAGGCTTGCTTTATCATTATATTTCTAGGTCCGTGTCCAGTAGACGGAACACTATGTTCGTATCAAATGATATGCCACCGGTATTCAAAGTTCCTTCATGCAAACATCGCGGATTTCCTTCCACACCCGAGCTTGAAGCTTCCGGCCCTCATCACTTGTGACCGTATATCCAAGACTGCAATGACTGGCATTTAGAAAGTGTGGACTTCAATAAGGGATAGGAAAACTCACTCGAGAAAGCTGTCGTGGGTCCAAAATTTTCCATGGCCATGCACCCCGAGCAATGACGCACTTAGCAATGAACGACTCCCCTCCTCCGGAGATCTCCCGCCATATATATTCAACAAATACATGACAGTTTTTAGATACCAGGGAAGGTCTCGGGAGATTCCAGTGACTGTGTACCCGGGGCAGACCACGTTGACAGCCACACGGAGTGGCTGGTCTGGAGCCGAAACCAAATAATCCTCTATCAAACCCTGCATCACATAAACAACCAACAGCTTCGTGATAAGATATGAGCTCCGCGTCTGGAATGATTCGGGCTCATTCAAAGCATCCAGCACACTAGGTGAATCGACGGGTATATCCTCCGGTGTCACGGAGATGAACTCAGCGCTACCTGTGAGGGTGAGTTGTGCTGGATGGCCTTTTCTTTCTGACCCCCGTTTGAGGAGAGGTATAACACAGATGGCGAGTAAAGCTGTCGACAAAACATTGACTTGTAGCGCCGATTCCCAGCCCGTTTTCTTGACCACCGAATAGGTCCCAGGGGCAACTCCAGCATTTAATATGGCGACTTGCAAGCCATCAGCTCCGACTTCCTGCTCCAAGTTGGTCGCGAACTGCTTAATGCTTCCGAAATCATTCATGTCGAGCTGCATGACAACGATACGATCACATTCCCCGTCTCCCATCGTCGCCTCAATATTTTGCTTGGCCACGTAACCCTTTTCAAGTGTTCGGACGGCCAAGATCACCTTTGATGCCCCAAGTTTGATAAATTTCAAGGCGACATGATAGCCTATGCCCGAGTTGGCACCGGTGATCATAATATTTTTGCCTGAAAATGAAGCCTGTGGATCCTTTGGAGGGTTTTTCGCACCCCATCGCATGATTTGAAAACTTCCGAGCCCCAGGGGCGGCCCAGTCCCAAAGAGTTGAGCGAGCTCATGACTTGGTGCCGGAATAGACATAGCCGATTCAGAATGAGAACCACCGAATATAAACTTTGCTGAAAGGGACAGCGCAACTAAGACCCTGATGAGCTGCAAAAGGTATTTTAATCCAGGCTAAAACCTCATATAGCCCCTTGCACGGCACATTCCACGGTCCCTTGCATAAAACAGGGCGTAGTACCTGGGGGCTGTTGTGAAGCCAATAGCAGATATTTCTTGCTTTCAGCATAAGGAAACTCCACTGCCTCGCCTCTACTTCGCACGTCCAAATTCCCCATAAGCCTGATAGGAATTTCTTCATTCATCTCTAACCCCACAACAACTGTACCCGATCATTGACAACATGACAGTCTCTGAAACAAAGAGAAAGCCAATGAGGAGCTTTGAACCCTTCCATCTCACCTGCTTGGATCATACCGTGGGACCAGTTTTCATGAATTTCTTCCTATCTTTCCGCTGCAGAAACATAGAAGAATGCCTTTTGTCCATCAACAAGGGGATCACTTGTCTTGTCGACAGGCTCCCATTTTTGGCCGGAGATGTCATCCATACCACCACCCCAGATGGCAGAATGAATGTAATGCAGATCGAACCATCCTCAACGCTGATCGACGAGAGCCACATGCTCAGCATTAAGCATCATCCCCACCACGTTTTACCAAATACTCCACACCAAATAAAAGTAGAAGCCAATCCGCTGGAGAGATTTGCATCACTTGATGAATCATACGTTCCCTCCGTCCCCTTGCTGCCCCTGTCTCCAGGCCCAAGGCCCGTTTTCCGTCTCCAGAGCAATTTCCTCGCGGACGGGATCGTTCTGGCGGTGGGGTTTCACCACAGCGTATTTGACGCTACGGGAGCGGGGCGATTGATCGAAATACTAGCCGAGTGTTGTCGCGACCCCGGCTCCCAGGCTTTGGCGTCCACGACTGAGCTCGAGGAGGAGATTAAGCTAAGACGCCTGGTTGACAATACTGGAATGGTCACAGCCGGGTCATACCGTCAGCACGAAGCCCAGAACCGCAAGGTTGAAATGTCGACGGGAGATTCGAACTGGATCCCGCCGAAACTGGCCGTCTACTCATTTCACTTCTCGGCTGCGACCATCGCACAGCTCAAGATCGCTTGTAACGGAGTGTTGTCAGATATCCGTGCCCAGCAGCATGATGACGAGAGGCCTGTCGATGAATCAAGAGAGCCCATGCAAGAATTTATCTCCACGAACGACATATTCACGGCCCTGGTCGCAATCGATATATACAAAGCTCGCAGCCACCAGACCGCAGACGTTCAGGCCAAAACCAGCCCAGAGATGGTCATGATAGTCAACCTGCGTGAGAAGCTTGCCTCCCTACCGAGCACATATCTTGGAAATGCCGTCTCTGTCATCAGAGCACATGCACACCCACAAGATACGCTTCCTAATCCGGCTGTTTCAGTTTCAAGACAGCACCAACATCCGTCCATATGCAGTACCGCCCTTCTCCAAATCACAGCACTGGCACTTCAGCTTCGCCAGAAGCTCGCCTCGATTGATGATGCACATGTCCGCCAGTACCTAGCGCATCTGATGAGGAACCAGGATTGGAGCCATATCGGCACCCTCCTCCCGGGCACGATGGTATCGAGTTGGCGACATCTCAAGGTGTATAGTTTGGATTTTGGCCCGTCTCTAGGTCAAGTTATCGAGTTCAATCCGCAAGCTACACTAGTAGATGGCATTTGTACTATCCAGCCGGAGCGTGCCGGTGATGTGGATGGAGAGAGTCCCGGGTGGGAGGCTTGCGTCACGCTGCAATCGGATGCTATGGAGTCCTTTCTTCGAGATGGGCTGTGTAGTGCTCTGTCACTGGGGAAAATTGCGAGATATACTTCGTGAATTCTTGTTGGGACACCCGTACCCGTTTCTTGGCGGGTTTTGCGTCGAGATACTGAGCCCGCGGATTACCCACGGGTTGGTAGACAATGCAAACATGATGGTGTGTATGTTGTATTAGTGACCGGAGAAAAATTGTTTCACTCCGGAGGATGTTCATTCTTAGTATTGTTAGTCATGTTCCCCATGAATTGCGTACGAAGTGGTAGCAAGGGCGATATTCTATTAAAAGTCAAGCGAAAAAAATCATAATAAAACACTAAACTAGGTTTACAAACCATTCAATTAGATTTTCTAAGCTATTTCTAAATATCCAAAGCACCAAAAATTGAGGGTTGGTTATATTTCGCAAGTATATAAAGACTGTATCGTGGATGCGAGATTCGACGAGTGGAGTAGTGGCATAGCCGCAGAATAGTAATCGCAAATCAATGGGGCCTCACTGTGCATTGGCCTCCTATCTGGAGGCGAAACCACCAGGATCGACCACCACATTGATGACGCCAGCCTTTTCTAGAGGGGACAACGGTCAAAAGAGCTCGCCGGGTTCTAGCATTGGGGAGACCATACTAATCCTAAAGTGCATGAGAGGAGGGTGCTTGGAATACATCTTACCGAGTCTTAATCTACTGCGTTCTTCTTATAGCATATTATTTTCTAGGGTGTGGCCTTCTGCTTTATTTCTTTCTTCTAGGGCGTCTACTTGCCTCACTATATCGATAGTCTAGGTTTCTTAGCCGGTGAAAGAGCATCTTACTGAAGCTCTTAGTGCTGGCTACTAAAATCTTTGATACTTTAGCGTTACTATGGTAGGTAGATTTAAGAGATTCTGAATGGATAGGAATTGAAGTAGGAAATAGTGAAGTTTAGGTTGGATTGTATTCCAAGCAAACGCTATATAGAGATATCAAGGACTATTCATATATTACACTTTATGGTTTTAGTTTGCTGGTTAGATTCAAGAACGAATTGCAGTCTCTTTACCTAAACTTCCGGGAACACCGGTAGGCAGTGCGGTTCCTATCGGAGCAGGCGAAAGCTACAAGGCAAGACGAGAATAGAAGAGGCTGGTCAGAGGAGAGCAATGGGATAAGCAATCAGGTTGCTCACTGAGTAGCTCAGGGTCGCTCAGTGGGCGGCTTAGGGCGGCGGCAATATATAATACCGTCAACATTATTATATTTACATATCAGACAACAAATATACTGTTGGAGAAAAATAATGAATGGATATTACATGATCAACATCTATGATAGGTGAATGATGATAATCGACTCGTGATAATATAACAGCTATTGTGAATGTACATCCTCGGTATACTTCTAGGCAAAGAGGGATTTCGAAAATCAAAAAAGCAACACAAAACCCAACAGAAGAATGATCATCCGACTGTATCGGCATTGTATCACTTGACCTTCCCAAAGAAACCTTCAAGCCACCTGGAAACCACCGGAAGGCGTGAGTAGCCAACCACATCCAACCGGGCTTAGCAAGGCAACCAAACACCCTGAACCCTACACTCAAACCTAAAGGCGATATACCAAATCCCTAGTACAAGCAGTTCTCCGTACACAGTACAATTACAAGGAAAAGAAAGATCAACAATCCAAGAGCCCCACAAGTTCCGACCCCGCTCTACAGTCCCCAAATACCGAACCTCACCATCTCAGATCCAAACACCCATACTGTGCATTAGAAAGCAACCGAAATAAACCTACCATACCTCCCTGCGCCCACACAAATCCAACGGCTCCCGGTCGCAGCCACAACGCCAGAGCCAGAGCCACCTCCACAGATCACCTGCCGCATCATTCCGGTCCCGGTTTGTTACCGAGTGACACTACTCTACTCTGCCCTACACTACAGCCTGAGACCATGGATGCCCGACGGTTACATACAAGCCTTCAGCCTCATACCCAAAATCTATCCCCGGGATCAGGATCGGGGAGCGGGTCGGGGGCCAAGTCCGAAGCGCGATGTTTTAATCCTGGTACGTGGTCAATTCGACGATTGTTGAGCAGACGGGGGAGTTGCAGATATAGTGTTTTGGAGAGGGAGCCGAATCGGCTTAGGAAGCGGATGAGCAATTGAGTGTCCTTCGTGGGAGAATGGGAGGGATGGTTTGGGTTGGGTGGGTGCTATATTATATATATCTGCGCTGTCTGTTTTTCGGATGTTCTCCGGATGTCTCAACGATATCGGGCATTCGTCGAGGAACAACTGGCATAAGGGGGATACCCGAAGTGAGCTGGGCGCATGGTGGGATATGTGTGTTATTTGTCTGCTGGCATATGGATTGGCGTTTTGCTTTAGATCGGGTAGCGGCGTTAGTCTCTGAGGCGGTATTGTGTTGTCCGTTGTCTCTGAAATTTGGTTAGCTTCTTTTTATATATCGCCATCTTCTTTCGTCCAATTGCGATCAGTGTATATTGAATGGTGGTTATTGGTTGAGATATGTTGCGTGGCGAATTTTCAATGGAAGCTGAATCGCCCCTTCCAAGTTCAGGGCTACTCCAACACCAAGAATAGATCAGATGCGGTGAGAGCGGAGCGAAGTCGGCCCACTACATACTTCGTGGCTCAACGTTATCTTTGGCTTTCCAGCTTAATAACTAGATATTATGTGACAGTTTCCTTGCTTGTAACGATGCCAAATATATGTGTTTCTTTTTGGATCGTATCTTACTAGGACTAGGCCCCGGTCATAACATAGGAATCTCAACAAATGAAGAGTCCCCTAATGCATGTCAGGAACATTGTGGAACGATCTGAGACCCAAGGACATAGGATTTAAAAGGGGGATGAAACACAGGCAAGGAGTGTTCTAGATCTTATCTAAGAGAACCTGCATATGGCTTCCCAGGTAACATGGCAATAATTGAAAGATTCAGTTACATCCTTAAGGCAAAACAATGAGATTACAATGATATTGAATAGCACTGAAGAAAAACACACAATAAAAATGGGGGAGTCCACATCCCTATGGCCCCCAATGGACTCGGCGAATTTCGCCGATCTCTTCCACACAGTCCCAATCATTACCATAAATGACCTAGACCTTGTTCTTAAGCACTACATGTAGACTAGCTCAATACTGAGATTTGAAGAATTTGCCGATTTCATCTCAGATGACCCATGGCTCAAAAGTCAAGAGATCGACTCCATTCCCGTGTCCAGACTGGACCGCTTCGGCTTGGGTTCCACCGGGCGTTAACGGTGGCGTGGCTCCCCATGTCGACGTTGACCACGAGCGATGGTAAAGAGTTGAGTTGGGAAGTATTGTAGAGAGTAGCCCAAATTAGGGTTGATAGGGCTATCATCTCTAGAATGACTCTATAAATATTTAGTTTGCAGCGGTAGGGTGAAGAATACACCAATCCTCGCTGCGTCATAAGTGGATATCCCCCACAGCTGCCAATTTCCAATAAACGAGGAAAGTCTAGACGTGGTACGAAAGACTCAGGTACCAGGTACCCGTGTCACTGTTGAATTACAATATAAGTTAAGTTAGTTAATAAGATAATATAGGCTCCTGCTCGGAATGCCAAGCCAAAACAAAAAGGGCTTCAGGCCCTCTGTGTCTTTCTTTTCTTCCTTTCCCTTTTCCCTTCCCCCAACTTTCCTTCCTTCCCATGGCCCTTCCATTTTACTCTACCCACACACTAGACTTTTCACTCTCCATGAGTTCAGTCAACTGGTCGTGTGACCTACCTGATAGCGACTGATCATTTGGCCCCCATCGTCATGGCGATATGGCCATTTGGCCGCAAGAGCAAGCGGCATACCATCCAACTGGATGGCGCCGAAGCCGCTGACCTCCAGTCCGCGTTTGCTGCAGAGCCTACGTTGGGCCGCAAACCTTCCCGTCATTCCAAGCGCCCGAGCAATCGCACATTAGCGGGTGAAGCCGCAGACAGCCGACGCAGCTCTGCGCTCGTGCCGTCGAATCGACCTGTCTCATCCCTGGACCGCTCTGCCTCCCTCGCAGATCACACGACTAACCCTCGCGAACGTCCACCCTCACGATCCGCATCATTACTCAACCGCAAACCGAGTCAAAATGGCCCGAATAAACTCCGTCGGAGGCTCAGCAAGCGCAAGGCCCATGAGATCATGCGAGAGCGGGAGATTCGCATGCTGTCATCCACCCCGATCGATATCCCTCACCACTCTACCGACTGTGGACTGGAACACCGGCGGCGAAAGGCAAACGGAAGACGTGCCGACCGGTATATGTCTGACATCAGCCTCTCGATCCGGGACTCCGCTACCTCGTCCACGTCTGACATGTCCGACCCTTACACCTACAAGGTCAATGCCTTTGCCGCCCTGACTCCTCGTCCTGTGGTTCGCTATGTGGAAGCACCCCGCCTGCAGACCGCCCGAAGCAGCAACCCTCCCGCGTCTAGTCGACAGGACAGGGAGCGTCTCAAAGCGATGACCATGTCCGAGGAGGACCTTTACTACTCGAAGCGACGCGTCAACGAACTCGCTGATTCCTTAGATGCTGGTGCTCTCCGCGAATTACTCGACCGAGACCGTCGTCGCCGGGAAAAGAAGCAGATGGATGACCAGGAGAAGCTTCGGCGTAAGCTGCAGGAAAGAGCCGATGCGCAACAAGCAGCCGACGAACAAAAAGCCTCCGAACCAGAGCCACAGCCCGAACCTGAACACACTCAACCCGAACCGGCTGTCGCTGAACCCCAACCGACCCACGATGTTATCCACGAGGATATACAGGAGGACATACAGGAGGACACCCAGGAGGACAACCCATCGATCGAACCGGCTGCAGCAGAGACCGGGTCATGGTTACGGGGAGCTTCCAGAGCCAGCGTACACACTGGACGCGACTCGCTGGAAAGCTCACAGGTTGTTGGAAACATCGATGATGGTTCCCTGCGGGAACGCAGATTGATTCAGCGCCCCAGCTTCGCGCTGTCGCACGACATCACCATGTCCCGAACCACCCTCTCGCCTTCTCACTCGTCTCTCCGGCAAGGGCTCAGTAGCCCAAGCCACTCCCAAACCTTTGGAGCTGGCTCCACATCGGACATCTCCAAGGGTGTCGACTCAGAACGCCGACTCTCTGACACCAGCGGTCGCCGGGGTAATACCATCACCTCCCTGTTCCGACGTGGTTCCTCCCGTCTCAAACGGTCATACAAAGAACGCTTCCAGGACACATCCCCAGAAGTCTCCAACACCTCCCACGAATCGTTTTACAGAATCCAGACGCAATCATCACCCCCTCCGCCCTCGATAATCCCCCCGAGACTTCTCGTTCCCACCAACCCCATCAAGCGTTCTCAATCCAAGTTCACTGAACACTTCGGTGACGAGCCTCTGTCGCCTCCCGATTCACGCCTGCAGTCACCGGACATCCCCGAGCAAGTGCCCGAGTCCTCTCTCGAAAACCAGGAGACATTTTTGCGAGGTCCCACGCCCAGCGCCGCCGTGGACATTCAAAACCCGAAGCGGCGTCACCACGGTTCATGGACTGCAGAAAGCTTTGATGCCGAGTCCGACAACGTGCCTCTCTCACAATCTCTAGCTTCCATCGATTCCGAGGGATCTTGGATGTCAGGCCAGTTCTTCCGCCGGATGTCACAGAAGCCCAGCAGTCCCGTTCGGACCAACCTGAGATCGTTTGGGTTAACGGAGGAGGACGGCCCAGAAGATGATATCGAAGCCGATTCGATCGATGAGTCTCGCCGTTTCAGCAGCAATGTCTTGGACGAGACAGAGCACCAGAATGAAGCAACACCCGAAGCCAGCAATCTTGCTGAAACCTGGCACAACGAAGTTGGCCGTCGTCCAGTTCTTGTGAACCCTGTTGTCCGCCCTAAGTCTACCCAAGGAATGCTCCGAGGCGTTCCGTCTCTCTCACCAATCTCGGCGGAAGAAGATTATATCATGGAAGAGGCATCCCCTACTGAACTGCAAAGAGTCCCCAGCGCTAAAGCTGAGATTGGATATGCAGAGTAGACTGGAACTATTCCACGATGCCATCCGCATCAAAAGGGCCCGACATCCTAGTCTCGCTTATTGTCATGGCAGTTTCACAGTCAAACATTTTGACTTGTTGATCTGACCAGACTGTCACTCGTTAAACATCTTTCCTTTGTCACTTTTCTTTGTTAGACCCGTTGGCCATTTGTACGATTTCTGATATCCGTTGCCCTGTATCCCATTATTGCTTGGTCTGACCTGCTAAGTGTCTTTCGATTTTGTTGATACCCCCTCTCGCCCCCTGTTTGCTTACCAGAAGCATAAATGCTGTTTCTGTTTCTCTTCTGAATATGCCCGATAAACTATCCAGCGCTCTTCTTGCACATAACTATTTGGCTCTGGCCATCTTCGTTTATACGCTTTTCTTCCGTGCTGATATTAATAAAGGATTTATCTACTTAGGAGAAGTTACCATGAAGTTGCATCTACATAGACGTATAGACGCATGCAGTTTGCCACATGACGCCATACTAAAATCTAATCTGATTACAATTAATTCTCTGGATCCTGACATATCAAGATGAATCATATTGATCCTACTAGTAAAATTCAGTAATATGGATAGCAGTATAAAGTGACGATTCCAGACACCGTCCAATTCGTAAGCATGATCACGTCATCCTCTCCTGTCCCCGGCCTTTGAGACCTGGAACTCGGCATCTTCAATCACCCCATTGACCTCAGTACAAGTCCAACCTGGCAAATATCACGATGACTGCAGTAAGTACTACCAGCGCCACCTGGACGGGACCAATTGGCCGTTCAGTTCCCCTACCCTACACCCCCATTGCCCGACCCGACAGCTCCAGAGTCTTCTCTATTATTCATCTTACATAAGCACTCCTCGCCGAACGTCATGGCCCTATAAAAACCCAGAGCCCCTCCCAAGTTCAGCCCCTCTTACTTAAATTTAAAACAGTTCATGCCCACCCGCTTCTCTTCTCTACTCAATCGCTCGACTCTCCGTCCCGCTTACCGTTCTTTCTCTACTACCCCGATTACCCGCTTCGCGCCATCTTCTCTCAAAATGGGTGTTATCCAGATCAAGACGTGAGTTCTACGCCTGCCACCCACCCCGCGGGATAAGTCTGCGAAGCGAATCACATCCCAGACGCATCCATCCCGATCCCAACCGTTCCCAATCCCAAAACAAAAACATAAGTACAATCAGAAACTAACATTCCCGATCTAGTGCCGAGGAGTACAAGACCAAGGTCACAGACGCCCAAGGCCCCGTCATCGTCGACTTCTTCGCCACATGGTGCGGACCCTGCAAGGCCGTCTCCCCCCTCCTCGAGAAGCTGAGCGACGCCCACTCCGGCGTTGACTTCTACAAGGTCGACGTTGACGAGCTTGCTTCCGTCGCTGCTGAGAACGGCGTCTCGGCTATGCCTACCTTCCACTTCTACAACAAGGGCGAGCGTATTAACGAGGTTAAGGGTGCCAACCCCCCTGCTATCCAGGCTGGTCTTCAGGCTTTGCTTCAATAGATTTGGTTGGGTTGATATAGGGTTGGAATTGATGAGCGATATGCTGGTATATCGTTGCCTTGTATTGATGAGAGATACCGAATACCATTTTTGATATTTGCCCATGTCCACTGGCGACTTTTGAGATTTTCTCGTCTTATATTGGTGTTGGTGTATGCGGTGGTTTATAGTAGTAGCTTGTATGGAGGCGTCGCGGGTATAAGGTCAGATCCCGACAAGGATAAGAGTTAAATTTAGTTTGACCCTGAATCTTCAGTCCCCAGTCCTGGAAACTAGAAAGAGTTCATGGAAGTATACCATATACCACCTTCTCTAACCTACTGTATTGCTCGCACTTGCACAAGTCCTATCTTGCAGCATGCATGCAGCCGCTTAACAGATCCGACCTGCATCATTCTGCATCGAAATTCCCCGCAATTATATCATATATTTCACACGCATGGAATTGTACGAATTGTACCAGGCGTCAGATTCACAGAGCTCCACAGTAGCATTTGCCTTTACGACCTACAGTAGACTGTACACTGTAGACCTCGTAGTTTGTACAAATACCCCAGTCACCCGAAGCATACCACATACAAGATAGGAAACACGAATCTCAAATCAGCACAGTCCTCCTCAAGCAGACGAAACAATCTATCAGAATCCCCTCATCTACCTAGCACCAGAAAAAAAAAAAAACGGGAATACAAACTAAGACTCAAAAGGCTCATAATCAAGGCAAACCAAAAAGTGATGCGTACAAACCTTCCAAGGTTCCCTGAAGAACGGCTTTCACCAACTCATCCCCGAAGCCACAATTCCCATTTATACGATACTCACACTCGTGGACTCCTCACCGGAACAGCCGTTCCATAGACCTATCTCACGCCAAACACCCCACCTACGCAATCGCCATGCGATTGACAGTTGACAGGCCTGTGCCAGATAAAGAAAGCCTTCTTCGCGTGCTCTGGTGGTGTTCGAAGGTAACAGCTCATATGCAGTATGCGGCGTGCGATATGCAATGTGCGGAATGCAGTTCCGGACATGTGTACATCTACCTGCCACGCAGTTTACAGTTTGCATGTCCACTCCTAAAGTTAGGCCTACAAGCCCTATATACCTGTCGAAAGCAATCGTGCACTTTCTACAGGTGGCAAGAATTAGGCTGATAAAGCCACACTCCAAGAAGGCAAAAGTTGTTCAAAGCGTTCGTTCTAGCCGACGCTACGATCGAGGTGGTTGTGTGGGTTCGGCGGGTGCCGAGATTAGACTGATCAGTTGGAATTCTATTTCTCTCTACTGTATACTGTGTACTGTTTGTCTGTGATTAATCGTTGGTGACTTGTTTACTTTAAATATGCAGTAAATGTAAATTTTATGTACAAATTACCGACAGACATCCGAATCCCCCGATTAAAAAGGGCAAAGGGCAAAAAAGAGAGGGGAAAAAAGAAAAGGAAAAAAAACACCCCGACATCACCGGACCACATAACGCCCCGGGACTAGCGCGATAGATCGATCCCACAATCATAATGACTCGAACTTGCTGAATTGAATCTGTTGCAGAGAAGAATGGGTCTGGTTTCCTTATCTTGTCTACCAATAGTGAAAAAAAAAAGTGTAATTTGAGGCAATTTTACTCTAGGTAGGTAAATCTACACACTTCTATATGCTTTTCCTTTCTGTCCGGGGTGTGACCTCGAGCTGTGTGTGCTACCCCTGCACCTGGTGCCTGTGCCGATGGTGCTGCTACCCCTGTCCAGTCCTGTCTACTAGTCCCAGATGGAGTTTCGGCGCGGCAGGATTCCTGATTTCAAATAATGCAACCAATATTATTAGCTGGGACGAACTGTTTTTCTGCCATTTATACCTATACCCTGTCAGACAGGGTATGTCCGAGGTGTTCGTGTTCACTAATGATGGCGGATGTGATTAATCGCCGGATTACTTTGACTTGCATATCCGGATGAACGGTTCGTAGAACATATTGTTGAGTGTACAGTATGCTTGTGTCAGGGGATAGGTCTAATCTAATGATTCTTGACATTTATATTTCCTTGTGGGGCTTTGACTGGCGCAGCTGAGTTTGGGCACCGAAATACAATTTAGATTAAATTTATTAAGACCACATTTCTATCCACACATTTATCAATTGTGATTCTCTCGGAGGTACCGATATTATATTATTATCAAGGAATACTCTAGAGTTTCCACGTTGTAAGCGAGGAAAGTGTATAGTATACAGTAAATTAGTGCTATCAGCGCACGACCCATAGTTCCCATTCCGCCCGATCCGATCTAGATCTCACGAATAACAAGCCTGCGCAGACCTGCTCGCTTCAAAGCTCCACAGGAGAATGGGAAAAATGGATCCTCAAGCCCCATCGCATCATCCACACTGCTGGATCAGATTGATTAATCCGAAACCTTTTCAGCAGGCACCTCGGCATTGGCTTTCTAGTGCGATTAGACCATGGCATGCCGCAGCCTAGATACTAGCACGCGAGGTGTGGATGCGGCCCATCGCCTCGAGCTAACATTGCCTAGATCGAGGGCTCCATATGCTGGTCGTACACGTCGACTTCATTCGTTGGTTGTGAGGCTTGGGTCGGAGGATTCTGCTGACCCTCGAGCTAGAATATGCGAGTTGAGGCGCTTGTGGAGGTGTCCGATTATTTGGTCATTTGCTGTTATAAGACGCTTATGTCTAGCTGCTTTCAATTAAATCCCAACCTCTAGCTGGGAATTAAACCTGTTCTTGTGATATCGTTCCCTTCTTCCTATCTCTCCCTCTTTCGCTCTCTACCTCTCACACTCTATATCTATTCACTACTGGCCCCATGTAGTCACACTTAATCTGATTTATATACCCCGCTCGACGACTATCGCGTCGATCTCTGATACCTCGTCCACACCGAATGCCTGTATAGGGCTACCATCTCTCTACTTTTCTTTCCTTTCTTTCTTTTCTATACTCCAAATGTCGAATTCAACTCAAAATGTACCGGAGCCGATGGTGCACGTGTCATATCTGGCTGGGTATATCATCCTGTCATATGTGATCAGCGCGATGGGATGCGCAACCACGCTGGAGCTTCTCCATCGGCGGACATCAAGATCTGGTCTATACAACTGGTTCGTTATACATGCCCCATGATTCTATATATTCCCAGCAAACCATGACTTCCTAGCTTTTATACTAACACCGAAAAGGTATCTTCTCCTCACTTCCTCAATTACAATGGGCGGCATAGGAATCTGGTGCATGCATTTCATCGGCAACCGCGCCATCGTCCTCGGCAACGGCGAAGGAAATATCCAAATCCTGTACAACGTCGCCTTCACGGGTACTTCATTGGTACTTCCAGTGGCAGTGCTATTATTCGCCTTCTATGCCGTCGGCGTCGAGGAAAAGGCTGGATATATTCGTATCTTGATAGGAGGGCTGTTAACCGGCAGTGCTGTCTGTGGAATGCACTACGTCGGTCAACTGGGTATCTCCAACTATCACTGCTCCTACCGCCCAGCCAATGTGGTAGGATCGGCCATCATCGCCATCTTCTCCAGTACGACTGCGTTGGGTATCTTCTTCCGGTGGAGGGCCTCTTGGACAGATAGTTGGTGGAGACGTGGGCTTTGTGCTTGTCTTCTTGCTGGTGCTGTCTCTGGTATGCATTGGACTGCTACTGCTGGGACGATCTACCGGGATTATGATCAGAATATCTCGACTGGGACACAGTTGTCTAGGAGTCAGGTTGTTATTATTTGTGCCGTATTGGTATGTATTGGTTGTCTTGCGTTGAGAAGATTGTTTGCTAACCTCGAGTAGGCCTGTGTTGCGTGTGTCATCTTGTCTGCTTGTGCTATTATTGCTGGTAGCAATCGCAGAAAGTCGACTACCCGTGCCCATCAGCTTGTTCTCGCTTGTGCTTATTTCGATCCCACTGGTCGAGTTATGGTTACCCCCCAGGCTCTGTTCCCGACGCGCAAGATCGTCGATCATTATATCGGAAGGACATTCAAGGATGACGACCTCACCCGTACTCACCCAGCCTTCTTGTGGGCTTTTAGGGCTACTCGCAACTGGCCTGTCATCAAGGATCTCGTTCCCTTCATGCGGAATCGCCTGGATTCCGAGGGACACGCTATTCAGCAACATATGCTTTCTCGGGGAGTGTTCATGGACAAGGAGACTGAGTTGCAGACTGACTTTGATACGTTGTTCAAACAACTCTTCTGTGTTACGGCTCAGGAGCTTTCAGATGAGCTTCGACAGCCTCTACAGGATCTGGGCACGCTCTACGACGATGTCCTGTCCACTGCGATCCCAGTATCACGCTTCTCCCGAGCAATGGGCCGCTCATCCCTCCGCACTGGCAAGGGCCAGTTGATGTTCACAGTCCGCCAACTCCAAAAAAGTGAAGCAGCACGATTCGCCTCCCAAGGATTCCGATTCGCAACAATCGAACATGTCACGTCAACAATATCCCGCCGCATCCACGTTCCAGAAGCAAGCCTCACCGGCTCCCTCCGCGACATGCGCGACTACGCCAGCTCAAGTCGCGGCTTCGAAGGAGGCGTCCATCTCATCTCCTTCGTAATGCGCCCAACAGTCCACGACCACTTCGAAATCCTCACCGTAAAAGGCATCGGCAATCCCCTCCCCTCCTCAACCCTCCCAATTGAAAACCTCCAAGTCCAACACCTCGAACTCCTCTCCCACATGGAAGGCTGGTCAATGAACACCTGCCTCCGCTACCTCAATTCACCCGCCGCAGCGCAAACCTTCCCCAACCTCACCGAATTCCGCAACCATTTCTCCAAATCGATCTCCACCCTCTCCAAATCCCTTCCAGAAGACATGCGCGTGGCAGCCCAACTCTCCGCCCGCCCTCTCCTCGCCCCATGCCGCGGCCGACCCTCAACGGCCTCAAAAGACGACCTCCCCCGATCTCAATGCACCCTCATAACATTCTGCGTCGTCGGCACGCTAGACACCCAAGTCCCAAACCCAGACTACATCTTCACCCCGCTCCGCCTCTTCCGTGTCCAACAACAAGTAAACGACAACACAGCCGACAGAGAAGGCTTCGCCAGAGAACTAGGCCAAGAACTCTTCTGCACAGACGTGCGCTCGGGCTCGTCAGCCACAGAATTGGATATCGCTTCTTCGGCCCGCATGGCCATATCTCGTCTCTGGCCTCATCGTTCTGGACATTCTCATTCGATGACTTCGCAGGAATCATTGGTTGAGCCTGTTGCCACGGTGCTGGGCGATATCACTGTTCAGAAGGAGGTTAGGGTGGATATTACGAGTCTTAATGAGACTTCTAACGCCGTTGGTAGTGAGGCGAAGACTGTTGTTGCTGCTGGTGAGGTGCCGACTACGCCATTGACTTACGTTGATGAGTTGTATAGTCTTTGTTATGCACCTGGGCTGAGGTTGCGGCCTGATTCTTCATTGCATCAGCATAATCGCGTTAGTTCGTGATTTTTTTGATTATTTGTTTCTTATAGGTTATCGTTTGGCTGTGAAAATACGGTTGGAGTAGGGCTGGCATTGGAGTGGTTTGGTTTGGTGTGTCTCCATGGTTCGTGTTATGCTTATCGGCGTATGGTTTGGACTTGTATATATATGGTTCTGATTTGGTACACAACAAACTGCGCATGAATATACCTCGATGTATCACCGTAGAAGCAAACTGAGCTTTTCCTAGCTCATTATATTCTATACGGTACTTGATTTATGTATACACTAAAGAACACCAGTAACCCATAGGGAAAAGCATAATATCGTCACACGTATCAAAACACCTGAAACAAAAGGACAGTCGCTCAATCCTAAATGCAAGAGATACAATACATCTTGCTCTCAACACACACACAACCCAATTCAAGAGCAGTGAACATATCATGAACAAAAAAAGCACACCACACCTATTCCCAAGCTCAAGCTCAAGCTCAAGAATTGGCAGTAGGATCCTGACGCTCTAAAAACGTAGGATCAACATCAATGCGTCGCTCAAACTTAGTCCACCAATCGCGGAAGCTCTTAAGCGGCACAACATCCTGTCCCTTATCCGTCTCAGCAAAACTTGCGAGGTAGTTAAACGCGCTCCCAATAATCCGCTGCGCAAGCACCTTGGTCGAGATCTGCCGTTGTGCCTGTCCAGACCCCTGCGTAACCATCGCCGTAGAAGACCCAGACCCATCCTGTCCACTCGATGCACCCTCCGCTTCAAGCGCGGCAAGCTGTGGCGCAATAGCCTGCACTTCTTCGATAGAGATACCAAGCGTCAAGACACCAGAGCCGGCACCGGTGTTCCCGCCCTCGTCAAGCATGTCGTCTTCCTCTTCGGCTTCTGTGCGGGCGCCGGTGCTAGGGGATCGGACGGTGAAGATTCCCGAGGGCTTTTCATTTGCTAATGCGCCAATGAAGCGGAAGTTTGATGGTTGGCCTGTTGTCGGGTCTGGGAGTTGGGCGTAGATTGCGGCGCCGGTGTTGGGTGGTAGGACTGTTCCTGGGAGGAAGAAGACTACTAGCTCGCTGAAGGAAGGGCTGAGCGGGATTGTGAAGGCGAATTTGGTGGCTTGGCCGTCTACTGCGACGATGTCTGTGAGGCATGGTCGGCCTGGGATCACGACGGAGAACATGGCGGGGTGTGGTATGTATGTGGTGAGAGCAGGGAATTGGCGGTGTCGGAGTTCTTTTACAGAGGAGCTGTGAGGAGCTGTGAGGGAAGCAACCTTTGTGACATAAGAGGGGCCCTTATCGGGCCGATAAGGGCTTGGCCTGGAAAGCTTCAAATTCACATGACAACTTTGGACAACATCGCATTGTATTGGCATCATGGGCAAGTCAAACTTGGATTTGGTTTGCGAATGTGACAAGTAGGGATATCCCGATCAATGTCCCCTCTACACCTATCTGACTCCGAGCCAGCTTCCCCTACTATGAGGACGACCGTGCCTCATACACAGCCAATCTCACCAACTACCACACCTTTAAAGTCACCGGCTACGATGCTACCCTAGGCTATATCCTCAATTCGGTGGTTGAGAAGTTCCCCTGGTCACCGAACTGCTGGGCAATCGACTCAACCGCCCGCACTGTGACACTAGTAGCACCAGCAAATGCCGACCCCGCACTGCGCAGCAAGCTGGTCGCAGAGAGCATCGCCGAAGCGGTACGACAAGACAAATTCGAAGTTCTTCGAGGATGGCGAAACGAGAAATACCCCGTCTACGGACCAGGCGGTGAATTCCTCCTTGACATGGAGCGTTGCGCATCCCCGCTCTTCGGCATCGTCTCCTACGGCGCCCACATGACCTGCTACGTGGAAGATGCTCAGGGACTGAAAATCTGGGTCCCACGCCGTGCAAGAAACAAGCAAACCTACCCAGGCCTCCTAGACAACACCGTCGCCGGCGGTATGTGTACAGACGAGAAACCATTCGAGTGCATCATCCGCGAAGCCATGGAAGAGGCCTCACTACCCGAAGCAGCTGTCCGAGCTGCGACCGTTTCTCGGGGCTGTGTGACGTACTCGCATGTTCGTGATGCGCGTGCTGGCGGTGAGACGGGTCTCATTCAGCCGGAGGTGGAGTATGTTTTTGATTTGAAACTTGATTCTCAGACTATTCCCACGCCTGGGGATAATGAGGTTGAGGAGTTCAAATTACTTTCTATTCCGGAGGTACAGGAGGCTCTGGCACGTGGCGAGTTCAAACCCAACTGTGCTAATATTATGATTGATTTCTTTATTCGGCATGGCTATTTGACTCCGGAGAATGAGCCTGATTTCTTGGAGATTGTTGCTCGGTTGCATCGTCGGTTGGAATATCCTACTGCTTCGCATTGTGCTCGGTAGATTATTGAGGGTTTGAGGGCTTTGGATACTATACATATTGCATATGAGTGTATACATTTATTGCTACAGCCTGTTTTCGTGTCTAAATTTGCATTTCTCTGTGGATAATGAGTGAGGCAGCCTCGCTTCCGCGACAATTTTCGTTGGCTCAGTCGGCTTCTATAACATACCGTTTTCAACACACTTTCCAACACTACCCTTGTCGGAGCGCCATCTGCCTTACTGCGCTGTGACACTGCTGCTTTGCAAATAATCAGTTTGGCTGGTTATCTGCCTTCGTCTGGACCTCGAACAACGCTTGATTGCCCTACTCCGTGACAACCGGTACTGATTAGTCTGATTGCCAGCGAAGACCTTTGTCTGATATGAACATACCTGAGTTGATTGTCAAATGAGGCATGCTCCTGACTGGCTCTTGCAGATTGATCTTAACGCCGTGGATATAGTTCATTCAGTGATCTGCCTTCCTTCGTCTCGGTTGCGGATACGTTTCGAGTGCCCTGATCTGGGATACGAAGCCATTGTAATTTCCTACTTTCTTTCGTCTCGGATGCGAACACGTCTCGTTCGCTCTATTCCCTAATACGGAGGCACCGCCAATGATCAGTCTGACTGGCAGTGAAGTGATATATCTGATTTGACATACCTCGAGTTGATTGGTGACGAGGCATCTGCCTGGCTCCTACGTTTGATGTTAGCGCAGCCCGGAATATTTCACTCAGTTATCTACCTTCTTTCAACCCAGCTGCGAACACGTTTCGGTTGCCTTGTTCTTTGAGGCCGAGGCATTTCGAATGGCCAGCCCGACTGCCCATGTTAGATCTTACTATACGCGCTCTCTCTGTATAAATATGACCACCTCCAGGTCTACTTTTCTAACACGACAGCGCCTTTCCTATACTCACTTTCCCAATCATCGAATCTACGTTGCAGCAAGATGGCAGAGACAACTCTCCCGAACAACCTCCAGTCGCGGGGCCTGGAGGGAGAGCCTGTTACTATAGACTAAATGGAGTATCTCAGATTCAATCTACAACAGAGCTTTGGTAATCTTGAACGTTATCTTTCCACGGTCCCTAGCTATCTTTGGGGAGATTGGGGCTCCCAACGACAATATCCCATAGAAAACTACTACGCAAAGTCGTTTGCGGCTGACAGTGGAGAAGGACTCATCACTGTTGACATATTTGCCCAAGACAAGGAGGAAATTGCACATAAGTTGTTCAAGCATCTTACCTCTCCGAAGGACCGTGTTGTTCCCTCAGCAATCTCATCACACGGTCAAGCTCGCTGCACCGTTGTATCCAGGTATTGTATGCCACATACGGAAAGTCCAAGGTCCACATGAGCAAATTATTATTGGCCATTGTTGATACCTCGGCCCTCCCTGAAGCATTTGTCAAGTCTACAGATTTGATCAGTGCCTTCAGCCTCTTTGACGACGACCTGGGAGATTTCACCCCCGAAACAGCCTGCGAGAATTGGCATGTCTGTGACTCCCTTCTGGTGTTTTCTTCTTTGCTAATTAGTCCTTGGAATGATGATCAGCTCCAGGCAGCAGTGTCAATCGGTTGCCTTTTTGGACCTCTGAGAGTAGCTATGATAGTGGGTCTGGCGTCGCTCCTACCGCCGGACCTCTGGGACGAGGGTTATGAAGAGAGACATGAAGTTGATAAAGATGTGGATGGGATCGACCGGATTGTGAGCTAACTTGAAAAGGCTGAGATCACGGGTACGTTGATCTTTGCTTTACTTTTGGCGTTGTCCTCTGGGAGCTTCCTAGGCCCAGAGATACTGCATAGCTTGGGTGTCAACGAAACACCGGTAGACCACTGAAAGGAGCTTGACCCATTCTGCTTGATCATGGATCTGACCTCCGGGCCTGTACTTCAGGTCTCGAAGTTGGCTTTGTCGTGGTGATTTTAAGTAGCTATGGTGAATGTTAAAGTTCTTTTGCAACAGTCGAGATTCATATCATCAATTTCATGAAGATCATGCTTAGTTCGATGATGATCTATTGGTATATCCAAATCAAAATGCAAAAATAACGCCTGCGCTGCACCCGATTAGAACATGAACATCTCCCTTCGAATACATAGACTTTTGTTTCCCGGCCCTAGCCTAGAGGTCAGAGCCAAAGCCAAATTTATCCCATGCCAAAGACTTCACCAAAAGCAATGATCCCAAGAACCGCTAACTTATTTCTTGAGGAGCAAGTAAACGTGATCGATTCGGAGAGGAGCAAGCTTCTTGTAGGGGCCCTCGAGGTACAGCAAAAGACCACCGAATGACACAAAGACAGCCCTGCAGAATTTGATTAGTTATGTGTCCCTAAGAACGAAATTTCCCCGGATATTCGAAGAAAAGCTGGAAAAAAGACTCACATAGTATCCTTAGTGGCACCCTCCTCGAAGCGGTAAACCTTGCCGTGACAAACGTAGTCGTAGTCATCGGCGAGGGTCGCATCGCCCATGCTGACTTCTCTCCAGCTGGCGCGAGTATCCTCTTTGCCGTCGAGAGACAGAGTCGACGCAATGGCAAGCGAGAGCGACTCGCCGACAGCGCATGGGTAAAGCTCGGAGTTCACATCAAGGGTGAATGTCAGGGAGGCATCGTTGGAGGTACAGGTGAGACGGGATACCCGGTCGTACTTCTGGGCGTTGATCGCGGTGATCGTGAAGGTATCTTCGAAGAGAAGCGGGTCGGACATGATTGCGAGTGCGACCGCTGGCTTGTCGGTCTATGGACGGAGTTTGGATTTGGTGGTCGACGTGCCGAATATCGCACAGTCGATATTGTAGGATTCAAGGGCAGCAATGGCTGGATCGTGAGGTGAGAGGCGGAAGAGAAGAGTTGGAGGCGGAGCGGAGAGGAGATCGGAGAACGGAAGCTTTTTTTTTTCTGCCGCTTTGGGTCCCCCGCCGATAACGATGTGAGTTTGACTACAGCTTGACCTTATAATTTATTGTTTCTCGAGTCTTCGCGATGTCCTTTCGAAAGAGAAATATCGGATTATCCCCCGGTGTCGATCGCACAGCTGTTCCCAATGCCGCAACACAGCCAGCTGCGCCAGAGAGCACGCCTGGCATCCGCCCCTCACCAGACGATGGTCGACCAACAACCTCGACAGGTACTCGGTCTCTAGACAATCTCCTTGCAGGACATGCAGGACTTCCTATGGGTAAACTGCTACTTGTTGAGGAAAATGGAACAACGGATTTTGCAGGCGCATTGCTCCGATACTATGCGGCGGAGGGCGTGATTCAAGAACAGAAGATCCATGTGGTTGGAGTGCCAGAGCAATGGGGTCGCAGCTTGCCTGGCCTGATCGGCTCAGCCGAGTCTCTTGACGAGAAGAGGTCCGACAGGCGCAAGGATGATCGTATGAAAATTGCATGGCGTTACGAGCGATTGGGCGAGTTTGGTGCAGGCGTCGCCGGTTCACGCGACGGTGAGCATTGAGATACAAGATCGCTTCGAGGTTCAATATGCTAATGGCTACAGCCCCTGCTACTCCTGGAGCTCAGGATCCAGCTGCGAAAGAGGCACCCGCCTTCTGTCACGCCTTTGACCTCACGAAACGCCTTACCCATCCGTCTATCACGAACATGACCTTCATCCCCGTCACCCCCTCCAAAGAATCGCCATTCCTCCCCATCCTGAAACGTCTCCAGACCGCGATCTCCTCCAGCCCTGCGAGTACCATCCACCGTATTGTCATTCCGTCTCTGCTCAACCCCGCAATGTACCCGCCCGATGCATGCCACCCCGAGCATGTGCTCCAGTTCTTCCACGCCCTAAAGGCGTTGATGAGTGCTCACACCACCCGTGTCACTGCAATGATCACATTCCCTCTTTCTCTCTACCCCCGGTCGTCGGGTCTGGTTCGTTGGGTTGAGCTGCTGAGCGACGGTGTCATTGAGCTCTGCCCGTTCCCGCATTCTGCAGATGCCACGGCTACCTCGGGAGCGGCGACGTCCCAGGAAGAACCCCCACAGGGTATGCTCAAGACGCATCGACTCCCAGTGTTACACGAACGTGGCGGTGGAAGCGATCAGAATGTTGGACAAGACTGGGCGTTTATTTTGAGTCGTCGGCGATTCGAGATTAAACCGTTCAGTCTGCCACCGGCTGAAGGAGACACCGAAGCGCAGGATGCCTCGGCCGCCGGCGGTATGCCCAAGAAATCGGACCTCGAGTTTTAAGGCAACATGTAACGTTCTCAATCAATCGTCCTCCTCAAAGTGAAGGCGGGTTCCTGGTTCTGCTAGCATATCGTCCATCTCGATCTGCTCAGACATGGCGGGGCCAGAGTTGGCCATGGTCCGAAGGTAGCTCGGGCCGTACGCGTCCATCCCAGCTTCGCGGGACCGAAGACGGTTACCGAGACAAGACGAAGCTGCAAGCCATGCTGGTTGGTATTAGTCGTCTGTTTAGGAAGCTTTGGTCGGCAGGGCATATAAGCGACACTTACCGACAAACAGTAGCAGTGGCGCAAAGAAGACAAGGAAGAGCAGAAGCAGGAAACCCATGACTAGATATCTGTACAGAGTCAAATATAACGAATGCCAATGAATCTAATGAAACCCATGTCGAGAGACCTCGAGTTGGCAGTTCGCTTGGGCCAATATGACTAGTCCCAAAGAGGACAAGCGCGGGAGCTGAGCTTTTCCTTTTCTTCCGCTTTTTCGACTTTTCTCTTTTTACTTCTCTGCAACTCGGCTTTGCTGGTCAAATCCTAGTAAATGATGTTCTCGACACTCTCTTTTTATCTCTAATGGTAAGCTCACAACCTTTTCACCACCCCACTTCGCATGATTATGCAAAATACAAATCTGTCAATCCCCTGAAGCTCGTTTAATATCTCAAAAAAGAGCACATGTGACTGAGAAACGTACTTATAAATGATTCGCGAACCCAAAACAATTTTGGCATCTGCAAACTTGCATACCGAACACAAGCTAACAGTCTATGCCACAGAATCCATGAAAATTTCAATCAAACATCTGAATCAAAAATCAAAATGGACTCCCAACCAGACCTTCCAATCCCGATCTCCTATGTATCCGGTAGATACCTGTTGTTCTCAATTGACGCAGTCACATACCTACGCCGTGAGCATAACATCTGCGGCGTGCTGATCGGGACACTTCCCCAGATCCCACAGCAAAATGTCTTCCTGGGTCTGCCGCTGGAGTTGATGCCAGAGGAGGCCCGGCTGTTAGTGGACAAGGGTGTAGCTTGCATCGTAGACGAAACCAAGGCGCACGACAGCATGAACACACTCTTAGAAGAAGATCGCAGACGGTACCTGCGCGACCTCGAAGCCCAAGGTCTGCACGCTTCGCGTCTCCACGCAGATCGCAAAGAACAGCAGAAGGAGCAGGCGTTGAAGAACAGAATAAACGACAAGAATGCCAACCCTAAGGCCAAGGCTGCTGCTGGTGCCGCCGCGCAGACACCCGAGGATGCCCTCTCCACGCCGTCAAAGAAGGACGATGCTGCCGTCGTCGACCTCTTCGCTGCTGAGGACCCTTCGACTCCATCCCGAGATGCCTCGAGCACACCCACACCCTCTCAGAATGCAATGGGCATCACGCCTGCGACCTCGTACCCGCCGCTCTCCATCCCCCCGTCGTCGAGCCACCTCCCAGCTCCCGTAGTGCCACCTTCCTACCCTCTCTTCGCCCATCTACACTCCCGTGGCTACTTCCTTTCTCCTGGCCTGCGCTTCGGATGCCAGTACACGGCTTACCCGGGTGACCCGTTGCGCTTCCACTCGCACTTCCTGGTGGTGTCATATGACTGGGATGAGAACATTGATTTGATGGACCTCATTGTTGGTGGCAGACTGGGCACTGGTGTGAAGAAGGGCTTCTTGATTGGCGGGGCGGAGAAGACTCTGGATGATGTTGAGTCGGAGGCTGATCGGGTGGACAGTGTCCGGACGTTCAGTCTTGAATGGGCTGGCATGTGAGGGCTGGGGGTTAGAGGCTTTTACATGTCTTCTATTACTTCCAACCGTATCAAGCTCATGGTTTTGGTACGCCCTGGCTCATGCAATCGACCAGCTCCCCCAAATGCTGGGTCTTTCGATGCGCTCAATGCACACCATGCCTTGAAATCGGTACAAGCTCTCGCGATACTTATCGATATCGAGGCTTTCATCGAAGCACATTTTGGCCGACACTCCCTGCGGTGCACCAAGATATCAAGACCCGCGGGGTTCGCGGGCTCGCGACTCGGATTCCGATTTGAAAGCACAACCGCACATACAAGCAGACGTGCAATCCGTTTCTATGTAGACATTATCCTACAGAGAGCATACTAGCATGTACTCATACTGCTGCTTGCAACACAATTCATGGAATGTTCATTCCACACAGAACATCATTGTCATCATTTCGTACATGCCGTAGCATTTGTAAAGGTTGCGCTTCAACTATTAGGCCAACCAATCTCAATGTCTCAAAGATAATCAATATTCCTCCACTTGAACTTCTTATTAGCACGATCCACCGGCCGATTCTCAAACTGACTTCCGTGCAACTCAAAAACCAATGGCTTCGCACCACCAGCACCGGACTCTTTCTGCTGATCCTGCTCGCCCTTGGAGGATATGGGCAGAGGAACCGTGAATCGGAAAATAGTCTGCTCCTTCGGAATAGCTATAAAATTCGTCAGCGCCATGCGTCCCTTCTTTCCTCTCTTCCAAGGCAGATATCAAAAATAAACTCACTCTTCATCTCATCCCTCTCAGTAACAAGCACAAAAGTAAACTTCGTATCCCGAACCACAATTCCCCTCACCCCTACCCTCCCCGAACAAGAACTCCTCACAACCTCAACCTCCGCCCCATGATAATCGGCACTAACAAGCTTACTGCCATGCACAAGAGCAGAAACGGGCCCGGAATGCGCACCAGGCTTCAAATCCAGGATTTCATGCATATACCCCACCCACAGCTCATGCAGACCCTTGAAAATCGCATACTTGCATTCCTCTTTGGGTAAATCGTGCAGGCCGGATGTGCGCTTCTCGCGCGCCGATAGCGGGCGCGGCTTTTGGTGTTTGAGGAAGTATTCTTTCTTGCGGAGGCGGTGGAGGCGGCGGCGGCTGCGGTTGTCGGTTGCTGTTGATTCGGTTGGGCGGAGGTAGAGGGGTTTTTGTTTTATTTTTTCGGTGAATTGGGCTGTTGTGCTATCTGGGGAGTAGGCGCGTGAGAGGAGGGTGTGCGCGATGTGCGTTTTTGGGGTTGGGGAGTCGGTCATTTTAGGAGGTCGACCTCGACGGCCGTTTTCTTATTAGAGAAGATGTGGAGGATGTACGTCGACGGTTGGGCTTTTGTCGTTGGGTTGGAGGTTGAGCTGTTGGAGTTGGAGAAAAATTGTTTGATGTCACTCCCCGATAAGAGATAACCATCTATAGAACTACCTATTTTCGTCGTCCAGACTACATTTGATTTACTATTGACCAGAGAAGTGACTAAGGCTACTGTCGGATATTGATTTATTTCCGGTTCTTATTGTCGGGCTTGATCATCCCTCGGCACTTTGATGTTTCCCCGCATGTATCGCATGTATCTCGTGGATATATATCCAGAGTTAGTTAGCACACCTCTTCTTTTCAAATCACAACCAAAGCACATATACCAATCATTCCAACACTGAAGCTCATTGAACAGCTATGCAGTCTCAGGTAGATCACAAGGAAATCGCGAACAACTTCCCAGATATCCCACCCTTCCCAGATGATGTCGCCACGGCACCTCTTCTTCGGTTATCATTAGGGAAGCTACTAGCCGGTGACCCTGCAGAGTATGCGAAACTATTCCAAGCATCAACCGATATAGGTTTCTTCTACCTCGATCTTTCAGACTCGGAACAAGGATCCTCGCTCCTCGGCGACGCAGATACCCTATTCAAGCTTGGAGAGAGCCTTTTCGATTTGAGTCTAGACGAGAAAAAGAAATATGACTTTAGCGGACAGAACTCATACTTCGGCTATAAAGCACAGGGTGTTGCGGTAGTTGACAAACAGGGGAATCTGGACCGCAACGAGTTCTACAATGTAAGTTTGCTCCAGGTTTGTGTCTCTGCGGCAACCTGATCTCGATGCTGCCAGGTCTCAAAAGACGATATAATGGGAGTTAGCAACCCACTGCCTGCACCAGGGGTCCTGCAAGAAAGTCGAGCACAGCTGGGATCGTTCATGCAGGGGTCACATGCGATAGTAACCCTAATCCTCGACATCCTGAACAAGCAACTCTCCCTACCAAAAGGAACTCTGCCCAATCTACACCGACGACAAGCAGTAAGCGGCGACCAAGTCCGTTTTGTGAAAGCACCGCCACAGCCAGTCGACGACAGACGCACCGCGCTGGGCCAACACACCGATTTTGGCAGCCTGACGGTGCTTTTCAACCGAGTCGGGGGTCTTCAAGTACTACCACCCGGTGCTGACACAGAATGGGTGTATGTGAGACCACTCCCTGGACATGCGATTGTGAATCTCGGGGACGCAATGGTCAAGTTCACGAATGGGTTGTTCCGGTCCAATATTCACCGGGTTGTGGCACCACCTGGACTTCAGGCGGAGTCGACAAGGTATAGTCTTGTGTACTTTGCACGACCCGAGGATAGTGTGATGTTGCGTCGGCTGGAGGGGTCTGAGCAGATTCCGAGGATACGGGATGGCCAGGTCGAGGAGGAGATTAATAGCAAGGATTGGATTATCCGGCAGGCTTTCCGGGCGAGGGTTGATCTTGTTGATGATATAGATTATAAGTCTGCTGGTACGGAGCAGATTAGTATGAAGATCAAGGTTTAGGTTGTATTCTGCTATGTTTAGAAGAGGCAGGGTCTCTGGTGAGAACTGTATATACTTCTGAGTATCTATGCTTTCATTGTAAAAATGATTTCCTCGGACACTCTGTGTATAGTCATCGATTCAACTAAACTGTATATATGGGATCAGCATGTATAAGGTTAGACCGAATTCACCATGACATAGGTTGCCGAAGTGGGGATGCAGAGCTTTCAAATCCCGGTGTTCAACATCTCAGACTCCTTGTCAATTTCTGAAAAATGAGACATCCCCTATGAGCAACAACATCGATTTCACCGTCGGAGTCCTTACCAATTCATCTCAGCCCCGGAGACCAGATAATAGGTGTTATCTTCTCACCCAATGAGAGTTGCAGTATCTACAATATGACAGCTACAGTAGCTCAACGAGGGACAAGGGGTAAACTAGTAGAAACCATCGAATCCACACCTCCCAAGACATGCACTACAATCCCCCGGCAAGACGGTCTACTCTAAATCAGCCCCTGCGTAAGCAAAAAAACCTTAACGAGAAGAAGGAAATTACATCCTGCGAACCGGCAGTTATCGCCAGAATCAGTATTCGACAACCTCGATTTTGAAACCCGACGTTCTGGTAGAGACAAGCTGTCTGGGTGGGGAGACCCCGGAGGGTTTCCAGACTGGGATCAACCCTTTCACTTGTCATATGTTGTCCGAAAATGCGGTAAATTATGATACCAAATACCGTCTGCGCAATTATATCGTGCAACGCGGCACACCTCAAGACCAAAGAATATCGCGCATTCCGACATCCTGGGTTGACGTGCCAAGACCCAAAAGTGGTAGGTAGTTTGAGCGTTTTCAACTCCCCGTGGCGCTAACAGCTTGAACATTCTGTGACAGTTCTGTGACGTGTTCTTATATCCCAGTCGATCGTTATGCATGATCTACATTTAACTGACAGGGTTCCTACGGCAAGGCCAGAAGGCCTGGATTTCTACTTTTCCCTCCAATAGCTCCACACATTTCGCCAGGTAGACTACAACCAACTTGCACATTCCCGCCCTTACTGGAAGGCAATATATTTCATGTGTGGCACTCGATTTGGCTAGTTGGCCGTTACGACCCACGGTGGGATCCATGTCTCAACTCCTAGCCCACCGTGCCCAGCCACTATTAAAATAGCAAGGTGATCAGGGTGACAGCGGGTATGAGCCACAAGCTCTCCACCTCCACATTGACCAAACGGATTCCACCAAGCTCCTAGCAATTCGGGACCGGGTTGTCCCTTCCGCCGAAGGAGTCATCCCTGGCGTACGGGAAGACTAAAGAAAGAAGGCCTAAAGTACTTTTGACACTGACACTGCAGGTCTGCACGATGACGATTGTGGATTAAGGCCAATTCACCCCCTGCGACCCGACAATCCGGCCCTGTCATGACACCCTTGCCTGATCTCGGTCACTGTAGGCTTTTAGGCCCTGTCGGGGTGTCATTGCAGTAGTTTATTTCGGTTACTAGAATTGCGAGTCATGAGTACAAATTCTCTCAAAATCTTTGACAGGGGTAACTGGATACGGTTAGTGTGTACTTTCAGTGGAGAAACGAATACAGTACAGCTCCATTGTACACATAAACATCGGAGCTGACACATTTCAAACTGGACTATTCAGGGATCAAATCGATAAGCTCAGGCAAATCTTGTGAAATACGAGAATCACCGATTTCCCGGTAATTCAGTCCTCTTCCCACCGATCTATACTGTAACAGGCAACAGTCTCGAAGCTAAAATGAAATTCAAATCGAGATTCGCAGCGGCCTCGGTGTTCCCGCCGAGCCAATCAGCCGGCTTATTTAGGTCTGACTTATGCACCGTCGAATACCCCCCGTACCATTCTATCCCGTATACTATACCCGTTCTCGTAAGTATAGACCCCAACAACGCATCTAATATAATCCCTGTAGATATCTCCTTGTACATGCATATCAATAACGAAAAAGTACGGTACCATTACTACGCGGACACCCTGGGTCCAACCCACAGTAAACGGCTCGGACCGTCCAAACGGAACCAGACGGGTTTGCCATCCCACTCTTCTGAGTGGTAATGCTCCATGTTCCACGCCCCCCAAAAGGGGATGTACTGCAATTTATTCGTCGGCCGAAGCATCTGCTTTGCGCTTAGTTTTCTGGTGTGGATGCGTACCCGGAAGCGCCCCGGTCCGAATACAGTTCGGTGGCGCTATGTTACAACAGTATTCCACCGACGACGACGGCGCAATAAATGCAGAACGTGGATATAGATCCAATTAGAGTAGTATAGTCTAGCATTACAGTGTATGATCACATGTATGTGAAGATTAGTTAGAAACAGCTCCACAATAAGAGATAACACCCCTATGCTGTGAAATTATAAACCAGACAGCAACTGAGGTACACTACAGTATCTCAGAAGAGAGACGTTGCGATGCGGAGCAGTTTGACAATTCGGCCGATGTCCAAATCGCGAATTTCATGTCAGAGGAAAGCACAGCAAATCAGACCGAACAGGTCACTATGTACCTTTTTTGTCATGTCTAGACCTGAGGGCAATTATAGAATAGTATCCACACCCATATCCACTGGTAGTTCCAGGGGACCGGGAGCGATGAAGTCTATTTTTCGCGCCGGATTGATGTGGGCCCGAAGACTGCTTTCCTTGTTTGGAATTGACGCCGGGTTTCATCTTCTGACAGCTGGCTGTGCGTTCTGGCTTTGGGCGGGTAATATATTGCATTTCTGTGCCTCGGGTGAATGTGAATGGAATGCGGTTTGGAAATGGAAATGTACGTACTGGGTCTCGGGGCTCATGTCGTACGTTCCAACCAGCGAACGGGGGTAATTTAGTTGCGGGCCAGCGGGTTCAGAGGGGTAAATTTCATTTATTGGGTCAATGTCATTCGTATGTCTCGAAAAAAATACAAATCATCTGGAAAAGCAGGCTGTCCTGCGAAATATCATGGCGTATGTCTTGATCATGTAATTGGGTTTGCCGATATTACCATAGTAGCCAACTTCTCTTCCAGGCTCCGAATAACTGCAGGATCTGGTTCTGGTTTGATCTTTTTAGGTCTGTTAAAGTAGATAGTCAGCTCAACCCAAAACCAAGGAGAGAGAAAGCACACATACGGAATTCGAATAGTCTCATCACATTTTGTCTGACCACACTTTACGCAAACACGCGCATCTTCATTGTAAGACGTGGTACAGACATGACAGATATAATGAACCCGTCGACGGGGCTTCTTAAATGTGCGATCTGGCACAGCTTTTGGTGGTTCAACATCACCAGGATACCCATCTGGGTATTTATCAAGTTTGGCGGGCTGTCGGGGACAGCTCTTGCAGCGAAGATGGTGACAACTGGCACATTGTTTCGTGCCCCTGGCAAACATAGTCCCACATAGATGGCAGTCTCGTCGAACTCGCTGGCGTACTGCTTTGCGCGTAAAGTCCGGTCCTCCCATACTGGAAGTCATTGATAACGGACAGGCTGGGTTACCGCTCAACTTGAGATGGGGCGTGACATGAAGCATGCCACGCTGTTTTGCGCGAAGCTCATGGAGTCTCATTTTGGAAAATGATGGCTCTTCGTCTTGGGCATGGGCTGGTGAAAGACGGGGACATTTCTTGCATCGGAGGTGCTGGCAATTGACGCAGACTCTCTCGGGACCGAAGGTTGTTTCGCAGCGGTGACAGGCGCGGCGCACCCGCATGCGAATTGGCTTGGCTACTCGGGCAAATTGGTGATCCGTGGATGATTTCTCTCCAGTGGGTTCGAAGCTTAGATTATATTTGGCGAAGATGGCGTGCGCCTTTTGGCGTTGCATGGCGTTGTAGTCGGGCACAATGGGTTGCTCTGGTATACTGGGTTGTTGCAATAGCTTTGGTGCTGGTGCTGGTGCGCTGTGGTGGGCAGTGTCAGTTTATACTATCGAATGTTGAAGAATGCCAGTGTAGTATATCATACGCTATTTGGGTTGGGACCGCCACATCAGGTATGCTTAGAGATTGATGCTTTGAAGCTGATCGAGGGCGCAAGACGCTCTTCATGCGCCTGAAGTACTTGAAAATCCCTTCGGGCCTGTCTTCGCCTGGGCGACCGGGCGTGTCTTGGGGAGACATGGATTTCGATTTATGTAAAGTGGCGCAGGAAAGCGATGGCGAATGCTTCGTTGATGTGTCCAAAGTGTCGGGATGGCCGTTTCATTCCATGTAGAGTGTAAGATATTCAGAAGAGAAAGAAGTATGTCAAGGGTATAAGTATCCAGGTGAGAGGTGTACCGAAGAGCTGGGATTCCCGAAGAGCAGGGTAAGAGCGTGGGGAGAACAGGCAATTATAAAAAGAAGCAGATCCGAGGAATAAGAATATAGTTAGATTACAGGTATTGTATAGATGCCGTAAAAGGCGGAGATATTATAAAATATAAAAATCAAAAATCATAAATTATTTAGGGGAATGCAACTTGGGTGGACCCCGGGTTCTCTCCACCTGGGCTTTGGCCTCAAACTGTACTGACAGTACTGTAGCATTTCTCGGACTTTGCCATTGGTCCTTCTTCACGGGGCAAAAATACTCCCATGCGTTGCTGTACTTTGTACATTTCCCTACAAATACTCCTAGGAGATCCGGCGGCGTGGCATGCGGCAAATGGGGCTATGTACATCTGCCCGGGTGTTCCCGCCATTCCGGTTGCCTTTTCCAGAAATAGTTCACCTGTCAGTCTATCAGTGGAAGCGGGATCTGGGAATCAAGGGTGCAAGATTGCCGTTTCTTAGGGGCTACGCCGGTGTTTCGTTGACACCTGGGCAGACTGTCGATCAGGAGAGGATTTGACCGGGATTTGGATAACCAGAAGATCGTGAACTCTTAGAACTTAGAATGCTTGGTCTTTGCCATTGGCAGGTAGCCCATGGGAAATAGTCCAATTCTTATCATTTACTTTTTCTTACTATCATTTTATGGAATCCTCTAGTGCGTGGACAAGCCGTGCTGACATGAGTCTTAGTAATATGTGACTATACCAAACCGTCGGGTTTATGAAGAAATGCAAAGCGCAGACCAAGATCCACTGAGAACCACTGAGAATCCTTATAAATCAACAGATACCTCCCTAACACGGACATCTCTCCGACCGTGGCGAGTCATGCATGATAGGGAAATTGGAAGCGACAAATCACCCAGTTCGTCAGTTAGCGGTGAAAAGAGTGACTTTAAGGAAGGAGACACTACTGGAAACTAACAAGCTAAAGGTCGAAAATGAACCGATTTGAAATGTATTCCTCGTTGCTCAACGGTTCCACTACGTGCCGAAGGAATTGGAACTAAAACAAGTTGCATATGACAAGTGTCAGTGCTTGCCTTTCTTAACCTGTCAAACCGAGGGTTAAGTTCTAGGACAGAGTACATGTACACATGGACGCCAAAAATGGCGAAAAAAGACCGGATATAATGATAATCTAGGAACCCACATACACTGCAGGTTGAACCATCCCCCTGGAAAATGGAGACGTGGTTCGTACTAAAGGAATACTTTTCCTCCAGGGCTAGTCTGGGCTTCCCCCTGTCATCTCATTTCCTCAGTGGAGACTTATGCAGGACGACGATGCTGGGGGTCTGATCGCTGTCTTGGCCATTGTACAGTATGGTAAATTATTGTGTATATCCTAGAATTTCCCCTCAGCCTTCTTTGATTTTGCCCAGTGGTCTTTGCTTTTTTTATTATTAATCTACATATTTCTAGTGCACCCGTTCCGATCGCCCGATCTATAGCCCCAAGCGATCGTACGACAATTGTATATTCAAGACAAAACTTCCCTGTACTTCTTCCTGTACAGTATGCCGTGCCGTCTGCATGCATCATGTGGGAGTATATGTAAACGCCTGTTACTGCCCAGGTGAAATTCATGTAACATAAGTTACATTATGCTTGTAACATGATTCAAGTAAACCTTACAGATTCAACTCAGCTAGAAACCCCTGCTCCACAAAGTGAAAAAAAGCAATTATTCTTTACAATAATATCTGCTGTAGATATCTCACAACATTCCAACCCTTCCAGTATGTACTGCGCCCCCTTCGCGCTGGCCTTCTAGACGTGCATCCGGCCCGGCGCAGTGGTAAAGCAACACACAGACAGGCAGCTCGCCTCGCCACTAGATACAAACATACTGAATTTCGGCCCCTTTGTACCACTCTGCTGGTACGGCGCGCATTGCCGAGCTGACTTTTTCCGGGGGTTTGTTCAACCAATCATGCAGATATTTCTAATTCAGAATTTGGAATATCGAAGTATACGAGTTCCTATGTACCCAAGTACAGTACATGCACACCTAGGCGCCGAATCCCCACCTACGTAGGTGTATCCAACCAGAAGGTATTTCCCCACAGATTGATTGTCCGAGGTGAAAGAGAGGAAAGTTAAAGATATCAAATTATTGGTGATGGGCATCCTTTCACCTGGGATAGACACACCTGTGGACTTTACCGCTCGCTCTCGCTTCGCTGAGCGCCCATTCATGTACGAGAGTGAACGAATACATGGTGAACGAGGGGGCAAGAGCTGATTCATAATCGGCGATCATAATTGTATGGCCAATCAATTGCTTTTATTGCAGTACACATTCCCTTGGAATTATGGGCAAATGTTAATGCTTCTGTGCCGCCTGTGATAGGGCTGCGATTCTTCTGCTAGACTTGAATCATGTGGGCTAAGAAGATGATGATTGATCGGATGGAAAGGTTTGGGCGGAATGGGACGACGCTGATAGCTGGACTGACTAGCTAGGATTTAGGTCTAGCTGTATATATTTCCCAGTGGCAGGCGACGATCGAGGCTAAGCTAGAGATCCTCATCAAGCGAGTGAAACTATTCGTGGTTGATTGGGTGGGAGGGGCCACTAGAGAGTAATACAGGCGTTTGTTCATACCGTGCTAGCTGGCTAGTCTACTCCAGTTGAGGTGAACTCGGCATCTCCGACTGCAGATAGATCGCTCTCTCCAGGCGAGGGCTGGCTCTGAGTGGTACGTACTGGCAAGATCTACCGCTAGCTGAAGGTGCCGGGCACCGTTGCAAATCATCGACATGACAGATCACAAATGCCAGTATCAGGCAATGTGGGATCGACGCCAGCCCCAATTCCAACAATCCCATTCAAGCCAGGTGAGAGCGAAAAGCAAAGAGTATCATTCGACGCCCACATATGATGTATGTGTGTGTGTATGGGCGAAGTTCACAAGGTTCAACAGTATCCAGCCAGTCAAGCCGCTAAACGCCCTCTACAGCAAAGTCCCATGCCTGTGCCCTTGGATACATGTCGGGTCGACCCGACCTATCGGAGAGGCTCTTGGTCATGTATCCCTTCAATACTGTTAATCGGTTTAGTCCGATCCTGTCAGCTTGGACTTGATGCCGATGATATCGTCGTCAGCCTCCACCTCAATCACCCGGTTGACTTGTGCGCTGGTGCGCATCAGCTCCACCGCGTTGGCGTATGACATCCGTTGCATCGGGTTGCAGTTCTCAGGGAGCCAATAGAGGAGGACGTAAGGGACTGAGGGGCGTCCGTCTTTCTGTGAGGGATATTGTCTCAGTATATCGCAGTTTGATAGGCTATTTGGGACAGCTCACAGTTGTCAATGGGTAGCTGAGAAGGATGAACCGTGGCGAGGAGTCTGGGAGGTCGTCGGCCAGATCCTCCATCTTCGAGTAGATCTCATCATCTTGTGGCCGGATCTCTTGGGTCTTGCTGTCGATGATATCTGCAAGGTGCCGCTTATTAGCATGATACGAACAAGGGTACCTGCAGATTTGATGTAAGATCTCTGCACAGCCATTTGAGACAAAGCCTGGGTTGTCTTCAAATGCGCGAGATCCGTCAGAAAGTGCGAATCTAGGGGCTCGTACAGATGACAGCTTGCGCATCCTTCGCTCGCGATGTACCCAGGCGGAACTTGCGTAGCTTCTCCTTTGTCTCCGGAGAGAATGAATATAATCGTGAATCGGACTACTCAAAATCAGCAATCCGTCATGGAAGCACGCGAGCATACACACGTCAACGTGGTGTGACACTCACCATTATGGACGACGTGGGGGCAGCGCAGGGAAACAAAAACCCGAGAGGACTTCTTTTCGGCGAGCGTAGATATGTGCTCAAAATGAACCCAACTATAACAGTTGTTTCCAGTAAAAGGGAGACAGCTGGAGTGTGAAGCGAGAAGGAAATGCGAAATGCGCAATGCGGGCGGAGATTCCCCCACTTGATCCCCTTCTCTGAACATCAACACTCCAACACTTCAACACTCCTGTATATCTACCCTTCAATGCTCAGCCGACTGAATCTCCTAACCCGCCATTTCTCACATTCATTCGGTTCCTTTCGTCCCTCCGTGCCCCTTTCAACCCCGTCCCTGACCCCTCGCCCAACTCCGTTCGCGATGACATCAGCGCGCGCGAAAACCATCCACACGGCAGCATGCCTCATTATCGGCGATGAGGTTCTCGGTGGAAAGGTGATGACCATCCCAATAGAACGCCCACCTAGCAAATCACATATTCTAACAACTCCCATGGCAGACCATCGACACCAACTCCCCGTACCTAGCCAAGTTCTGCTTCTCCCTCGGAATCCAGTTGAAGCGAGTCGAAGTCATCCCAGATGACGAGGAAGATATCATCGAAGCTGTGCAACGCATGAGCTCCCGCTACGACTTCGTCGTTACAAGCGGAGGCATTGGGCCCACGTCCGTACACCCCAGCCCGGTCCCTTGACTGTTCTTCCTCGGTCCCCGAGAACGGAGAACGCGCAAGACGCAAGAGAATCACCAACAATATCCAACATCCAGCTAATACTCATACCTCGCACACAGACACGACGACATCACCTACTCAGCAATCGCCAAAGCCTTCGGCCTAAAGCTCCAACTCCACCAGCCCGCCTTCGAGCGCATGAAGCGCCTTTCCAAGCCACACCCCATGCAGCCCAACTTCGACTGGGAGACTCCCTCGCCCGGCCTGAACGCCAAACTGCGCATGGTTGAGCTTCCCTTCGACCCCAAGATCCCCGCCGAGGACCAAGCCGTCTTCGTCGCGGATGATATGTGGGTTCCTATTGCCGTGGTGAACGGTAACGTGCACATCCTGCCTGGTGTGCCGCGGCTGTTCGAGCGTCTTCTTGAGAACCTTAGGCCCAGTCTTATTCCCCGTCTTATCGATCCTGAGGGTAAGGGGACTTTCCGGTGTTTGATTAGTACGCCGCTGCCCGAGAGTGCTATTGCGCCGTACTTGACTGAGCTGGCGGCTAAGGTTGAGTCGAGGGGTGTTAAGGTTGGTAGTTACCCGCGCTGGGGAAAGAAGCGCAATACTGTCACACTTGTTGGGGCTGATAAGGCTTTTATTGAGTCTTTGGTTGCGGAAGTTGAGGAGGGTGTTCAGGGTAAGCTTGTTGCTGTGGAGGATGAGCTTGATCCTCCGTCCGACTCGGAGCATGTCTACAGTCAATAGTTTGATTGTCTGTTTACCCTGTTAGCTCGGAGGGGATTACATATCTCTGCAGCACATAGATCGGAATGTTTATACTAGAACACAGGAATGTCATATCCAAACATTGCCGGCAGATACAGATCGAATAGATTGCACTATGATAGATGGCATATATCTCTCCGCTTCGAGAGTCACACCATCCATAGATACTCAAACAAGACACGCGCCATAGTAATGAAGAGCAAGGAATCCCCCTTGCCGTGAAATAACATATATTGACAGCCGTGTCGTCTCGTATCCCGGGACCGACAAAGATAATAAGAGATAGATAACAAACACCAAGGATCTTTCGCAAGACTTGAAACAATAAAATATAGAGATAAGGACGCAATTCGGACAACAAAAGGGGAATCAAAATGTTTCGTGAGACGAGGTTGGCGTCAAGGTCGTCAAAGCGAATGCGAGCCTCGTCCGAAAGAACCACACAAACACCGACACCATTCGACAGGCCACTGTTATTCTGTGTTTTCGCTTGCTATTTTCGCATTTTTTTCCGGGGTTTTGCGTTTGATTTTGCTTTCTGTCGGGTGTGTAGTCGTGCTGAATGTGTTTTCCTCCATCGCGTATGTATTCTGAATGGCAGAGGGTGTAGGGGGGTTGCAAATGCATAGGCAGATGCGGATTAAGCGCCATTCAAGAAGTGTAACCAGTTTCCAACTTTCCAAGGGAAGAAGACAAAGAAATGCCTTCTCCCCTATATAACCAATCCATTCTCAGTGTAATAACTCTCCGACAAATCGTATGCGCCGCGTAGGCGGATAATTTGAAGGTTCTTTCTCGAGGCTCAGGGACATTCGCTGATTCGACGTTTTCGGGTTGTTCTTGTTTTACATGACCACACACTTGGAGCAGCAGCCCGCGCTCTCGCCGGGCTCGCTGACATCCATCTTGCCCTCTGGTGCGCGGGAGCCGAACGCGCCGGAGCCCGAGGGGTACGAGGACATTTCCTTGTTGTAGCGGCGGATCTCACGGACGAGGTCGTAGAAGGCGTTCTCGACGTTGATGCGGGACTTGGCGGAGGTTTCGATGAACTTGCAGCCGAACTGGCGGGCGAGCGCTTCACCCTCTGTTGGACGCGGTGAGTTGTTAGTTACGGGGTTGCAAAAGGAGTGGGATAATAGGGGGCTGGGGGTGTGTTGAGAGGTAACCTACCCTGCTCGGAGACCACGCGCTCCTTTTCCAAATCGCACTTGTTGGCAACGACAATGATGGGGAAGTAGTCCTTGTCCTTGACGCGCAGGATCTGCTGTTGGAAGGTCATGATTTCTTCGAAGGATTGGCGCGACGTAATCGAGTAGATCAGCAGGAATCCCTCGCCGGTTCGCATGTACTGTTCCCGCATTGCCGAGTATTCCTCCTGGCCTGCTGTATCCAGCACGTCCAACAAAGCGACCTCATCGTCAATAACGCACTGCTTGCGGTAGGAGTCTATGGGAGACAGATTCCGAATCAGCGCCGTTCATTGCGGGTTCCCGTGAATTCGAAAGTGACGCGATCCGGGCGATCTGTCATCGAACTGGACTCACCTTCGATTGTTGGGTCGTACTCGTCCACGAAGTGGCTCTGGATCAGTTGGATGGTCAAGCAGGACTTTCCGACGCCACCGCCGCCGACAACCACCAGCTTGTATTCTCGTAGGAACTGCAGAGCTTGAGTCAATGGGATGCTCCGGATGCTCTGGCCGAATAGAACCGGTTCGTCATCAGGTCTGGGATACTCACCTTTGACGCCATTATGGGAGGTGAGTGTAGGAGAGAAAGGGGGAATGAGGATCCAAGTTCCGGGATCCACAAAAGGGTAGGAAGAAAACAGTCAGTGGAGAAAAAAGTAGTTCTGGGGAAAAAGAGAAGAAGAGGAAGGGGGCGAAGGGGAATTCAGGAGATGGTGGGGAGAGATGATTGGGCGAAAAAGGGGATTATTAGGATTATTATCTTAAACTTCTTTTTTTTTGCAATTTACGCAGATTGCACTTATATTGGCCTCCTATTCTCCTATATTTTCTCTATTCTCTCTATTCTCTTATGTTTGCTGGTGTTGGGCACCTCTCCAGCTCGTCTTTTTCGCCTTGCATAATTGCATCATCCCGTTGAAATGTGTCAATTTTGGTGATTGGATACGTCCACAGACAATTCACTCTATGTGCCCACTTGGGCAGGCTCCATCACACTAAGAACTAGCATCTACAGAGACCCGCCGATCTTCTGAATTTTTCACTCATGTTCAACACTGCATGTCGGAAAATTCGATGCATCTATTTCCCCGTCCACATTTCTAGGTTTTAAGACCCTTACAAGGCATGGACCTTAAGTTCGTCTGCAAACCCCACCTGGGAAGCCATGTGTAGGGTCACATTTGAAGGGCTTGGGGATCGTCTAGCATTCACCCCTCCTTTTGAGAGCTAGAGTTATACATGTAGTTATACTGTAGAGTCGGTTGAGTCTGAGAAACATCGTTCTGCGCAATTGTGATGTTCTTACCCAACTTAGGGCTTTATCCTTCCATGGAACTCAATTCCCGCATACCAATCTCCGAAAATAGGAACTTCCCGAAGCCTAATCGTCCAAATCACAACGTCTTTAGTTGAGATTCCAATTTCCACCCGAAGATAAGCTAGACACCTGATCACCAAGGCTGCAGGGCCTTGGGTAACTAACTATATCCCGTCTGGTTTATAACATCGCCCGGGAATATGATTGGTCGGACAAATGCCAACCTGCCTGTGTGATTGATAGATTTGGCTGTCATGCATGCGTCGGCTTCCGGTAGGTGACACGGCGAACTGGGTGTCTGTGGTGGGATGGTAGCGAGCCGCACTAGAAAGTTTACTATAGTTTCGGGGTAATGCACTCGTGCTCAGGCATTCGGTTATAGATTTTAGGCTCAATGAATGCGATCAGTAATTTATTCTCTGTGCTACATTGGATTAAACTCATCGTAGAAGCTCAGTGTTAAGCGGGGAAATCTACCCAACTGCATAGAGCTTATTTGGTCAATGGTATATCGACAAATGTTGCATTTCGGCATTCCCAACTAGCTGTTTTTAAATAATCAAGGCCTTCAATGGTATTCTCGACCTGGCAATGTAACCTAAAAACAAGAAAGTGGTCACACTTGAACTGGCGCCTCGCTAGGTTAGCGCCCGTGCTAGGAGCGGCCAGTAATATCGTATGTGATAGTGCAAGGTGTACGAGTACCTAGGAATCCAACAATTATAAGTATAAAAGCTGGTGAGACATGTACAATTCCACTTGGGGTGACCGAGATTACCCTAGTTGCTTGCCTGAAAGATACTGGATCTACTTCTTGTTCCTGGGTCAATAAGCCACTGTATCAACAGGCTATTGATTATCCAGATTCTTTTTCTTTTTTTCTTTTTCAGGGCTTTTAAAATTCCTAATCCTATTAATTTAATTCTAATTTCTGATCTATAACGTTGTATATCTTCCCTTGCACACCAAGCTTGACAATCTTACTTTAGAGCTTTGTATTCACAAACATATGAAACCCGGCCCAGAAGAACCTCAAATAGAAACAACCAAATATATGAATGAATGACATGAGAAACGCAGACTCACATCTCAAAGCATTCCCATTCCACCTTTAGCCTTCGCAGCCCCTTCTCGGTCCAAAGCCAAAATAGCCTCCGTCATAACATCTTTTGGAGCGTCTAGTCCAGTCCACAGCGAAAACTGATCAAAAGCCTGAGCAAGCAACACCTCAACACCTGAAACAGTGTCCCATCCTTGAAGTCTTTGAGCCACAGTCAATAGCGGCGTCTGTCTCGGCTTATACGACATGTCAATACAAAGACCTTGCTTCCCAAACAACGACGCAAACTGATCCTCATTGGTCGTCTCCGCAGGAACAGTGCCAATAACAACATCTAACTCCTTTGGAAGATCTGAAAGACCCGGCACAACTTTGATATCGAACGCACTTCCAAAGTCATCCCTGACCTTCTCGGCGGTGGCCAAAGTCCGGTTCACAAGGTAGATATCTTCCATTCCCGCTTTGTGCATCGCATACAGAGCAGCCCGTGATGCCCCACCAGCGCCAATAACAAGTCCGACTTTGGGTCGTTGTTGCATCTTAGTCGAGTGGGCGGCAATGATACCGTACAGACCGGACCAATCCGTGTTGTCACCGATTATGGTACGCTCACTACCCTCGCCCTTAACGACGAGCGTGTTGATTGCACCGATCAGTTTCGCGGTCTCGGTTTGCTCATCACAGAACTTATGGACTTGGAGCTTGTGTGGCATGGTGACACTTGCCCCGCCAAAGGCATTGTCTTTGATCAGTTCTGCCACTTCATCGATGTTGTCGGACTCGCGAATGGTATATTTGAATGGAAGGCCACAATGTTTAAAGGCTTCGTTGTGGATGATGGGCGAAACGCTGAATGAAATTCCTTTGCCGAAAATGTGGAAGTTTTTCGGGGACACGTTGTTTGAGGCCATGCTGATTTTGAGAAATTTATAGCTTCTGAAATGTCAAAGTATTTGAATGCATAGTTGAAAGCAATATAAGTATGATTTATAGGATTTATCCGCCTTAGTACGTCCTAGTTATCTAGAAATACGCATCCAGATCCATCGGCTATGAATTTAGACGATATCGGGCCCAGTCTATATCCATCGCCGTCAAATAAATTGCAAAGTAAAATGACATAAATCCATTTCCTGTTTCCTCATACAATCATGCAACCTGAAAGTTAATCAACATGACAATGACACAAATCCCACTATCTCAAGAGATGACCCTCCATCTGGTGGGAGTGGGCGTGACGCACTCCATCGCTTACAGCATGCACAATTACATCGCGAAATCCCTTGGCCTCCCATGGACATTCTACTCCACCGAATGTCCTACAATTGAGGAACTCCTCCAGCTCGCAAAAGCACCAACCACAGCCGGCCTGGTTGTGACAATGCCCTACAAGAACTCGGTCATGAAGCACCTCGACGAGCTGGATGAGCTGGCAACCATCATTGGCGCCTGCAACAACATCTATTACAAACCGGGTAGTCAGCGGCTTCTTTGTGGTACGAACACAGACTGGCGAGGAATCAAAGGCTGTCTCCTAGAAAAGGGCGATGAGAGCAGAAGACCATCGGCGACGTCCCCTGCCAGTGCTCTGATCGTAGGGGCTGGAGGAGCGAGCCGTGCAGCTATATACGCCCTTTCAGCGCATTTGAATTGCTCTACAATTTATATCTTGAATCGCGATGACCAGGAGGTGACGGGTCTGATCCATGACTCGCGAAAGCTACCGAATCCTCCCAATATCATCCATGTGAAGACGCAGAAGCAAGCCCAGGGGCTGCCCAGCCCGTACTACGTTGTTGGAACGGTACCAGATTTTGAACCCAAGACCGAGACTGAAATTGCAGTTGCTGCTCTGCTCGAGTCTTTCCTGTCACGACCGGACAAGGGGGTGTTGTTGGATATGTGCTTCAAGCCAAGAAGGACGAGAATGATTAAGTTGGGCGAGAAGCTGGAGTGGCCGTGTGTGGAGGGAACTCATATTATCGGGTACCAGATTCATGAACAATGGCGTTTGTGGGCTGGGGAGGAGTGTGTAAAGAAACTGGATCAGAAGGGCGCTTGGGATGTTTTGATTAAGGCGGCCGATGAAAGCAAGGGGATTAATTTCTAGAATGTGTTCCTAAATACAGCTTGAATGTGAATCATTTGAACTTATAATCCTCTAGGCTCTACAGCAAATCGTTTGTGTTCTGTTCGGGTCAAACGTTTCGGGAGTATAAGGAAACGCTTTTCCCCACTTCTCCGCACGAAGGCAATGGAACCCATCGGCAATGAATTGAGCCGAAGAAATTATACCCGAGACGCATAGAAAGACATACTTATAGCGAAGGACGACCTCGGAAATTGACAGACTTTATCGCATCCGCAGGATATCATCATGACAGACTTGCATTCATTGCCCGAGGGTACCTGGCCCGAACGTGCCATCCGCAACAATGGACCAGACAACCTCGTTTTAGAGCGTGCGAAACTCCGCGAACTAGCCGAAGGCTGGCCTTGCTACCGGTAAAGAAACAACCAAGGATTGGGGCTAAGACCGAAGACTGACAACATTTCTAGTGATGCGTGCGAATGGGAGAACTTCGAATCAATCTTCCACCCAGGAGCCTATGTCTACACCACATGGTCCGGCAGAGTCACATATAAGGAATTCATGGAAGCGTCGAAGGGTGGTATGGATAAAGGTGCATTTATCATGCACCGATGCCACGGCGTGACGACAGACATCACCCCAGACGCGACTCGCGCCGTTACAAAGATGAAAGCGACCATCACGCAGCGATTCACGATCGACGGGGTCGAAGTCGATGCGGAGGCTGACTGTCGTTTCTGTTTCTTTTTTGAGAAGATTGATGGTCGCTGGGGTGCGCGGTTTGTACGGCATTGGTATGAGAAGGATAAGCTGTTGCCTGTCGTTCCGAATCAATTCCCTCATATTGATCTGGAGAGGCTTAATTCTTACCCTGCGGGGTATAAGTGCTTGGCGTATTGCCAGGAGCTTACTATGGGTGTTACCGTGTTGAAGGATATGCCGGGACATAGAAGGCATGCTGGTACTGCTTGTGGAGAGAAGCACAATTTGTTGTATCGGCTTGCTAAAGATTGGTTGGATGGCAACGAAATTGAAGTTTAGAGTAGCAGCTTATCATGTTGACATATATTCTACTGTTTTATTTTGGATCTAGTTCAGCGGCTATCCAAATTTGGTGCTAAAGGCGTCTCATGCTATCCTGAGAAAACAACGTTCATTGATTGAGCTGAAGTCTTTCTTCCAACTTCTTCCAAGCTGCGATACCCCTGTTCGCATGATCATCCGGTACAGTTTCGCCTTTGTATGCCATAGTCCGAGAGAACAATTCCATCGAAACCCATCCCTTATATCCTAGCCCCAACACAATCGCCTTGGCAATATCCTCGACAGGGAGATACGCTCCGCGATCCTCCTCATAGATGTAGCACCTGGCGTTTCGCGACCAATTCATCCTCGCGGGTTGACCCTCCACATAGTAAGGGTGACCTACAACTAGTGGCGACTCCAATCTCTCCGCATCAACAACCTGGACGTAAAAGACCTTGGAAATATCAACCTCAGCCACCATCCTCTCAAGTGATGCTTTCAAATCTTCATCGGCATTGGCAGTCTTGCCAGTTGGCGACGAGGGATCCGCCCACACTCTCCCGGCGATATTGAACGTATCAAGACACATTCCGAAATTAGATCGGTCAACTCGCTTAACAACATCCCAGAGCTTCTCCCATGTGTCGACATATGTGCTCCAGCACAGATTCTCATATGCAAAGCGGACAACGGGGGACTCGGCTGCTGCCATATCGGCCAGTTCTCTCAAGTCGGCCGCGATGACATCAAAGTCATCGATGAGTTGGTCTGCCGGGAGAAAGTTGGCGGGGATTTGGATCGTGGTTGTATGTAGTCGCTTGACGAGTTGTAGCCAAAAGACCATCTTTTGGATCAGTCTTGCATGTTGCTCTCGGTCTTTTAGCCCTTCGTAGAAGAGGAATGGCTGAAGACCAATTATTTCGAGATCTTGGGTCTGGCAAACTGTGTAGATATGATCTGCTGCTTGGAGGAGCTGATCCGGAGTTGGAATGTCGTTTCCAGAAATTTCTCGTGCCAGATATTCGAGATCTTCGTAGAACACTTCGATTCCTTTGAAGCCTGCTTTTGAGGCTTGGCTCATTTTATAGTCGAAATCGTGGAGCCAAGCTCGCCCTAGCGAGGCGCTCATGATAGCGGGTTGGTAAGTCATAATTGTTTAAGATAGAGGATTGGACAGTTGGCTAGAAGTAGGATCCTGCGGTAATGTCGCAGAAGTTATACTGGGAGTCTGATTTATACGCTGTGTTGCGGGGCTGGGTAATGATTTACCCTACGCAAAATTCATAGCCGATGCATAAAACACAGCTCAGACGGCTTAGCAAATGATCCAACATCGGGAATTAGTGATCAGTCTTGTACTGACTATAGGGCTATTCTGGACATGATTAATACTTTAATGCTGGCGCGGTATGACTCCCGCAGCTGCCAGTGGTACAGCCACGTCGCTCTTGACGGTGGTCTTCGGTCAGCTAGGAGAATATTTCTAGAAACTGTTCAATGTGCAGCTCTACGGCAGACTGTGGCCTACTTCGACGAACTCAGATCCGGAGATATTACCACCAGAATTACAGCGGATTATAATCTCATCGAATATATGATTAGCACAAGGTGGCTTTAATTGTTCGAGGTGCCTCAACCTCCGCTGCCGTAAGTGCATTCGTAATAATATCGGATACATGCTAATGAGCTGACAGGCATTTGTCGTCGGTTTTGCGAGATCCTAGAAATAGACCATAGTCCTCACTGGCATGATTGTTGTGACTGGAATTAATATGAGCGGTGGTTCAAAAACGCCATGACGATTAATCAGCGGTCCATCCATGCATATGCTCAAGGTGTTTCTGTGGCAGAAGGAATGCTCCGCAGCAACCCGAAAACCAACTGCACCTGGAGGGACCTTGGTTGTGACCATGGAGAGGTTATCACTCTGCCACGCGATGCACTTCAAATGTGGCAAAATGAGTTCTACAGGTTGGATGGCGCAGTTACACTTCATGATAATCAGGGAGCGGCGGACTATATTTGGGGGGTGACGCCTGTAACATGGGAGGATGCCAGGAGGACATATGGAATAACGACTGTCGGTAGCTGAGTTCTGCGCTACGGTTTGACCAGGGATACTGGTAACTACTGTGGGCCTGTGCCTCAGTATGTCACCAAGAACGCGACTGAAGGCCGTTCCTTGGTGCGCCAAAAGAGTCATGTCACGATGCAGAACCCATAGACTTTAGCGTTTTGCGCATTTTCCCGGAATTTTTGGGGCATTATTATGCACATCTGTAATATTAGTTTTAGGTGTATAATGACAACGGCTTCTCTCGATCCAGAAGAACTTCCGAATGCAGTGACGTGGGTGAGGCATCATCATCATCAGCAGCAGCATTATCAAGTGTGAAAATACCCGCTTTTAGTGGCCTCCTCCTCCACAGCTCGTCGCATCACATGTACAGGTGCCGGTCGGTTGGTGAACAACTCATACTGCGCAATACCCTGTTTGACAAGGACTTTCAATCCATCGACGACAATCCATCCGGTCTTTGATAGCGGAAGGATCTGCTCCATCAGTGACGTTTTTAATGGACCATACGCAACCTAGTAAATATGTTAGCTATGTGTTGCATTTTCAGCCAAATACACATCATACCTCAACAAACACACCACCAGTTCGACTTCCAAGCCATTGATCAGATATTCGGAATTCGACAGGTAATTGGCTGTCAACATCTTGACCGGGGATGCAAGATACAACAATCGTTGGTAGGCGAGAATCCGATGGCCAGGGATCCTTGATTGATTCAATGACATCCAAGTGTAGAGCATGATCGCCTTTGGACATTGCCCATTGGTTGTAGTAGTCGGCAAGCTTCCGTGCGTTCGAAGGTGTTCTGTTATAAATAAACATACGCCTGACTCCCAGCTGGTAGCAAGCGTAGGCAGCTGCATGGGCCATTCCACCAGCGCCTATGATCAGAGCTGTGCTGCCGTCACGAATTGCGTTTGCTGGAGATAGGTGGCCGTGGATGCAATCCTTGACCCCAATATAATCCGTGTTGTAGCCACGCCAGAAGAACCGTCTATCTCCATTGGGCTGAGATTCATGCTCCAACACCACGGTGTTCACCGCGTTTATGTCTCTTGCGTCTGGATTGATGTCTTCGAGACAGGATAAGATCTGGGTTTTGAATGGCAGGGATATTGCGATGCCACGGAAGAGGTTATTAGGGGAGGCCGAAGCTAGCATCTGAGGGATATTTTCAAAGCCATCAATGCTCTTAGCTTTGTATTCATGTGGCAGTCCACACGAGGTATAAGCTGCCTGATGCATCGCCGGAGACAGGCTCTGGCTGACATTTTGCCCGACTATGGCAAATGATTTCTTCAAGACTAAAGAAAAGGCTTGAAGAGCTTCTTGTGTCTCCCTTAGAGGGAGCCATGGGCCTTCGTAATTGGAAGGTATTGATACCGGAGACAAGGTAGAATTCAAAAACATGGATGCCCGACCTGATGTGCTTTCATTGTACGCAATCACCGGGATCCCCAAAGAATCCATCAGGTTTTGACGAAAAATGGCGCAGGAAATTGCGTTGTCTGGGGAGCCCAATTTACCGGTGAGCCGAATAGCGTCAAATCCTAGCTCTTTAACCCGTCGGCGGACAATGTGGATATCGGGAGATGACAGGGTCAGCCCAATGGGCTCAGATTGGGTGTGCACGGCGATCAGTTTCGTGTGCCCCTTTGCCGCCCTAATACTTTGTGCATACTCAGTAGCGCCCACGAGATGGCATGTGAGAGCTTCGGGAGCCACGCGCAGTGCTATTTCCACAAAGACAGAATAGTCCGTTCGTTGGTCTGCTCTGGCATCGAGAATGATAGGAACACGAGTCTGATTTCTGAGAGTTGTCATGTGCCACGAAAGCCTTGCCGCTAGCCCTTGGTTGAAGTCCTCAGGGAACAGTGTAAGATGGATTGCATCGGCACCACTATCCAAAACTTCCAAGTCTAAGTGGGCTCCGTCCAACTGGCTTAAAGACAACATTAGGGCATATGTATAGGTTGTAGAGAAAGCATCGGCGGAGAAGAGCTGTTTTTGGGGATTGCCAAATATGCGATGTAGGAAAGTCACAAAGACGCGTTCAATCTCCTTGAGTTTTAGAGGTGCGTAGAGCTGGTCTTCATTTTGTTGGCTCGGGTCTTGTGTAATATTGAAGAAGTCGAAGTTGGAACAAGACTCAAAAAACGCATTTCCAATACCGAGGACACGTTCAAACTTCTCGGGGTTTGCTTGGATAAATTGGCGAAGGGTTGCCTCGTCTCTCCTCACATATATCACCGGATGGTCCCGTGCGAAGGCCTTCAACAATTGTTTTTGAGACGCGCTTGCCGTAATCCCAAGACCAACAATCACACAGCCCTTTTGATGCTTTGTCAGGAGTTCTTGGGATAGCTCCGTTTCTACTTCGCGATACCGTGCGAACCCATAGGTGGCAATGAAGTTCTGAGGAGAAGAGTTGACCTGGCTGTGGAAGAATGCATCATAATCGATTAACTTTCGCCGAAGAGCGATAGAGGCTATGAGCCCTAGTGTTTTCTTGCCTGCTCCAACAAAACCAACCAGCAAAATGGTCGCATCCGCGTTGTATCTTCGGGAGGTAGGTTGTTCATGAAGACCAGGTGTGACCGGGGGAGATCCCAACGATGCTGGTCCCGTCCTAAGTGAAGGCATGTCTAATAGAGGCCAGCCTTGCTGTTGTTTGGAAGATGTCAGTTATAAGATGGGACCTTGCTAAGTCGTTGCTGCCCATTTAACGTCGGGTAAATTATATCCGATCACGTGACCGGGCACCATCATCCCTTCGGTCATCACTGCAGCATCAAGTATGCAAGTGCATCTGCTGACAGATGTCTAGTCCTCGGCCTTCAAAAAGGCAGCGAATCTGCCGGGCGTGCGATCAATGTCGTCGACGCAAGTCCAAATGTGACGGGGAACAGCCGAGTTGCGCGATCTGCCGCGGGGCTGGTCGAACTTGCACTTATCAAAACGGCGGTGGGCGACGAGGGCTGCCTCCTGGATATGTCCGAAGCCTGGAGACAGTACTTGGACTTATTATCCAACATGTTCCGAACAGCGAGAACGCAGTCCATGATATTCTGTACAAATCAAGAAACAATATCAACTTCTTCGCAACTGATCCCGCAAAGACATGGCGAAAGTCTCGACTGGCCAAAGAAATGCCGAAACTCCTTGATCATGATTTCCAGGAAGATTCGATGTTAACTCTTCCCGACGAGTCTGATTGGGACACGTTTGAGATGACGAATACACCTGGCACGGTTCCAGCTGATACCAGGCCTGCAAGCTCGAGACCGGATGAACTCGTGCGGCAGCCTACCCCAAGAATTGAGCTCAGAACGATAGAATGCGTTGATTCATCATTCCCGCTGGATACAATCGACATGCTGCAAACATACTTCACGCATACGCATTGCTGGTTTCCGATTTTAGAACGACATGATTTGTTTAGGGCAATGCACACTGGATCCACACTAGAACCAGTCCATGATAATGGATCACGCTTAGCCCTCTGGGCAGTCGTGGCATATCAGTCATGCATGGAGAATGATAGCGATGCTCTGAAGCCAAATACCGTGCAGATCGAGCAATCGATCCATTCCCGGATCATGGCGGAATCGTCAGACTTGAAACTAAGCCACGTTCAAGCTTTGGTAATTCTAGTACTTCTCCGGTTAAAGCTTGGGGATATTCTACATGCGTGGAGGCTAGTTGGCTTGGCTTCCAGGATGCTGGGGACATTATCCGCAGCGTCCAAGAAAGGCCGCTACTGTCATACCTTCCATGGATGTGTTCTTCTCGACAACATTTTATCTGCCCTTGTGGACAAATCGCCTTCTTTTTCCTTACAAGAGCAAGAGGAAGAAGGCCCGGTAAAGAAGGACAGCATGGAGGAATGGGACGTTTGGTCATCACCCCAGCAAGCCCCAGGAGATGCACGCCGAAACACTCGCAAGGGACCCCTTCGCACATTAAGCATATTCAATGATATCAATCACCTCATGGTATACCTGGGGCGAATATTATATTTGCCCGCCGACATACCTTCCGTGGGTAGGAACGAGCTTTCAGTCATTATACAAGCTGGGCAGAGAGGTTGTATGGAAAAATACCCACATAACTATAGTACAGCGCAAGCCACTCCTCCTGTTCTCACACTGCATCTCGTCTATGACTTCGTGATGTTGACACTCCTCCGGCGAAACAAAACGATTGATATGAGTGGGAAACGCTTGATGGAGACGTATTTGCAATCCACCATTCGACTACTAGACCTATACCTGGAAATGGATGGGTCATCAAACACATCCCCGCTCCTCACTTGCTTCGCTTCACAGTGCCGGCAGTGCTTGCATATCATATTCCCCGAACCCGAGAGTCGGGAGAGACAAACGTTCGAGAACCATCTTGCTCTCTATCTTCCAAAGCCGAAGACAACAATTTTTGAAAACTCGTTGTCTACCCAACAAACAATAAGCAACAATCCAATTCCTGAGTGTTCAACTCTCGGTGCCCATGATACCCCACCAAATCTTCGTCTTGAAGGTCTTGTGCATCCGTCCGCCCTTGACATCCCGAACATACAACTTGAAGCGCCCGTTCCTTCTCTTCCAGTCAATATCACTCACCCTCCTCTTACTTCTACCGGCGAACCAGCTGGTGGGTACCCAGAAGGAGACGGATTTGACGCATTATTTGAAGAAATGGTCACCTCAATTCCAGCAGACAGGTATGGTGATTCGCCCGTATGATGGTTTATATGCTAACTTATTTTAGACAGGAACCGATTTTTGCCCAAAATCTGGGATTCTGTGCTGGAGATCTGGATACGGACTTTTTGGAACAACTGCAACGCCCGCTGGGCGCTTAAGATAAGGAAGTGAAAAATACGAATGTGTGTGCCGTCGTAGTAAATGCATAACGTATTCAGTAAGCGAGTGGTTCCGCGTGAGCGATTGGTCCAGCTGTAATACACCTTGAAAGTGATAAATACAATGTTTAAGTTCCACACTCGTGGCCTAATAGGAAATCTACCTCTCAAGTTATATTGTAGATAAGTAATTACTTATGGATCTAGTGATCAGCATTGAACCTGCTATATAGAGTATAGTTCAGAAGAAATGCTCTCCATTAAATAGGATCTCTCTCTCATTGAAGAGAGATTAGACCTAAACGTTGGCCTTGACATACATGCTTCCGTAGCGTCATTCATCGTGTAATTTCAACAAAGGGGAACCCGACCCTGCCTCTGCCTACCTGTTTGCAAGCCAGGTACGGCCACTGGGGGCAGTGGGAGGTAGTGAGAGGAGAACACCTAGAGATGGTAGTAGAAGGGCAAATGGTGCCTGCATTACCATCCTGTAATCTAGAAAGTATTATATACCACACGAATCCTGAGTCATTATATACACCGTTATTTTAGCTAGGACTAGACTCCCAACGGGACCACGGGGATAGGACTTAGGAATGACCCTACTCTCATGGGACTCCAATGCAGATGTCCAAGTGCTATTTGTGATCTCGCCCTTTTGTGATAATTGTTCGGTGATAAAGCTGTCCAGCTCACACGCCTCACCTTTACGACTCAAATGTTTGTTATAAGCATTTAAACGCAGCATGTGAACCCAATTTTCTCCAAATTGGTGAGATCACATCAATTCGGACCCAGGAAGGAAAAATTGTCCATAGACGCTCCAGAAACAAGAATTGGATCTCATAAAAGATGAATCGTAGTGAAGTTGCATTGCTGAAATGTGCAGGCGCTCCTGCTTTGTGTGATCAGATCTGTCGAACTATTAACCCGCTATTCGCCCCGTCTTGCTGAGGGACAAGAGAAACCGCTCTTTCTCTTGTCTGCAAATAATTAATCAATCTGATGAAGTAGATAGAAACAACACAATTTTGCCGGCAGTTGACCCAAGAAGGGTGTTTTTCAAACATTATTGGCTCTGTGGCTCGACTTACTCTGGGTAGTAGGTTTACTGCGTTATGATTAGCCTCGGTACCATCTCTCAAAGCCCTTCACAGCAATTGAACCGCACTACATTCTTTTTCTGCGCCCAAATCCTGAGAGGAAAGATTGATTCAAGTGATGAGACTATATTCTGTTCGTGGTGCCCTGAGCAAGGTTAAGGAACGTAGCCGTAGCTTAGATATACCTTGGCCGTAACCCGTTCATTACTGTTCAGATCTGACACGCCGTTTAAGAGGTATTAAAAAAAGAACCCCCCTTTCAAGGCGCAGATTGATAGGAAACAGGCAAAGTAAAAAAGAAAAAAAGAAAGAAAGAAAACTCCGATAGGGGGAATCGAACCCCCGGCTGTCGTGTGAGAGACGACGATGTTAGCCACTACACCATATCGGACGGGTACGACGAATTACGCTTTTTAGTTTAATTTGTCCACTTGCAGTTTAGCGCTCTTTGTCCTTATGCCTCCCCGTGCGTGGTTCTATATAGTCCCCTGTTCCTCCCCCCTAACACCCAACAACCTAGGTCATTTTTCTTTTCGCTCCCCGGTTATTCCTAGGCCTTATAGGTGAGGCATTTTTGCTATTGATCCGGATCACCGAGCTCCTAAGCTCTGCCAACCCCCACGCCCAACAATTCCATTCCTGGTAGCAGACAGTGCAAGGCGGCTAATCTTTTCTTTCTCTTTTCCTTTTTTCCCCCAGAGACCAGCTATACTTAGACCGCGTGCATCAATCAATCCCATTCTCCATCAAAGAAGGTACTTGTCATGGTCCAAGTCCAGCACCAAGACACCGTCCCGTCGATGCCTGCAGTACGCCATGTGGACACTGGCCTCGCTGCTGCCCGCTCATTCCCGGGACCTGGTCGGGCCGCTCTACCAGCAAACTAAGCAGATGCTGGAAGATCTGAGCGTCGAAGCCGATGAGCATAGCAGCGTCAGTACCGCACTGGCCCAGGCATGGGTCCTGGTCGTGTGACGTTTGAGTCTATGCGGACGTATCACCGTCAAGCGTGGCCCTTCCTCCCCGCAGTGCGGAGACTTTATCGAGGTGGAGGAGAGGCGCCGAGTGTTTTGGATGACCTATTTCCTAGACCATGTCATCACCATGCGTGATGACTGGCCGATTACCTTGAATGAACATGTGGTAAGCGGTACTATCCCAACGGACAGTTATCGAACCCTTGAAGGCAGTACGAGCTAGCTAATACTTCTGTCCTCATCGACTTGAAAGATCGGCACCCGACTTCCCGCTCCAGACGCCGGGTTCCAAAGCGGGAGCCACGGACTGGGACCGTTCTTGTCAGAAGCCATGACGGAAGCCATGACGGAACCCACCCTCAAAGTGCGGTCCTCGTTTAACGAGTGTCTTATCCTGGCCACCATCTGTGGCCGTAGTCTTCTGCAAAGTCAACGGTATCATATCTCGAAAGCCTATGGGGACATGACCATGGACTGGACGGAGCAACGCCGGTGGCTGGATAGCATCCTCACGAACCGACTCCAAGTCTTGTCGCAGTGCTACTCAGCATCCACAGAATCTAACGACTCCCTTCTGTTATTCGCCAACATTCTCGGCCAGGAGACGGTGATCTACTTCTGCAAAGCGATGACCGACACGGCCGCGGGGCTGGGCTGGATGGCCCTCTCAATGGGAATCCCGAGTTCATCCAGTATCAATATCGGGCATTAGAGGCGTCCACCAACATCATTAGTTTAGCTTCCACCCTACGGGAGCTGCCATTTTCGAGGGTATGCCCAGGGACGGGAACTCAAACAACGGAATGCTGACTCTCCTTTTTCAGGCCCACCCATTGACACCGATCCCACTCTTTCTCTGTGCCGAATTCCTATACAACGACATGCACAACGAGTCTTTTCAGCCGCGATTGCAGGAGCTCTTCCACGTTCTTCGCGAGCTGAAGAACGTCAACAACCCCAAGCAGAGCTATCTGGATCTGCTTCCACGTTCCTGCATCTCTAAAACCGCAGAGCTATTCAGTCATAGTGTGGGGGCGAGCAGTTCAAATAGCGGATGAGCGCGCCGGGCTACATGGAAAGGGCAAGATCGAACACTGTGGCTTATTTGACGTTTGTGTGAATATTAGACAAGCTCACTTCGATCCCTTCATTCACTCTGCACGAGTAGTTTCCATCTTCTCCTGGGCCTGTAATCACGAATCCTTCTTACTCATATTGTACGTAGTCATAGTCCGCTCAATAATATCCTCGTCGACCGTCGGTGCCGGTCTCATTCCCACCAACACCCTTCCCATGGACCAGATCCAGAAGATGCAACTTGGAAGTTAATATCCCCATCGAAGAATCAGACCACACTGAACCGATCCGCCGGGTTCTTGTTCACCACCCAGTGGATGCTGCTCTTGTACAGCCCGTCGGTGATCCGATTGATGATATCCAAGACCACCACAACTTCCAAGGTGGACCAGACTACCTCTACTTCTACCTCTACGGAGGCCACCCAGCCTCCTAGCAGCACTACTCCTGCCAACGACCACGAGCCTACCCAGCCTGGTTTGGCCGATAATTGTGACAAATTTCACTTCGTGGTTGATGGTGACAGCTGTGAAAAAATTCAGAAAGATGCTAGCATCAGCCAAGCGCAGTTCTCCAAGTGGAACCCTTATATCAATGACAGTATGTTTTTCACTGCGTGGCCGTTTGCATTTGACAAATTCCACTAATCGTGAGCAGAATGTTCTAACCTTTGGCTGGACTACTACGTCTGCACCCACGTTCCCGGCGCCGAGACCGTCACTGCCAACCCCAAGCCCACCGACGATGGCCGCCCCACGCTGGCTGGAACCGCCAAGGACTGCGACAGATAACACAAGGTTGTCTCTAGGGACCAGTGTGACACCATTGAGGCCAACAACCAGATCACCGACAAGCAATTCCGCAGCTGGAACCCTGCTATTGATGACAGTACGTATAGCCCTTTTCTTCTATCAATGTGACTGACGGACGTGTTATTCAGAGTGCTCCAACCTGGTTCTCGATCTCTTCGTCTGTGTCCATGTTCCTAATGCTTCTAGCACCCATGGACCTACGCCGCAGATGCCCAGCCTCGATCAGAACTGCAAGAAGTACCACAATGTTGGTGATGACGAGGGCTGTTATCAAATCAACCAGGATGCTGGCATTACCCTCAGCCAGTCCGCAAGTGGAACCCCACTGTTGATGCCCAGTGTAGCAACCTCTGGGCTGGTTATTATGTCTGCACTGGTGTATAAGCGGTCTCTGTAACAAATATAAGTAGGATCGTTGAATAATGGTCGGAGCAAGAATTTTACTTGAGTCTCTATTTTACAAAGAGCTTAGACGAAAAATTTGAATGAAAATGAGGGTCCAGTCTTTGATCAGTTTCCTGCATACTATCAAAAGCTTTGCGCGCTTGTTTCTTTGATCATCACGAATCACTTAATTTGAGCATCGGCACAGATCATACTCAAGATAAGAATCGCATTTAAGATTCCAATTTCACCATCTCTCCTAGTCTATTAACTCGAATGATTTATTGTGGTTTAACGCATGGGATGATCAATCAGGTTGACACATCTCAACATTTTGCCGAAATATATAATTGAACCGACTTTGTTAAGATGATTATAGAAGAATATATAACTTTTGAAGTGGTAAGCGGCTCTTCTGCGGTCCTAGCCAAATGGTATAGACTAATCTATAGCTTAGCTTGCTACTAGTTCTAAAGATGTAGCCTTTTAATAGGAATTCGATAAAGTACTCGAAGAAGCTAAGAACCTCTATCATGACTATGGCTGGCTCACTAATAATTATCGAAAAGACGAATGTCTCGACGTAATAAAAAAATTTGTATTATGATTAGGATTGAATAAGAATGTATGAATCATTTTTCAATCATTTTTCAATCATTGAATATCGGATATCTTTATCTCTATCTACTTTCATCGATCACGCAGAAGAACAGAGAAAACCTACCAAAGGTTTACAAGAGATCAACCAACCTCTAGTATATAGTGTCAGTGTACTCTTAATCAAGACAAGCTTTACTTCGCCTGATAGAGTTTGGTAGAACTTAGCAGAGCAGAGCCGCATCCCCCATCCCCACATTCTACGTTGTTTACTCCTATCCTAACCGAGTCTCACTTTCGCACACCCCAATCGAAGAACAAAATGGCCAGTAGTGCACCTAGAGTTGCTCTCAAAGAGCGTCGCGACTCGCCATCCTAAGTGGACAAGAAAGCCGAGGCATTAGTCAACCAAATCCGCAAGAGTAAACACTCCATCGTCTTTACTAGTGCCGGTGTCTCCACGTCAGCTGGTAAAGGAATCCAGTAAATACGAATAATGGATTCACAAAGGGTGGATGAGCGTGTGCGATGATGGTCTCGTGGATTGAATCGACGAGATGAGCTTTTTCCTTATATGAGTGATGAAGTATTTGCCTGGCCCGTCTTACCATTTTTACATTTTGCTTAGGCAAGCTCAGAAATACTACAAGATATCCGAACCACAAAAGTCAACCTTTCTTGTACTGCAAGCTGTATTGATTGATGTATATCAGCTTTTCCAAAACATGAGGGTCTAAATTTAAGAATTCACGACTCGATTCTTCCAACGTGCAAGCCCCCAGTGATAGCAATGTCCGCCCCGGTAGTATAAGCAGAGGCATCACTCAACAGGTAAATCACAGCCCCAGTCAAGTCATTAAAGTTCCCAATTCGAGACAACGGAGGGGCAGTGTCCATAATGGCAGAGTCCTCCGGGGATTTTTTATCCCGCACAACCCGAGTCTGTTCTGAGTCAATGAATCCGGGAGAAATCGAGTTGACGCGAATTCCATCAGAAGCCAACTCGACACCCAATGCCTCTGTGAGCATCCTCACAGCGCCCTTTGAGGCATTGTAAGCAGACATGCGGTGTCTGGGAAGGACTGTATGTGAGGTAATGGATGCAACTTGGACGATGCTTCCCGAGGTTCCCTGTTTCAGAAGTTGCCTAGCCACTAGCTGGGTTGTGAAAAACGTTCCCAGGACCTACAATTCATTAGCATGCTAATTGGAAGCAGGAATGACAGAACTGACGTTGATGTCTTGGATTCTTTGTGCCTCAGCCCAGGTCTGCTCGATAAAAGGCTTGTCGATGGCAATCCCTGCCGAAGTAAATGCCCCATGCACAGAGCCGAGGAATTCAACGGCCCTGTTAAACGAGGCGGTGAGACTTTGCTCGTTGGATACGTCCGTCTTCAAGTAAATGGTTCTCACGCCATATTGCGCTGCGAGCGTGTTGTACTCATCAACCGGCTTGTCCCTGATGTCCAGGACGGCGAGGTTTCCCCCATATTCAGCAATTGCGCGGACTACCGCGAACCCAATTCCTTGTCCGCCACCGGTTATAATGTAGTTCCGGCCTTTCAACTCAAACAGTGGACGGACGTCGCGCAGAAGAGTAGTCATGTTGGGCGTTCAGGTTATGGTTCAACTTTTTTAAAATCTTCACCTAGTTCCCTCGCATCTTATTTATTTTTTTCAAGACATAATATAACCATCAAAATATTCGCCATCTTTTCCAATCTACCTTGGGTTCCGCCGAAGGAGAGCGGGGTGGTGCGGCCGAGTGTCTTCCAAACAATGCGTTTCGGAATGCTGTCGGAATGGTCGATCTTTGCCTGATCAGGCTCAGGCTACTGCAGTAACTTACCAACAACTCCAATAATGTGGATGTTAACCCTAACTAGTATACGTCGGGTAATTTTTCTTATTTATGTAAACGTATATTGAACCAAAAGATAACATGTAATTTCTATGTAATATTACTTCCTTAGTCCATTCCACCGTTCAAAGTCATCCGTATGAATCCCAAAGCTATCCAACATTCGCCCGACACTTTGATTGACTAGGTCTTCCAAACTAGTTGGTCTAGTATAAAATGCAGGCACTGGAGGAAACATGATGGCCCCTGCTTTTCTTAAGGCCAACATATTGTCCAGATGAATATCACTCAAAGGAGTTTCGCGAACAACCATCATCAACTTTCTCCCCTCTTTCAATGAGACATCTGCCGCTCTTGAGATCAAGTCATCACAAAAGCCCATGCGCACAGCGGCGAGGGTCTTCACACTACAGGGAACAACAATCATCCCGTCATGGAGAAATGAGCCACTCGAGATGGGCGCGGCTAAGTCTCGGCTGGCGTAGTTGTAGGTTGCCAAGTCGCGAAGTTGCTGGTCGACAAGATCGGTTTCATATTTCAGTGTCACAGATGCCCATTTACTCATGACAAGGTGTGTCTCGACGTTCAGTTTTCGAAGTTGCTCAAGGAGACGAACCGCAAATATGGTCCCGGTTGCACCGGTAACACCGACGACTATTCGCTTCGGGTGTTGACTGCCCGACTGAGAATAACATCGACATGGGGTGTGCGAAATGAGAGGTTTCTTTGTAGTAGGGTTTGTGTTTGGGAGTATTTTAGATATTGCATAAGAATGACGGGTATTCTTGAGGTGGTTTGAAAACCCGAGGAATTTAGTTGAGAGGTAGTTCATCATGAAACGTTATCTTTGCATTTCAAACAAGGGGCAGAATATTTGGGTATAAGGGTAGCTTTCAAGGAACAAGGAAAATGCTGTTGGCAATTTCCGCAGAACCGATGCTCCACAAAGGGGAATAGCTGAGTTATTCCGGTGCTGGACATCCTCGGTGGAGCCATGGCTTGTTAGCGTGCCAGCCTTGATCGGAAGAGTTTGCTTCGATCGGAACAGCATGCCAACGCTATTTCCAAAAGAGCAATAGCCAACTAATAGGCATCATTTAGATTTTAAAAGTAGCCACAGGATATTTCATCAAATTCCTGAAAATTTGGTTGTCAAACAGCATGTCTTCGTCCATCACAAAACAATCCTCAACTTGCAGGATGCTTGCACGCCGTGGTATCCGCAGATTTCTTAATACCCGGGGCTTTCATCACTATTCGCCATCAATGAGCCCTGCAACGGAGTTCCGTTCGTTTCTTAACGCCCTCCGGGAAAACGGAGACCTAGTTGATATTCACCATGAAGTCGACCCTGACCTCGAGATCGGCGCAATTTCTCGTCGAGTGAGCGAGAGAGACGCCAAGGTACCACTCTTTCACAATGTAAAAGGTGCACAACGGGGGCTATGGAAAATGACGTCCAACCTTCAAAGCTTAAGTCAGTCTCCTGAATCTCGATATGGCAGGATTGCATTGGGTCTCGGTCTACCGGTCGATGCGCAGTGGAAAGAGATAAATAATCGACTATTGAGAGCTAAATACATCAAACCGGCACAGTCTCAGGTGCTTGAGACTGGGCCATGCAAAGAAAATAAACTGTTTGGTGATGAGATCGATCTCACGCAGCTTCCAGCACCACTGCTCCACCAGAATGATGGCGGGAAATACATCCAAACCTATGGAATGCATATTCTTCAATCACCAGACGGATCGTGGACCAACTGGTCCATTGCCCGTGCTATGGTCAATGATAAACGCAAGCTTGTTGGGCTTTGTATTCCGCCACAACACAATTGGCAGATTCGAGAAATGTGGAGGAAAGAAGGAAAGGATGTGCCATGGGCACTGGCTCTTGGGGTCTCACCGGCAGCGATAATTGCCGCTGCTCTGCCAGTTCCTGATGGGGTGTCGGAGCTTGAATATGTCAATGCACTCACTGGTTCTTCTTTGGATCTTGTTAAATGTGAGACCAACGACCTCCTTGTGCCAGCCACAAGTGAAATTGTATTCGAAGGAACCCTTTCGACAACGGAAACAGCGCCTGAAGGTCCGTTCGGCGAATACTTCGGTCATTCATTTGAACAGGAAGAACGACAGTGCCCTATCTACAATGTCAATGCTATTACATATCGCGATGAAGCAATCATGCCGGTGTCAGTCCCCGGCAAACTTACAGATGAATCGGTGAGCCCTCTTAATATTACGACTATTACAAGCGCTAACATATGAAGCACGTGACGGCTGCCTTGATAGCACCAGAAATTCTGGATATTTGCCTGCAAAACGATCTACCAATTGTTGAGGCAACCTCACCTCTGGAGACGTACGCGAGCTGGGTGGTCCTGAAGGTGGACTCCGAGAAACTTAAAACATTAGGAATATCGTCCAAGGACCTTTGCAACCGGGTTGGAAATACTGTTTTCAATGATAAGAGGTCGTTCCTGGCATCTCGGCTTCTCCTGGTCGGAGATGATATCGACATTTACGATTTCAAGGACGTAATGTGGGCATTTTCATGTCGCTGTCGTCCTGGAAAAGATGATTACTTGTTTGATGATGTTCCTGGCCTTCCACTCGTGCCTTTCATGCTCAACACGCCTCGCCCATGTCGCGGAGGAAAGACCGTGTCTGACTGCTTGCTTGAATCTGAATATACATCGGCAGGACGTAATTGGGAAATGGTGGACTTCAAGAATGCATATCCCAAGGATATTCAGCGAAGAGTTCTGGAAAGATGGGAGGACATGGGGTTGAATTGAGAGAAATTATGTTAGCCTATATTGGTTCTTTCCTTTGTTGATATTCTTAAGATCCGTGCCAACTACGCGTAAGCCTTTTTGCCCATTGGGATTCCTCAAAATCATTAAATCCAACATATTTCACCTAAACAATTGTCATTTGGGGTTCCCTGCCTGTCACGTTCTTTCCACGGCGCTTGCGATACCTAGCAGTGTCATGTCGCAGTAAATACGAGCATTTTAAATAGAAGCATTTGATTTTATAATGAAAGCAATACCAGGTACAATTCTAATACTAGTTCATAGGGATACCTACAACCGAGATTCCGTCTCGCTCGCTTGCCAGGAAGTTCCGAGACGGACTTCCAATACTGCCAGAATTCCATTCTTGACACTCTCAATGGCCTGTGGCAATAGACATCCTAGTTGTTCAGCATTAGCAGCAACACCAGCCCAGGCATGATTGCCTGCAGCTGCTTTGGCAATGCCAGGAAAATCTGGTGTGGGAGTAAAGGAGATGTTCAAGTCCACGTTGTTGACTTTAGATCCAAGACCATTGGGATGAACAAGTTCAAGTGAATTACGAGGCGCATTCCATCCTAGTGGATCGCTCTTAGTGTCAAGATATAACCCACAACAGTAATTTTCACGTACCTTTGTTGCTCAGAACGATCGTGAGTGTCGCGAGTTCATATCGACGCGCAATCCAGTAGACAGTTGCTGGAGAGCCAAACATGTATGTTCCATCACCCACGATTTCGCAGACAAACTTGCCCTTGTTTGTTCCACCCGCTAGATAATCAGTCGCCTTCTTGACACCAAGTGTCGCACCGCCAGACCAACCCAAGCCGCCTGCACCGCAATTCACAAGATGTCCAGGGGTATCGACCTGGAGCTGGTTCGTAATGGGCATTGCATTGGTCACGGTCTCTAAACACCAGATAGTGTCTGACGGGAGACATTCTCGAAGAAAACGACCAAGGTAATGACTGTTCAATGGCGCTTTCATGTCTTCTGGAGTCGCAGCAGCGGCAGCAAGGGCAGCTAGACGCTCCTCGTGTGCTTTCTCGAGTGCTGCACCACGTTGAGTATATTCTCCGGATGCCAAAATGCGGGAGAATACGTTGTTAGAAGTAATCTCAGTATGGAGCTGCTTGGAGGCAATAGTAGCATCGGCACGGAAGGTTTGTTGCGATAAGATGTAAAAGAGAGACAGGTTCTCTTTCAGAGGATCGATGTCGATATGGACAATCTTGGCGTCAGCCGACGGCCGGCAAAGAACGGGGATCCAAGGAACAGCAGCGTGAACCACAAGAATCACATCAGCCTTTGGGATAGCCTCGTGTGTACCGATTCCAAGTCCCAAGGATGCCCGATGAGAGAAAGGAAAGCAAACATCACTGCCAAGACAATCCAGAACCCTGAGCCCGGGAACCGCATCAGCCAGTTTAACCAACTCAGGAAGGGCTGTGTGTTTACGGCCTGTGTGTCCCACGATAACCAAGGGATTTTTTGCAAACACAAGCAGTTCAGCAACGCTCTTGACTCCTTCCTGTGGCAGAGACGCAGGTGCGACAGCAACCCATTGCGATTGATCGATCTGATATGGCTCGATCTCCTCTTCCAAGACCTCCCGGCCCGCAGTCAGATACACTGGACCAGGTGGGTCACTGGTTGCAAACTGTAGAGCTCGGTTGACCATCTGCTTGATGTTTCTACCAGTCCTGATTTCTCCAGTGTACCGACAGTACTGGGACACGATCTGCCGTTGGTCTTTGGCATCTTGAAGCCAGTGAACGTACTCGGTTCGGGATCCTCGCAGCTCGTCATCGATAGTGTATGGCGATAGACCTGCAAAAATGAGGACAGGGCAATAGGCTGCAGAAGCGTTATGAACAGCACATCCCAAAGCTTGTGTTCCAACATCAACATGGACAATAACGGCCTGCGGCTTGCCTGTCAAACGAGCAAAACCATCTGCCATAGATAGGGCGACCATCTGGTTCTGGTTAGTATTATGACATGAGATTGCAAGCTAATATTTCACCTCATGTGGACAAGTAACAATTTCAGGACACTGGCCCTTCTTGTGTGTTTTGCTATAGACAATAGCTTCCATGATGGCTGGGTGGTCAGATCCCAAATTCACAAATACATGGGAGACCCCAGCCTGCTCCTAGTTAGCTGAGAATTTTCTATTGCCGGCATGTTCCCTTACATCCCAAAGTGCCTCAAAAAAGGCTCTAGAAGCAGTATAACTCCTGTCCCCACAGGTTAGCTAGCTATCACGAGGCATGCGAGCAATTGCTTTTCTTACATGTTGCTCTGTGATGAACCGTCTGCGAAAACTCAAAAGAAAGGTGTGCACAGAAGACTTGAATACTGCAGATCTAGGAAACATATTTCTTATCTACAGGATCTAGCTGATTTCTATATTCGTAGCTCTTGCATAATTACTCAGCCGTGTTGGCATGTCAAAGCGTTCCGCCCTCCCCACGCGGTTCCGATGCGCCGAGGGACTATTCCGACACCCGCGAACCAAGGAAAGGTACTGGCCCCTCACTTCAGACTAAGGAAATGAGAATTTATCATAGGTGGCATAAGTTCGTCAAATACTTGGTGTGCTTTCTGGAAGGATATCAATAAATTTAGGGCATTGATACCGACACCACCCTTTGGATGCTAACACCACCCCCTGCCGGAAAGGTCAGGCATTATTCTTTTCTGTTGGACTTATTTCTGCTACAAACTTTTATTTATTGCTCCCCCTACCCTGTATGTATATCGCACCTTAGGTACCTCCAATTACTATGTAAATTGCTAGTAAAAATAAGTCACTCCCGTACAACTGTAGTACCCAATAAGGAATCCAAAATAATTGTTGTTCACATCTTCGAACCTCCCATTCTCCCACCATTTCTCTCGCATTTCATTCCTTTTTACAGTGGCTTCCTCACAGCCTGATTCGCCGTCCGATTCTGAGCCTGAAGCTGAGGTCGATGGTAGAGTACGAAGGTGACTTAATTTTGCTAGTGGCCTGCATAGTAAATGGAAGTATCTCAAGTTTGTGGCAGAAATAAGTCCGGCAGAAAAGAATAATGCCGGGCTTTTCAGGCAAGGGGTGGTTTTAGCATCCAAAGGGTGGTGTCTGTATCAATGCCCTAAATTTATAGGGCTGTGGGTTTACTCCGTTATCTTGGGAAGGAAGGACGTAGTAAAATTCTCAAGCAAAGCTAAAATATCCATTCTCGATCAAAAGTTACATAAACTACAGCTTCATCAACCGTCTGATAAATCCCTTTTCTGAAGCAGCGTGATTCGGTGGCAACAAGTGTTCTACACCACTTGTATTGATGTATGTCGGGCCCGCATCGCGCATCAAATCCGTCATCCCGACTAGTTGCATGGCTGTCTCGATTTCCTCTTTGAGTACTGTAAAGGAATTAGTGAAAATAACCACGCCCAAAGTTTAGCTGTACTCACTATTGACTGCATGCTCTACGCCTTGCTGGCCGTAGTTGATTGAGTAATGAAATGATCTGCCAAGGCCCACTGCTGATGCACCCAGGCAAATGGCCTTGACAACGTCTGAGCCACGACGGAAACCTCCATCGACAAGCACTTTCATCTTTCCAAAGATCTCAGGGCAATAACGGTGAATTTCCAGAAGTATGAGTATCGCTGGCGGCGCAGTGTCGGCTGCGCGACCACCATGATTACTCACAATGATACCGTCGAATCCCACTTGCATTGCAATGCGGGCATCTTCAACGCGCTGAATGCCCTTGACGAGAATCGGTAGCCTGGTGATACTTCTCAACCATTTCAAATCATTCCAGTTGAGGGTTGAGTCGATGAAGGAGCTGTTGGACTTGGCGAATCCCGCGCTCTTTTTGCCTGCAGATTTGGTGTCCTGGGTGACGTTGACCATAGCAGCATTCTCTTCTGCTTTGAGGCGCTCATCCGCCTCTCTCTTCGACATGACTGGTAAGTCAGCAGTGACAAATATTGCCTTGACCTTGCCCGAGTCTGTAGCTTGTCGCACCAGGGCTTCTGTCTTTGGTCGATCCTTGTTGATATAGAGCTGGTAAAAGGCCTGCTTTGGGGTTACATGGAGAATTTCTGACAGCGGATATGATGCCGGGGTAGAAATGCATTGTGCGATTCCCGAAGCCCCAGTGCCTCTAGCGAGAGGTAATTCACCTTCCTCGCAAACCATCATTGCGGCACCGACAGGTGACACGTAGACTGGGATATCGAGATCACATCCGAAAAGGTTTGATCGAGTGACAACTTGAGAGACATTACGCATAATCGCCGGACGAAACCAGATATCGCGGAAAATTTTGCGATTGGCATCTCGTGTAAAATTGTCGTTAGCGGCACCGCTGCTATAAGCCCATGACTTCGGACTGAGCGTGTTCATAGCAACCTGTTCAAAATCGTCCAGATTGATGATGTCTTGTAGAGGAGGTTTCTGATATACTTGATTTGCTGAAGTTGCTGATTTGGGCGATTTTTCTTCCTTGTTCCAATCTTCCGGGATGGTACTCGTATCCAGCTCTCCAACCAGGCGGTCACTGATATCGTTGATCAGGGACGGCGAATGGGTGCTGTTGTACACTTTGGATGCGTCCCGGCCTCCAAACTGGTAGATGACTATTTTCATTAGTCCAAATGTGACAGAAGCAAATATAATGGCTTCCTTACTCTCTGCGCCGCCAGGGTGCTCTGATGCAAACTCTGTGACATTGTACACCTTGCCGTTGACCACAATCCAGATATCGTCTTCGCAAGAGTGCTGTGATATTTCATTGGTAGAGATCTTTCTAGCCATTTTCGCCCGTAGTTTCGAGTTGATATTCACGAAATAGCGTGGTAGTCAATTATTAGCCCTTGATTGAAATGTGGGGTGGGGGGAACACCTGGCGTGGGTGGTTAAACTTCAGGAAAGTGGGAAACAAAGAACGGAATGGCCTTCGGAACCTTTACCGCGCCTGGGACGGCTGAAATGATGGAGGGGACGTAGAGAAAAGAATCCAATCGACCTTACAAGCAAAAAGCCAGCAGTTAACGTGACCCTAAGAGCATGGAGCAGTTATTCTACCTCAAGTCCCTCGGATGACAGTCGATCTTACTGGTATGCACCTTAAGAACTGGTAGCCGGTGACATGCCAATCTAAATTCGGGGCCGAGCTACAAGTGGTAACTACTGTAGTGCGGGTTCCAGGCATCAGGCATGCATCGAAACTGGTCGTAAAACTCTCTTAGGATTTCTTTAGAGAAACTCGGACCAGGCCTCACGGAATAAGTTCGGAATCTTGATTTGTAATTGTAGATGGAATCGGAGCAGCACTTTCGGTAGTCCAGTTGCGACATATATTTTGCGGAATCCTGGTAGACATCTTGCGATCTCTACTTTAGAAGCGAGTTGAAACCGAAGTAAAATCTTTATTGTAGATAGAAAAAATTCACTCCATCACAGTGATCCGTCTTCCGTCATCGTATACTCACCTCTAACATCATCGGTCTGATACAAAGGTGGCTCCACCGAATTCAAACAAGAAGTCAACAGTTTATCCAGCTCATTCCAAATTGTCCCGTTCAGAAATACGTCCATTTGCTGATTGTCATCCTGGTAAAAGGGAACGAGATCGGGCATAGACTCCTGCTGCTGAAAACTGGTTCCGACAGAGGTTAACGGTGGTGACGTGTAAATGAGCGGAACCAGGTCTGCAGGCTCTGGTATATAGGGCACTGCTGGAGAGTCGAAAGATTTCTGCAAGGCGCAACTTGACGGTACCTCAGCCTGAGGGTCCTGTGTTTCGAGATCAAGTGAAAGAATACCAAGTCGAGATAAGAGCCCCACAATTGACAGCAGACGCCGGTGTAGTTGGGCAGAGGAATTTGAGGACGATGAATATGCAGAGCTAAGGTCCAACGCTTCTTTGAGTGGGTTGCAAACATCTTGGGTCAAACATATCGGAGGTCCCTCGCTTGCATTGTCTGGATGACCACGATAGGTAATGATGAGAAGGATTAATGATGTGGCAGAGGTGAGGAAGTGACTGAAGAATGGGTGTTGCTTGCGGTAACTCTCGGTTGTGGCATTAAGATCACGGATAGCAGAGATTGTGCGGATAGCTATTTGCAGACTCGCTGAGACCTTCTCTTGGTCGGGTTTGACGACGCTTTCAGAGAAGAAAAGTGGCCGAAGCAACAAAATACGCATTTGGTTGGCGCGAAGATACAACAACGTTCTGACCGAATCGGGCGGCTCTCTTTCTATCATGTGCAACCCTGGCGGGCCCACAAGGCTTTCTAACACAGATTGTTGCCAGCGATCGATTTGGTAGTTGAGAAATTGGAACTGCTCTGCTTCATAGACCTGCGTGCTGACTGGCATTTTGCTGGTCGCGCTCACGATCTTGGTACTGATGGCGCAGTATGATGCCATAGCTCGGAGATAAGGAGAGTCCTGCTGATGAACAAGAACATTAGTTCTGCTGAAATTATGATTCTTGGTTTTCCTTATTAAGGCACCTACTGGCACAAGTTGGGTGCTATCCAGGGCAGCGTCATCCATATTCCGTGGTAATCCAAGAGCGGCACTCCAGCCATGGTCAAGAACGAAAATACTCCACATTAGTCGCACCGCTTTCGAACGTTCACTTTCATTGGGAAGTGCTCTTTGAAGTGTCTCTGGTCGATGTAGACCAAGTTCCATTGCTAGTGATGCTGAGATACCACACAGTCGCCATGCCATTCTCACTCGGTTTGAAAAAAGATGATAGAGAGCCTATGAAGAAGTCAACAGTGGTTTTTAGACGGCAAAGTCCAGAATATCTTACTCCAAGCAGGACTAAAGTGACTCCTCGCAGACTAACGGTCTCAGAGCAAAGAATACGGTTCAGTTCGTGCTCCACTCCTTCATAGCAATTCTCGATCAATTTGGCGCTCTGATTTTGCTCTGACAGCAGGGCAATGGCTAGGATGAGACGAATAACAATCACATCATAACGACCTGTCAGTCTACTTGAGTTCTTCCCACGTTCCTTTAACTGCGCATATAGTCCATCCGCACAGTCAAGCACTACCGAGATGTCCACAACGGGATGCAATGACCCCACAGCTTCGGAATACAGGACCACAAGCTCCCGTGCGCGTGAATGTGAGATTTCGGTGAAGACTTGAACAGACACATGTTCCAACCTGGAATGGTCTCCATGTGAAACTTGAATCCCGGTTTGAGGACCCTTGTTTGCAGCATTTCCTTCGCCATCGAAACAAGCGTCTAGATTTGGTGACCTCGTCGAAGTAGGGTCCTGTAACTGTGCCAGCTCCAGGCTGGTGAGCTTAAGGCTGTATTCAGCGCTCGTTAATCCTTGATAACGAGGCGCTTGTTCCGGTGGCGGTGACACAGCCAATGTAGCTGGAGGTCGCAGCTTCCGCTTCTTTGAAACTCGTTCTTCGGCTATTGGATCAATGCGAGGTGCTTCCTTAAGATATTGAATCTCCACTTGCATGGACTCAACAAGATCGTTCAGGGATTGCACTTGACTTTGGGTTATAAGTCTAA